ACCCTAACCCTAACCCTAACCCTAACCCTAACCCTAACCCTAACCCTAACCCTAACCCTAACCCTAACCCTAACCCTAACCCTAACCCTAACCCTGCTCCCACGCTCTTCCAGGTGACCTCAAGCAGCATTGGCTGACTGCAATGCCAGGCTGCCTCTCTGGCAGGTCCAGGCAGGCCCAATGCACCTCCCCATCAGTCAGCCTACTGATATTTTGCCCCCTGGCCGGCATTGCCTTGCTGTATGCTGCAAATACAAGGTTATTTGTACCTGCTGCCGCGCATGTCACTTTTGACGCACCACTTACTAAGCTCAGAAGATACAACTCCTCAGCAGCTACAGCTATGTCAGTCTCAGTGATGAAGCGTCGCGGCGCTGCAGACAGGCTCTCCTGGCGGCTGTGTACCACACCTGTGCCTGGTGCTTTGTCTGGACGCCGGGCTGCTCTCGCTCACCGGCGGCTCTCTCGCGTCCTCTCTGCGCCGCTGCTCCCCAATCACGCATCGCTCCAGGCCGGGTGCAGCCTCTCCGCCTTGCGCACCACTCCGCACTTCACGCTTGCTCCACCACTCCGCACTTCCCGATGTCTCCGCCTCTCCGCAATTTACGCTTGCTCTAGCATACATCCATTGCGAGGGACACGGACTAGCTGCGCGCCCGCCGCGACGCAAGCGCAGCAAGACGGGCCTGCACGAGGGCGTCGGCCACGACCAGCGGCGCGGGCTTCGCGGGGAGCGCCGCGGACGGCTTCGCTGGGAGCGACGGCTGCGGGCGCGAGGGCGGCGGCGACGGCGAGCTGTAGTCGAGCCCGGCGCTGTCGGCAGGGGCGCTCTGGTGCGCGGCGGCGTCGGTCTGCGGCGCGGGCGCGGCGGTCTTCGTCCGCACAGGCGCGAATCTGGCGAGGCACGGCGACGTAGACTTGCGCGCCTGGACTGCCGCGGGAGGCTGAGCTGCGGCCGACGTAGTCGCCTTGGATGCAGGCGCCGCCGGTGTGTTGGGCTGAGAGGTCGCCTGCGATGCAGCCGACGTGGTCGCCTTCGATGCGCCAGGCGCAGGTGCTGCTGCTGCGGGCTTAAACGGCCAGGCAGGCAAGCGCGAGAGCGGCTGGGTCCACAGCGGGCTGCCCTGCTGCGAGCTGCCCGGCTGCGAGCTGGCCTGCTGCGAGTTGCCGCGCTGCGGGCTGCCGGCGTGCCTCGAGCTGGCCTGGCCCTCCTCCGGCTCCGACTCGGGCGCCGCGCTGAGCACGTACGTCTCGGCGTTGCCAAACGAGCGCGGCAGGCCGAGCTGCGCGCGCAGCTCCTCGGCGGCGAGGTCCTCGGGCGTTGCCGCGACGATGACACTCTTCTCGGGCTGCGCAGTGCCGCGCGCTTGCGCCTGCAGTGCGGACCACGACTGCTGCGCCGCATCGTCCGCGTTGCCATCGTACCACTGCTGCGGCCAGCCCTCGCTCCAGGCGGCGTCGTACCACGTGGTGCAGTCGAGCGCACGCACACGCACCTGCGGCGGCACCTTGGCGAGCGTCGACGGCGGCGGCGGGGCACGGCGCGCGGGGCTCTGAGCCGCAGAAGATGTCGCGACAGCTGCAGGAGCGACGGCAGACGGCGCAGACTTGGTGAGAGGGCTCGGGGCCACAGCGCGGGCCGCAGCAGGCGACGCGAGCTCGCTCTTGCTCGGCCGGACGCCCGCACGCTTGCGCGGCCGGTCCAGCAGCCGCAGCGCAATGTCCTCGAGCGCTGATGGCCTCTCCTCGAGCGCTGATGGCCTCTCCTCAAGTGCCGATGGCCTCTCCTCGAGCGCCGATGGCTTCTCCGGAGCGGAGACTTGCTCTGGCTGCGGCAGGCCGAGCAGCCCGCCGCCGGGCGGAAGCGCATGCGGCGGCGTCTCGGCGACAGTGCGCTGCTGGACGAGCGCGGCGCGGCCTGGCGCATGCGAGATGCTCCAGGCTGCGTCGCCCGGCACGGCCGCACCTGGCGCAGGTGCGTCGTCATCGCCGTCGTCGCTGCTTGTGTCGTCGCTGCTGCTGCTGTCGCTGCTGTCGCTGCTGTCGCTCGAGTCGTCGGACGTCGACGAGTCGCTTGCGTCCTGGCCATTTGTCTCGTCCACGATGCCATTGGTGCCAGTCGAGATCCGACGGCGGATCTCCTCAAACTCGGCCGCCCGCCGCGCGTCCTCGCGCGCCCGCTCCTTGGTGCGGCGCGAGGCATTCTTGCGGCGAGTCCGCGCCGAGCCCGCGCCGGGGAGCACGTTCGGCTTGGCTCCGTCTGGTGCCCGAGGCGCAGCGGCGACGTGGCCCGCGTCGCGCTCAGGCAGCTTCGAGGAAGAGGGCGAGCTGGAAGAGGAGCTCGAAGACGAGGTGGACGACGAGGCGCTGGACGACGACGACGACGAAGAGCTCGATGCAGACGAAGCCGCGCGGCCGTTGCGAGCTGGCTGCTCGTTTGTCGCACTTGCCGAGGTTTTCCCCCCGTGTGCCGATGTCGGCGCTTGCCCATGCATGGCACGCTTGCGCTCCTCAAAGGCGCGCATGGCCGCCTCGGGCCCGCCGCGCGCAAGCAGGCCGCTCGCAGGCTGGAAGCCGTACTTGAGAGGCGGCGCGAGGAGGCCCACGGGCGGCAGCGGCATGGCGGCGGGTGCAGCCGCGGCAGGCTTCGGGAGCTGGTGGTCCATCCGCGGCAGGTCATCGATGGGCGCTTCACTAGCCTCACTGGCCTCGTCGGAGCTCTCGGCGTCGGCGCCTGCGCCAAAGCGGCGCCGCATCTTGTCGGCGATCTTTTGCGCCTCGAAGAGGAGCTCTTCTTCTGCGTTGGGCGCGGAGAGCTGACCCAGCGCGCCGGCGTCATCCTCGTCCGAGACGGCACCACCATCGCCGTCCAGCCCATGCTCATCGCCCACCTCGCCGTCCAGCTCATCGCCGTCCCCGCCCGCCAGCCCGTCGTCGCCAGTCCATTCCATGCCGTCCTCGTCGTCGTCCCACGCAGCAGCCTCGGCGTCCTCCCAGTCGTCGTCGCCGCCGCTCGAGGAGCCTAGCACGTCGCCCGACACGCCGCCCTGCACGCTGTCTTCGTTCAGGCCATCTCTGCGCTTGAGCCGGCGCTGTGCGTTCCGCCGGCGTGTCCGCCCGGAGCCCTGGCCCCGCTCGCCCTGGCCTGGCTCGCCCTCGTCGTCGACGTCACGCACACGCTTGCCCGGAGTGGCCGCGCGGCTGCCGCCCGAGCGCGACGCCGCCTCCGACTTGACGCCGAGGGCGCTCAGGGCGGCCGGGACGGGCCGGGCCGCCGGCGCCTGTAGCTGCAGCAGCGCGTGTACACTGCGGACTGCGTGTCAGCGATGAGGCAGCAACAGTACAGCCTGCGACGCTTCGCTACTCCTCGTCACAGCCCGCACGTCGCACTTCGCCACACCACGTGCGCACCGCCACGCTTCTCCGTGCTTCGCCTCCACTTCGCGACTCACTCGATGAGGTCGCCGTCGCGCAGCACTTCCGCCGGGCGCCCACAGATCTCAAAGTCGTCGAGGCGCAGCACGAGCTGCGTGTCGGCGACGTGCAACACCTGCGACGTCGCCGGCAGGCCGTCGCCGAACAGCGCTGCATGGATGCTCGCACGCAGGGCGGCAAGACTCGCGGCCGCCTCGCCGACGAGCGGGATCAGCAGCGGCCGCGAGGGCAGCGGCGCGTGGGGGCGCACCCGCAGGCGCGGCGGCGGCGACGCAGCGGGCTGGAGCATGGCGAGGTCGTGGCGGAGAGGAGATGAGGAGAGACGACCGCGGCGGCTACTCGAATGCGCTCTGCGGCGGACGGCTCACGACTGCAGGGCAGCCATCGCCGGCAGAGGGGTGATGGAGAGAAGATGAGCGTCAGCGGCGGCACAGCGCATCATGCTCGCGAAGGCCAAATTAACGCAGCTTGAGCGCGCGCGCCTCGCGGCGGCGGCGTCTCGTGCGGGAGCTGGCCTGCGACGCGCGCCTCATCCGTGCGCCAGACGGCACGCACCCTCGTTCCCCTCCTCATCAACCCGGCTGCCCGCTAGCCTCCACCCAACATGGTGAGCGGCGCGCAGAGTGCCGCCCTGCATGCGCTCTGCCCCAGCTAACCCCACTCCCGCAGCTCATCTTCAGCGCGTTCAAGACGCTCACCGGGCAGACGGTCACCGTCGAGCTCAAGAACGACGTCGCGCTCACGGGCGAGCTCAAGAGCGTCGACCAGTTCCTCAACTTCCGCCTCGACAACATCCGCATCCGCGAGGGCGACGAGGCGCGCTGGCCGCACCTGGTGAGTTGCGTGTGGAAGGTGGTCACGGACGCGAGCGAGGAGGGACCGAGCGCAACGCCAGCGAGGAGGGATCAAGCGCAACGCGGGCTCGCTCAGAGGCTGCCGCTGGGAGCGCCGCTAGGACAGAGCTACTGTTCGGCGCGAGCTACTGTCGTTCTCGAGGTGCAGAAGGATTCTCACTTCTGCTACAGCATCGCTCGGACGCTGCTCATGCGGCGAGAGAGGCGCCGTCGTCTGCAGCGCACTCCTCTCTTTCAGCTCCTCCGTCGTGCTGACGCTGCTCGCAGATGGCCGTGCGCAGCGCCTTCATCCGTGGCTCCGTCGTGCGGTACGTGCACGTGCCGGCTGCCGCCGTGGACACGCAGCTGCTGGAGGACGCAACACGGCGAGGTGAGTCGATCCAGCGAGATGCGGTGATGGAGGGGCAGGACGTGCGGCGCTGGCTTTGCACTCGCGCACGCTCATCAGGCCCCACGCGCTCCTCGACCACGCGCCTGGACGCAGGACACTGACGCACACCCTGCAGAGGCCGCAAGCGGGAGACGGTAGCGGCATTAGCAATGACGATGCTGCCCAGATGAAGACACGGCTTGGTGGCGGCGCAGTGGTAGCGGTGCAGCGGTGGTGCAGGTGGTGACAGTGGTGGAGCAGTGGTGGTGGGCCGGACTGGCTCAGTCCAACCGCTCGTGCCCCTTGATGCGCCCGTCGCCGGCGCCCATCTTCGCCGAGCGCGCCCCAAACTGCGGGATGGGTGAGCTCCGCACACGGACCGCACACAAGGACTGCTCACCTGGATCGCGCGCTTCACATTGCCCGCCGTCTGCGCCATGCCGAGGCGGCGCGCGACCTGGCGCAGGATGCGCTTGTCGCCCGCGCCGGGCCGCTGCGCGAGGTCCATCTTGCGGTGCAGCGGCAGGCCACACAAGTACGCCATCACGCGGCGGTCGAGAAAGGGATGCCGCACCTCGCGCCCGTGGCACGACATGACGCGGTCGTCGCGGCCCAGGTTGCGCGACGGCAGCCGGTCGATGTCCAGCTGCAGCTGCGGGTGGTGTCAGCTGCAAGTCGCCGCCAGTCACCTCGCATGCTCACCTCCTCGGTGAGCGCCGCCGCGCCGCCGCGCTCCCACGCCCGGCGGTGCCGGCTGTAGCCGCCCAGCAGCTCGTCGGCGCCCAGGCCCGAGAGCAGCACGCGCGCCTGGCTGGCGTAGCTGCGCGGCCCGTCCGGCCCGTCGGCGAGGCGGCCCCACCCGCGAGCGGCAAAGTACAGCGCCGCGGCGATGCTCTGCAGCGTGTCAGCACGGCTTGGAGGGCCCTAAGCAGGCAGCTTACCAGATCCATCTGAGGCACAGGCGTCAGACGATGCGTGGCCGGCTCACAGGCTACTCACCACACTGTCGCACGGCTCCATGCACCCGCGCACGAAGGGCAGCGCGGCCTCGTACTCCTCAGCCGCGACGTCGATCTCGACCAGCCGCCACTCCCGCGCGGGCGCGAGGGCCTGCAGCTCGCGCAGGCCCAGCCGCGCAGTGAGGCGGTCGGGCGTGTCGTATGGGCTCGCATGTCCAGGTGCTTTCGCAGCGGCGGCCAGGACGCGCGGATTGGCAAATGCGACGGTGAGCAGGTCAATCGGCCCGGGCGGCATGGCGCGGTGCGCGAGGAGCGCCAGCGTGGCCGAATCGAGGCCGCCTGAGTACAGCACGGCGAGCACTGCGCTGCTTGCCGCTGTCAGCCCCCGTCGGATCGCTCTGCCGCGGATGCTCACCTGCCCGGCACGCCCCCTGCGATGCCGGTGCTGCGTCTGGCGACTGCGTCCTGCAGCTCCTGCAACAGCCTCTCCTCTGCGTCGTCCTCATCGTCAAGCGCCGCGTCGGGCTCATCAGCCGTCGCTGCGCACACGCTCAATCGGACCGTGAGCTGTGCAACGCGTCAGCTCGTACGCCACACAGCGCATGGGAGCACGCACTGCAGAGGTCCGCGAGACCGCGATTGGCTCTTCGCAAAGGCGCTGCGCTAGACGTCAGCAAGGCGGACGCCTGGGCCGGCTTGACACTCACCCGGAGGTCCTGCCGCCAGATTGCATGGCACGGCACCTCGTCCAGCACGAGGCCTGCGCTTTGCGCTTCAGCACACCCCACACTCGCAAGGACGAGACGCCCCGCATCGTGCGCCCGCAGCAGCGATCGCCGGCCGAGCGGGTCGCGGGCATAGTACACGGCGTTGTGGCGTTTCTGTCGGACACGTCTCAGTAGAGAGCAGGCACGCCCGGTCTGCACTCACATCGACCAGTGCAAAGGCATACGGGCCCTCGATGTTGCCGAAGATCTCGCCGAGAATCTGCGCAACGTCGCCGCCCCTTGCGCGTCTCTCGATTGCAGCAAAGAGCGCGGCGCCGTCGTTCGTCTCGGCCACCTGTCCTGCGGCGCAGAGGTACTCCATTCCCTGCCAGACCTGGCCGTTCCACGCCAGCGCAAAGCTGTCGCTGGAGAACGGCTGCCGGGTGAGCGGCGCACGCGTCCCCAGCACAGCGGAGAAGAGGTCGACTTTGACGGCCGGCGCTGCATCTGCGCCGCTGTGCAGCAGCAGAGACAGCGACTCGGCTTGATCGGGGCCTGGACGTTCGTCAGCAGCAGAAGACTAGCTCAACTCTGCGCGACCCACCTCGCTTGGTACAGGCATACTGCAATGGTGCGAGCCAGGCAGGAGCATCGACGGCTGCTGCGGACAGCTCCCAAGCCACCAGCGTGATGCCACACATTGCGTCTCTTCTTCCTGCCTGTTTGCCCTGCCGCAGCTGACGAAGGGACGTCGCCCGGCCTTGACTGCCCCAGTACTTGCTTCACAGCCGAGCAATAATTCTGGACGTGACTGCTCCGCTGTTGAGGCTCCGCTTGCGATGCTGGAGGTGTAAAGGAGAGGCGTCGGGCAAGGGCTCGCCTGCTCCAGGGGTGGCGCCGCACGTGACGCGCCCGCGCTTGGACCATCTCGCCCGCCGGGCGCGCGCGCCACGCGACACGAGCCGCGGCATCTCCTCTTCCTCTTTCTTGCCTGCCATCCGCGTCCTCCACGCCTGCCATCCGCTCCCGCCGCTGCCCGCTCTTCATCCTCGGCACAGCACACCGCTCATCGCATCGCCCTCAGCGCTCCGTTGCTAGGCGCGCCTGCCATGGTCCGCAGCATGCTCGCGCATACGGCGCTGCTGCTGCTGCTCTTCGCGTCGTCGGTGCAGTCGGTGCGCACGCCCGCCGCCGCAGCACGCCAGGCCTGCACTGACCCGCCGCACAGCTGTACTTCTACCTCGAGGCTGACGCCAAGAAGTGCTTTCTCGAGGAGCTGCCGCACGACACCGTCGTCGTGGGCCACTACATGGCCGAGGTGTGGGACAAGCAGAACCAGCGCTTCACGATCCGCGAGGACATGGGCATCAACATCATGGTCAAGGTGAGCTGCCGCCTACGCGACGAGCCTGCCGCAGCTTGCGATGGGTACCGGCTGCGACAGCGACGGCTGCTGGGCCTGTGCACCGCTCGCATCCACACTGCTCACACCCTCCACAGGAAGTCAAGGAGGACCACATCGTGACATCCACGCGCGGCCCGGCTGAGGGCAAGTTCGCCTTCACGTCGCACGAGGCGGGCGACCACCAGATCTGCCTCTCGTCCGCGTCGTCGTCGGCCGACGCGCCGCAGGTGCGCATGCACCTCGACGTCGTCATCGGCGAGGCGCGCCCGGACAACAGCGCCAAGGACCGCGCGCACATCACAGACCTCGCCGGGCGCGTGCGCCTGCTCAACGACCGGCTGCGCGACATCCGCAAGGAGCAGCAGTACCAGCGCGAGCGCGAGGCGGCGTTCCGCGATCTGTCCGAGCAGACGAACAGCCGGGCAGTGTGGTGGAGCATCGTCCAGGGCGTCGTCCTGGTCCTGACCGGCGCCTGGCAGCTGCGGTCTTTGACAGTGAGTCCTCCGCCTGGCCGCCGCCCCGTACAGGAGCTGCAAGCGACTGGGCCGCGCATCGGAGCCGCGCCATCGCCGTTCTGCGTCGCCGCCGAGGCGCTGTCGGCCATTGGCGTCAGCCCTCGGGTGTCGGCCCTCAGCGCCAGTCCTCAGTGTCGCCTTCACTGTCAGCCCTTGGCGCCGCCAGTCTGGCTGCACACACCGCTCGGGCCCAGGCATCGCTCACACGTCTGCACAGGTGTTCTTCAACGAGAAGAAGGTCCGCTGAGCACGACACGCCGCCTCCTATGACCCTCCGCCGTCGACACGCACCGCAGCGCCGTCGTCGGCCACGCCACGCAGACGTAATGACATGCTGTGTCTCCTTGTCGCTCGTGTCTGTGTGACGCCCTCTCTTGCTGTCAGCGCTCGGCTGTGCTTGACGGGTGCTGGTCATCGTCGGCCGCATGAGATGCTCGCGCACGACACGCCGCTGCACCATCGCAGCAACGCAGAGACGCTCCAAAGGCCCGTCGCGGCTGAACGGTGGTATGGTCGCGCGAGTGTCGTCAGGTCTTCTAGACAGCGGCAAGCGGTACAGACGCATGTTACCTCGACTTCGACGCAAGCAGTTGGGCGGTGACAGCGGCGAGTGACGGCTACGCGGGCGCGTGCGCCGGGGCTGATCAACGCACGAAAACTGTGCGCGCGTGAGCGACCCGCGTCGGCCGCATCAATTGAGACGCGCAAAGGGCCGCAGAGCGAGCGAACGCGCGCTGCATTCTTGCCACGCGCACCGCAAGACAGTTTTGGGCCCTCGAACAGCCACCAGCTCGCGAGAGAAGGCGCGCCCGCGCAGGCTGGGAGATGCGGCACCTTCCGGGGACGATCACTTCGCACGCATGCAGCGCGTCGGCAGGACAATGTCACATGCGTGTCTCCCGCAGAGCTAGAAGCGCTGTCTGCACGGCGTAAACGGTCGCCGGGTGCAGACCCACGGCTGTGCTTACCCTGGGCGGTCCGAGGGTGCAGCGCCGTCAACTCTATCCCCTCCGAATGCGGCGGAAGAGGTCGTTGCTGCGGCCTCCGGAACCTAGCCAGCGGCTCGCTGACCTAGGGCGGCCAAGATGATGGAGCTGCTGTCTTGTCGTCCTTGCCGACGCGCGGGCTAGGGATCGCCAGCTGGTGAGACGATCTGTATCTTGCTCGAGCGCTTCCGGCAACCAGCTCGCAGCAGTCTGATAGCTGCAGCTCCGCTCGCAGCGACATAGGCAGCCGGACCCCCCGGGCGGCAGACTGCTTGCCCGGGGGAGGTGCCGGGCAGAGCACCCCTCAACGCATCCTGATGTGACTGTCTCAGCCGTCCAGGTGGACAGCGGATGCTTGCAGCGTCCTCACGCACTGTCAGGCTACACGGCTGAGCTGCTGATGAGGCAGAGGCGCGCGTACTTGGACGCGGAGACGGCGCAGGAGGCAGAGAGCGCGGGCGTCAAGCGGCGCCGCGCGCAAGTGTTGGTCTTGGACATGCCCGAGTCCCGAGCCCCGCGTGCAGCGCGCGCTGCACCGCCACACGCCGCCGCGGCGCGCTAGGGGCAGCCGCCGGCGCGCGCCTCGACCCCTATTCCCTCCTCGCGCACGGCCCCTGGGCGCCTCGAGTCGTGTGCGAGGGGTGCTCCGTTCGCTCTCTCTCTACCACATCATCCCCCTCCGCGCGCCTCCGCACACGACTCACGCCTCCACACGCGCGCCGCAGCCATGCCTCCCGCGCACGCAGCTGCCGCCGCCGCGGGCCCAAGCACCCCGCTCAAGCAGACCGCCGGCGCAGGACGCACGGCTCGCGGCGCCGAGCCTGCCCTCGCACCGCACCACATGCCCGCGTCGCCGTCCGACGCGAGCCTGGCGGAGCTTGCCTGGCTCGGCGTGCACGACCGCTCCGTGGACGAGACGTGCGACAGCGAGGATGCGGAGGGCACGGTCCGCTTGCCAGCGCCGGCGGGCGGCCGCACGCCGCTGAAGAACATCTGGCCGAGGCAGACGCCGCAAGCCACGCCTCGCGGCCGCCCAAACGCTGCAGCAAAGGGCGCGGCACCAGCTGCAGCTACTCCCGCGTCGCTCTTGCCTCGCCGGACGCCGTCCCGCCGGACGAGCGCCGACAGCTCCGACGAGGAGGAGACCTGGAGCGACGCCAGCTCGCACAGCGCGGGCACCATCGCGCGGCACTCGCGCTACGCCTCTGCCATGAGCACGCTGCGGCTCGCGGGCGCCAGACGCCGGGCAGAGGCCGCCGCCCGCGCGGCCGCAGGTGAGGCGACCATCCTCGTGGGTCCGGCGGGCGTCGACGTCGCCAGGTGGGTTCGCGCCGGCGGAGCGGCAACGCAGGCCGCCGCGCCGCCCAGCCTGCCGGACACGCGCCGTGCCAAGGCAACGTCTCGCGACGCCGAGGCCGGTGCCTCTCGCCAGCCTTCTCTACAGCAGCCGCTTCCGAGCCCGGCGCCGGCGCGCGTGGCATCGCCGCCGCCCGCCGCCCCTGTCGCGCGCGATGAACAACCTAGCCCGGCGCAAGGACTGCAAGACCACGGCGAGCAGGCGACTTCAGCGACCACGCCGCATGCGCCGGATCACAGCGCTGAGGACGACGTGGAGGCTGCGCTGGCAGAGCTGGACGCCGACATGATCGCCACGCTGCTGCGCGAAGTGGACGGAGAGGGGAGCGCCGATCCTGCAGGCAAGGAAGCTCCGGATCGCGCAGCAACATCCACCTACGGAGGCGGCATGCCAGACGAGACTGTGCGCTCGGACCTCGCCATCGATGCAGCCTCGCCCGCAGATGCACTCGTGGCGCAGTACAACGCGGATGACACGAGCCAGCAGCTGGTCGGCGGAAGTGACGTGCGCGAGGGCTACTCAGTGAGCGACGTGCAAGTTCCCGCCGCATCTCCGAGCCGGCAGAGCCTCGGCGCGGCCGATCGCGATGAGCCGCAGCCAGAGCCGCAGCCAGAGGCTCGCCGCGTCGAGGATACATCGAAAGCCTCACAGCTCCGAGCTCCTGCACCGGGCGGCCGGTCGGCGCGTGCGCTCTACGACTTCGCTGGCGAGGCGACGTTCAACGAGCTGTCGCTCAAGGCCGGCCAGTGCTTTGAGATCCTCGTGCCCGAGCTGCGCGGGGGCTGGAGCCTCGGGCGCGTCATGCTGCCTCACGAGGGCGGAGGCCTGGTGGAGCGCCGAGGGCTGGTCCCGCTGGGTTGGTATTGCGTGAGTCATCCCTGGGCCGGTGCAGAGGCAGGCAAAGCTGAGCGCGCTCCTGGCCCACAGTTCATCCAGGACTTCGCCGCCGCACCGGGCGATTCGTCGGAAGGCGCGCCCTCAGCTGAGGCAGATGACCAGCTTTCAGTGCTTCGCGCTCCCGCGGCTCGTGACTCGACGGCCGTCCCGGCGTACGCCAAGGCGATGCGTCCGCCGGACGAGGACGCCAAGCAGCGGCCAGCAAGCGGCGTCGGCGAGTTCCACCGCAAGGGCGCTGCGCCGGCGATCAAGACGCTCGAGGCCCTGCACGGCAGCTACGACGCCGCGGACACGCGCGCTTCGCTTCTGTCACGGCACGCAGCGTCCGCACCGGCGTCCGACGGACTGGGCTCGGACCTCATCGACCACCGTGTGCCCGTGTCGTCGTCGCCTCTGCTGTCCAGTCCTCCGACGCCGACGCTCGTGGTGGACGGCGCCCAGGACGGCTCGCCTGATGGCGCCAGTGGGAGCACGGCACCGCCCGTCGCAGCGCCTGCGACCGGCTCGAGCTTCCTCAGTGCATCGTGGCGCGGCGCCGGCCTGCTCGGCGGGCGCAGCTTCAATCGTTTCTCGCCCTTTGTCGTCTCTGGGGCCGAGGCATTCATCCTCTCGCGGTCCGCCCCAGCACCACCGGGCCACGCTCGGGCGTCTGCCGTACGGTCTGCTGCCCCTGGCCAGCTCGACAAGAGCTCCGCCGAAGCATCCGGCTCGCGACGTGGGGCCCGCCATGTCGACGCAGATCTGCCGCGTATCAGCGACAGCTTGCACGGGCCGCAGTGGGAGCCCCGCGCGCCGCCGTACCACGTCGTCGTGCACAGCCCCGAGCCGCGCTGGGACGCGAACGGTGCCGAGTACACCGTCTACGCCGTCACCTCGCTCTTCGGCAACGCAGACACAGATGCCGACTCGACGACATGGCGGCCATACGACCCAGCCGCTGCGCCGGTCAACCCGGACGAGACGCTGAGCGTGTGGCGCCGCTTCTCGCACTTCCACTGGCTGAGCATGTACATTGCACGCGCGCTGCCTCTCCTCTCGCTGTCGCTGCCGCCGCCGCCGGCCAAGGTGCTCGCTGGCCGCACGCGCCTCGAGCCCGACTTTGTCGAGACGCGCCGGCGCGAGCTTGGTGCGTGGCTCACGCGCGTGGCGCGCCATCCCGTCTTGCGCACCGAGCCGGGCCTCGTGTTCTTCCTCGGCTGCGCGGACGAGCACACGTGGAATGCGCGCGCGCCCGGCCTCCTTGCGCAGGCTGGCAAGGCCGGCGGCTACTCCTTCTTCGCGGCAACGTGCCACGACCAGTGGGCCTTTGACGCCTCGGAGGCGGATGAGGCGGCGCAGCGTCTCGACGAGTTCAACGGCGCGTACGAGCGCAGCATGGGCGGGCACCGGCACGGCCTGCTCGAGTCCTTTGCGGCCGGCCGGGAGGCCCTGGCAAAGACGTCTGGCGCGTATCGCGCCGTCGGGCACGGTCTCTTGCGTCTCACAACCGGCTTCGGCGGCTCGCACGCGAGCGGCGCTGATGCGTCAGCGTCTGCGGAAGACGAGGCGTACTTCGGGCCGGCGATGGGCGGGCTTGGAGAGCGTGGACAGAGCGGTGCGACCAACGAGGACGGCGCGTGGTGCTGGAGGCCGGACTGCGCGGGTGAGTGTCGCTTCGTCGAGCGATCTCCAGTGCACGGTTGACGCATGTCTTCTGCGCAGAATGCCTCGCCGCCACGCGTGCTCTCCAGAGCACGGCGCATGCCTTCGAGCACGTGGCGGAGGCCTACACCGACCACGCGCACCACACGCTGCTGGTGCAGCACGAGCGGCTGCGTGATATCAGCAAGCCGCAGGCCCAGAATGCGGTGCGTAGCGGTACAAATCGCCGAGGACTGCGCAGCTGACACGTCCGCGACGCAGGGCCTCATGGACGTGCACCGGCAGGTGCTGTCGCGCCACCGCCAGGCAACTGGCGAGGATGCAGCTCTGCCCGACAGCCGGGCGCCCGGCGCAGAGGCAGAGGCGCTCGCGGCGCGCTGCGAAACGGTTCTCAACGTGTGAGCAGCGCCGTTGCTGCACACTCGACGCCATGCTGACTTTCTCGCGCAGCACGATGAGCGAGATGGACCGGGCGCACAACGAGCGGGTGGAAGACTGGATCTCCATTGGGCGCAGCATGCTTGACGATGAGATCGCGCTGTACAGCGAGGTGCGTCCCTGCCCGGCTGCGCGCCGCTCTTCCCTTCTGACGCCTCGCGCAGGTCCTGGCCCGCCTGCAAGCGGCACGCGCATGCTACGAGCCTGGCGCGCTGGCGTCCATGTCCACTCGCGGGCCGATCCTGCCCGCAGTCTCGGCGGCGGCGCTGCGAGATCCGCCGGTGCGCCCTCTGCCGCTCGTCGTGCCAGATCGTGCAGTCCTGCAGCCAGGCGTCTTGAGCACGGCATTCCGACCGGTGTCGCTCGCCGGCGAGGTCCTGGGTGGTCTGTTCGGCGCCGGCACAGCCTCAACTGAGCGCGCGCGCGCGTCTTCGTTGCAGCGGAGCCACAGCGCCAACGACGCCCCCGTCGGCGGTAGCGTGCTGGGCTTCTGGCGCTGATACCACGCACTGGCGCGCATCTCAATCCATCAGCATCACGCGCAGCTGCTGGTCTACGTCTCCGAGCTGTGCGAACGTCTGCGCGCGAGGGCCGGTGAACACTGAACTTCTGCCGGCTCGCCGGCTCGCTCACCGTTTGGGTCTCGAGTGGCGCCACCGCATACCACTCCTGCCACGCGCCGCGCAGGCATGCGGCATCCTCAGCAGCTGCGCCGACGCTCGCCTTGGCCACGCTCGCGAGGATGCGTGCGCTCCACGCCGCGATGCCCGGCGGCATACCGGTGGGACTGCGGCTGGCGTCGAGCAGCGCACTGCAGGCGGACACGGCAGCGCGAGCCCGCCGCCGCTGCAGCGACTTATGGGCCGTGTCTGCCGCAAGGGCGATGTGCGCTGCGCAGAACTCGAGCGCCATCGGCAGTGTGCGCGCCGTACCCGTGCTTCCGAGCACCGGCGCCAGCGTGACGAAGCTGTCGAATGCAGCACAGAGCAGGTCCGTCGGCTCAGAGCCTGCTGGCGCCTGCGGAGGCACGTCCATGGGCGGCACCGCGCCGTAGTACGCGCAGGCGCGAAGGATTGCATCGGCCAGGCCGGCGCATCGGTGCCAGCAGTCCTCGGACGTCGCGTCCGGCAGATGCAGGCTCAGTCGAGTCGCGGCGCACAGCAACGCAGGTCCAAGCGGGTCCGAAGAGTAGGTCAGCGAGGTCTGGCAGTGATCGTTGAAGAGCGCCGCCAGATTCGAGCGCAAGAGGTATGTGCGCGCCGTCGGAGACCCGACAAGGAGCTCGGCAGAGCAGTGCAGGCCGACTAGCCGCGTGGCGGGAGACGGATCGGAGACGACTGCGAGGAGCGCTGGGAGCAGGCTCGGCACGTGCAGGTCCCATGCGGCGGCGGAGAGCGTCACGGCCGCGTGCACAGCAAGCCAGACGGCGGCACCAGCGGCGAGCGAAGGTGCGCGCGCTTCGCCATCAATGTGGATCGGCTCCTTGTCTCGAGGAAGGTGGCGCTCGGAGCCGGGAGCGGGGCGCTTGTAGCGCGCATTCGCCGAGATGCCGCTCGGGGCCGGCAGCAGCGCGGGCAGCAGCAGGAGCAGCGGCCGCAGCAGCTCCTCTGGCAGTCGAGGAGGGCGGAACGGATGCCCGGGCTCCTGATCTTCGAGGGTCTTCGAGACAGGCGCGCAGCCAATGCTGGCATGCAGCAAGATCTCTGCGGAGAATGCATCAGCCGAGACCTGCCTCGACGTGACAACTCTGCATCTAGACAAATCGCCATCTGGCTGCCGGGCGCTGCCTCTAAGTCTGGCAGCGTCTCTCGCGCCGGCGCCTTCAGACGTTGACTCAGCGCCTCACCTGTGGCATTCGTCCGTGCGGCACTCCCATCCCACCCTTCTGCTCCGGGCGGGCGTGGTCCGAGGAAGCGCGCAGCTGCCAGGGCGACGGCAGCACGCTCGTCGCGCGTCAGCGGCTCGTGCCGTTCTTCGAGGTGCGCCCGCGTCTCCTCGAGCGCCGCACAGGCTCGCGGGCCCCACGCCAGCCGCGCCTCGAGCACGCTGGGCGGCACCAGCCGGTCGAGAAGGCGCGGCAGCGTGGTGGGCGGCTGCGGAGACGGCATCACGGAGCGCGAGGCGTGGTGCGGCCGGGCGTGGCCATGGGCGCGGCAGCGGGAGAAGTGGAGGTGAGGACGCACGAGTCGCGCTTCGACTTCAGCCGCGCCAGACCGACGAGCGGCGCGCGGCCAACAGCCTGGCACCTTCCTCACGACCCTCATCTCCCGATTCTGCCACAGCCATGGACTGCGCCACTTGCCCGCTCGACACGGCGTCGTCTGCTGCACCTGCAGCGCCGCCAGGCCTGCCAGCGTACCCCTTCACCGCGCCCTTCACGCCCGCCGGGCCGTCGCCGAGCGTCATCATCGAGTTCTGCGACCGCTGTCGCTGGCTGCACCGTGCAGCGTGGGTGCAGACAGAGCTGATGCTCACCTTCACGCCGCGCATCGGCACCGACGCCGCGCCCACCAAGGCCAGCGGCGGCGCCGAGCTGCACGCCGTCACGCTCGTGCGCCTCACGGCCGACGAGACGGCGGGCCGCTTCCGCGTCTGGCTGAGCTGGGACGGCGGCGTGACGTGCGTCAGCGACCGCAAGGCCGACGGCGAGTTCCCTGAGCTCAAGGTGCTGGTACGTAGGCGCGCCTGGCTCAATGTGCGGGCTCCGGCAGCTGACAGCCTGCACCGCCTCACAGAAGCAACGCATCCGCGACATCATTGCGCCGTCGTTCTCTCTCGGCCACTCTGACCGCGATGCGATGAAGGCAAAGTCTGCTGCGTGATGGCCGACGCACGGCTCGTGTAGGCGCTCGTCACGCAAGCGGATCGGCAAGTTGGGATCAGCCGCCTGCGAGGGCGCAAGCTCCGGTCTCGCTCCGCTACACGGCTGAGACAGCCTGGTGAGACGACGTCCCAGGCTCGCACACAAGGGTGCTGCAAGCATCTCCTCCGCTGAGCCACGTCCAGCCACGTGACGCCGCGCTCATCGTCACGCTCACGGGCCAGCGAGTCCGAGCCGCTTACAGCCTGAAGGCCATGTGCCAGCGAGTCTTGGCAGTCTGCAGGTCGAAGCGAGCAGGATAGAGCGCACACGGACTAGCAATATCATACCCTCGACAGCATCTGCGCAAGTAGCTCCCGCAGGTGGCGTGCGCAGAATCGTGTGGTGTAGTGCACGGACATGGTCATTGGCAGACCGTGTTGCGACATGCCGGCCGCTGGGTATCGGATTGTCGCGCCGGACAGCAAGCTCACTGCTGCGTGCACGTGGGCGCAGTCAAGAAGCACCAGCACTGGCAGTGCTCAGAGATGCTTCCTCGCGCTGGCCCGCACCCGTGCATCGAATGCCACGCTGCGGATGGGTGCCTGCGGATCGTGCAGCGGGTTGAGGAGTGTCTATGGCAAGGGGCGGAGACGTCAGGCCATGCGCCTCACGAGGCCGCGAGCCGCGCTCCTCACCTTCACGAGCAGCTCCCACACGTCGAGGAAGAAGTTCCGGATGCCATCGTCGTGGCGGTGCTCATGCAGTATCAGCATCTTGATGTCTGCAGTGCTCGAGGTGAGCGGTGATAGGGCACGGCAGCAAGCAGATGACGCACTGCCTGGCACGAGAAAGGCCGAGACGGTCCACTCGTTGATGCGATCGACAGCCTTGAGGTAGCTGAAGAGCAGGGAAAGGATCAGCGTTCTGTGCTCCCTCGCGCCCGACTGTGGCGGCTGCAGGCCGCACGCTCGCCTCCCGTCCGCTTGCCAGGCACTCACAGCGTATTGCTCGTCCACTGGCGGTCCTCCACCGCGTCGAGGCTCGAGTGCGCGATCATCTGCAGCGTCTCTGCTGCGCTATAGCCAGCAAAGCCCAGCGAGTTGGCGCCCTGGCTGGCACTTGTGGTCGCGGCGTCCTGAGCGCCAGTCTCTGAGCCGGCGCCGCGCAGGCCCCCTGCAAGCGCCTGCAGCGATGCCGCGAAGCCGAACATGCCGCCCTCGCCGGAGTTGCGAGGCATTGACGCAGCTGCAGCACTGGCCTGTGGCCGATTTGGCGACGGAGCGGCTGCGCTCGCAGAGAAGAACGAGGTTGTCGAAGACAGCACAGAGGATGAGGCAGGCTTGGAGGAGAGGTGGGCCTCGTAGAGCGGCGAGTCTCGGGGCGAGACGATGACGAAGTAGTAGGCCATGATCGATGCCGGTAGAAGGATATCTGCGACAGCGCAAGCGACAACGGCGAGGATGCGGGGCAGGCGAGGCGGCCTGCTCTCGAGATCACTGCGCGCCGGCAGCAAATGCTACGGACAGCTGATGTCCCGCGGACTGACGACGAGCGATTGTCCGAGCGGCACGATATGGACTGTACAGCTCCGATACGACCACGTATGGTCTAGCGTGCGCCTCGTGTGGCTGCAGTCGAGCTCTTGGCTGATTGGCGGGTGAGGGTGAGAGAGAGAGAAGGCGAAATGGAGCCGGCGCGAGAGCTCGGCGGCCCGCAGCGTGCACGGCCCTGCTGCCCGCCTACCGCACGGCAGCCCGTGGCTGGTGCCGCACGTGATGCGACGCGTCCAGCACCCAGCACGTCGCTGGACCCCTGCCAGGACCTGCAGCAGTCCTCTGCTGCTGCGTTCAGCCAGTGCGTCCGCGACGGCGAGCCAGCACGCTACCTCCTCTGTGAAGGAGCCCATGTTGCTATGGACGACGCCCAGTGTCAGCGCGGTCTGGCCTGCAAGACTCTGGCTGAGATGCTTGCCGCCGCGTCGCGACGCGCGCGCGCGACGCGCACCTTTCGCCCGCCGCTCGCCGAGGACGCCGCAGTGGCCGGCGTCGCACAGCCGCAGCACGGCATGGCCAGCACAGAGCCCCACACAGGCGGCAGATGTCGCTGATGCGGGCGAGGGACATTGCTTTGCCTCTCAGGTGCGCAAACGGCGCAGCGACGGCACAAGCACAAGCACCCTGAGATGCCGGCACGGCGTGCTTGCGCGCGTTGTGGCGGCACGGCGCCGCGCCGCGGCTCTGCCGTGGCGCGCGGAGTATGATGCGGCACGGCGCCCCGCCCTTATTTGGCCACGCCTCTCTCGTCCTGCCATCACACCCACTGCCGCTCCTCGCTCTCCCCTCCCCTCTCTGCCACTGCAGGCGCCTGCCGCTCTTCCGACCGAGCACTGCGCCGCGTCGGGGCCCGTGATGCTGGTCGTGCACCTGCCGCCCTCGGGCGCCCTGCCGCAGCCGGCAGAGCCAGCGCCAGCCAGTGCCAGCACGCTCTCGCCGCCCCCGTCGACTCGCCGCAGCACACGCTCGCGCTCGAGCACGGCCTCGTCACTGGCCACGCCGCCGCCGCCGCCCGCGCAGAGCGATGCCCGTGCCGCCTCGGGCTCGGCGCGGCCCGCCAAAGGCGCCGAGCCGCTCTCCGCGCAAGTCAGCGACTATCCGGTGCCGAGCCGCGCCGAGGCTGGCGTGCCTTCCTTCGGGCGCTCGTCAAAGGATGTCGAGCGTGATGTGGCTCGCGTGTGGGAGGCTCTTGCTAGCGCTCGCCGTGTCGTGGTGATCTGCGGTGAGTGCCGGAAGGCGGCTGTATGCGTGTGCGCCGAGCCCGTTCTGACGCTGTGTCATCAGGCGCTGGCATCAGCGTCTCTGAGCCGGCCAACATCCCCGACTTTCGCAGCGCAACTGGCCTGTTCCGCAAACTCAAGGAGAAGCACCCGACCGCCGGCCTCAGCTCCGGCAAGGACCTGTTCGATGCCCGTCTGTTTGGCGTGAGTCGTGCCGTACCCGCCCGTCTTCCGGTACGCTGACACGCCAGCAGTCTGAGTCGACCTCGTCGCTCTTCTACTCGATGATCTCTGAGCTCAAGACCCTGGCCGACGCCGCCCAGCCGACGGTCTTCCACCGTCTGCTGAAGCGCCTCGACGACGAGGGCCGCCTGCTGCGCGTCTACACGCAGAATATCGACAACCTCGAGGAGCGCGCCGGCCTCTCTTTCGGCCTTGGCGAGACGGGCGACAGCACGACGACGGCCCGAGCACTTGGCAAGCGCAAGCGCGACGAGAAGGCACGCGCCGCCGCCACGAGCGGCAAGCAGGACCTCGGCAAGGGCGCGCCCGTCGGCGTCCGCGCGCAGTGGGGCCGCAGCGTCAGCGACAGCGCCCTGCTGAAGAGCCATCAGGAGCGCTTCGAGAGCCTGACGCCGGAGCCGAGCTCGACGACGCCCATGTTTCCGCGCACGATTCCGCTGCACGGCAGCCTCTCGGCGCTCACCTGCAGCGTCTGCACGTACAAACTCTACCTGTCTCCGCCGACGCTCGAATCTGCGCCCGACAGCGTCGCCGGCTCGAGCACGCGGCGGCAGTCGCCAGGCGCGCCCGAGCGCGAGGCCGATCGCGTGCAGGCGCTGGCAATGCTCGCGGCCGGCGAGCCGGTGCCCTGCTCCAAGTGTGCAGACTACGAGGAGGTGCGCGCAGTGGCCGGCCTGCGCAGCCGCGGCGTCGGCATCATGAAGGTCGGCGTCGTGCTGTACGGCGGGCAGAACGAGGGCGCAGAGCAGGTGGGCGAGTGTCTGCAGCGCGACATCTTGGGTCTGCGCGACCCCAACGAGCCGGCGGTGCCCGAGACTGCGGCCGAACGCAAGGCCCGCGAGCGCAAGGCGAAGAAGGAGGCCGACAAGGTGGCCAGCAGCATCGAGCCTGTCAAGTCTCTGCCATTTACGCCTGGCGGCCTGCAGCCCATCGTCGAGATCGGCGGCGACGAGGCCTTCGCCGCGGCGTTCAACGATCCCGACGATGCAGCCGCCGAGGCTGAGCTGCTGCTGCCCTCGTCGTCGCTCGCGGCGAAGCCGGCGCAGGTCCGCGCTGCTCGCGTGCCTCGCCTCAAGCCGCTGCCGCCGGATCTGCTGATCGTGGCGGGCACGAGCCTCAAGGTGCCCGGCACCAAGCGCATCGTCCGCGAGTTCGCCAAGGCATGCCGTGCCCGCGACCATCGCGTGTACAGCGACGAAAGCGATGACGAGGAGGACGCCGACGGTTCCCGCATCAGTCCTCGTCCGCGCAGGGGTGCCGCCGGCCGTCGCAGTACGCGATCCCGCAGTGCAGGTGCCGACTCGGCGGAGTCGGGTTCCGGCGACGAGCCAGACGAGAGCGACGAGGATGAGGACATTAACGCGCCGATCCGCAGCATCCTCCTCAACTACGACTTTCCGGGGCCGTCGCGCGAGTGGGAAGACGTCTTCGACGTGTGGGTGCAGGGCGACGTGCAGCGTGCTGCACTTGGTCTCTGGGAGGCCAGCGCGTACCCGGTGACGGAGACGCACGTGCGGAGCATGGCGCCTGGCACCGCCGGCGCCAGCCTGGAGCAGTACAGCTGGGCGAGCTCGATGGCGTATCTCGAGTCGGAGCGCATCCGGGAGAAGCGCGAGGCCCGCAGCGCGGCCAGGCGCGCAAACTCGCCCGGTGCGAGCTCTGCCACCTCTTCGGCCGCCCGGCGCGGCAAGGCGGCAGTCGCCAAAGACACAGCACTGCCCAACAGCAAGGCCAGGCGCACCAAGCTCGAGCAGAGCCCGTCGACCGCGACTCAGTCGCCGTCTGCATCGCCCTCGCCCACCAAGAAGCCTCGTGCGTCGGGCCCGGCCAAGAAGCGCGCCGCGGGCAAGGCCGCCACCGACAGCGAGGCCGCGCCGTCCCTCAAGAGCGGGCGGAAGGCATCTGCCGTCGAGGGCGAGGCGCAGTCCAAGCCGACGTCGCGCGCCTTCTCGCGCTCCAAGAGCAGCAGCCACGCCGAGACTGCCGCTCAGCCCGCCGCAGCGCGCCGGCGTCTGGCGGCGGTGCGACGCAACAGCGTCAGCAATGCGCCGTCGGTCGTGCTCGACAATGGACTCGCCCGCGCATATGCGGGCACCAAGGGCGGTGCCGGCTCGACGGGCGAGCGCGCGCGCCGCATCATCAAGTTGGAGTAGAGACCTTGCGCTGCCGCTCCGCTAGGATGCATGCCGCCGTCCTCTCTTGTGCAGAAGGGCTGCCACCGCAGCGCCAGCCAGCGCAGCTCTTCCCGGCACCAGTCACTTCCTCGTTGCCCCTTGCACCGCATCGCCTGTCCCTGCCTGTGACTCGCTCGTCGTTCCTCATCATTGTACTCTAGCCATGTTCCCGTGTACCCCAATCCATCCATATCCGCGCGCAAGCGTCTGCTGTCCGAGCCTGAGCACGCTGCATGAGACCTGCGTGCCGGGTCCTCGGTCCGAGCTCCGGCGGCTCGCCGTCGGCGGTTTATCCGTCGCGTCTCGTCCGCGCGTTCCCTGCGGCTGGGCAGCGTCAGACACATGCGCAAGATGCCTTCCCTGAGCCGCTGCCGCTGCGGCACTTACTGCAAAGGCAGCCTGTAGAGCTGACGGTGCAGCCAGGGCAGCACAGACAGGCACGTCCGACGTGCAGCCGGCGCACGCTCGCGAGGTGCAGCGCCTTGCCCCTCACATCGCCTCACCAGGCTGCCGCCGCCTGTGCCTTCTCATCGGCCCTGACAGGATCGAGCTGAGCAGCGCGACCTCTACGTGACCCGATTGTATGCCCAACGCGTTCTGTTCTGAGCGCCAAGACGTCCCGAGCGGGCCGCCGCCCCTTTGTTGAGGGTGGGCCTCTCTTGAGACGCTAAGGGGGCTGCGGGGCTACTGATCCATCGAAGCCAGCATGCAGAGTCGTGAGTCAAATCAAGCCACAAACGAGTACCTTGGTGGCGGTGCTGTGAGCCGCAGATCTCGTCGAGATTTTGGCGCCAACTTCACCGCGTCCATCATGATGGCGTCCAAGGTTCTGAGGCAGGCAGCATCACCCGCACGTGCGGCGGGTGCGGGCCACGCGATGCTCCAGCGGCCGCCGGCCGGGTGTGGGCGTAGCGCGCGCGGCGCGGCGCAGGGGCGCCCCGGGAGGCGCCAAAAGGCTTGGCAGGCGCTCGCGTGGCTGCAGGCCTGCGTCACCCCAGCAGCGCCGGGTGCCGCGCCGCACCCGACCCCAGCTCGGGACGCCGGGCGGGCCCGCAGCGCGCGCGGCGAGCACCTCTCCGCCGTCGTGCGATTGCCGGCGCGCTCCGGACCTGCCTCCTGACCCCATCCATCTGGGCCCCCGTCCGCTTCTATCCCGCTGCCGCAGGGCACCTGCTGCTGGCACCCGCACCGCCACGCCGCGCTGCGCCTCGCGCACGCACTCTGTGTCCAGTGCTGCTGTCGTCATCGAACCGCGCAACCGCCCTTGATTGGCACGCGGCGGCGCCAAAGCTCGGCGTGTCCGCAACTGCTGCTGCATCTTCTCGACCACCACATCCTCTGCGTATCCCCACCTCTCGCTGCACCGCGCAGCAACGCTCTCTCGCAAAGACTGTCGAGCTGCACTCTGGCTAGTGCGCGCGCTCCTCTCTGCTCCGGCGATTCTCGGCAATCTGCATCCCTCGAAGCCACTCGCAGCGCAGCATGCCGGGCATCAAGTCGCTGAGGCACCTCGTGTCGGGCGCAAAGGCGCGCACCGTCGATGCCGAGACGGGCACGGATCTCGACCTGGTGTACCTGACGCCGCGGCTCATCATCATGGCGTGGCCCGGCTCGGGCGTGGAGGTGCTGTACCGCAACAACCGCCGCCACGTGCGCCGCTTCCTCGACACCAAGCACGGCGAGCACTACCGCATCTTTAACCTGGTGCCGCGCACCGAGAACACATGTGAGTGCGAGTCCAGCTGCGTGCGCCCTGCCCCGGCTCACAGCATCACAGACGAGGCGGACGAGTTTGACGGCCGCGTCTCGCGCTATCCCTTTCCCGACCACCACCCGCCGCCTCTGAGCATGATCCCGCTCTTTGTGGCCGACATGACCGCCTGGCTGGGCGAGGATGAGCGCAACGTGGGCGTCGTGCACTGCAAGGGTGAGTGCGCTCGCGCAGGCGTGCGCTGAAGGGCTCCACTGATGCGCGTACGTCTCAGCGGGCAAGGGCCGCTCGGGCACTATGAGCGTGGCCTACCTTCTTTCGCTGCCCATTCTGCCGAACATCTCTACCGGCGCCGCCGACGCGAGTGATGGCATGAACGTGACGAGCGGCCGCGCAGTCGGCGCACCATCCGAGCCCTTCTCGGCCAAGTCCACGAGCTCAAGCACATTTGGCGCAGGCGCATCCAGACGCCGGCCTAGTGTCTCACGGAACGCATCGACGGAGCACGATGCGCTGGATCAGCGCACGGTGGGCTCACCCATGGAGGCAGGCACTCCCACGAAGGAGGAGGCGGTGGCGGAGCGCCTCCGAGCTGTCTTCGAGATGCACACGGCCCGGCGGCTGAAGCCCAAATCGCCTTCGCAAGCTCAGCGCGCCGGCGCAGCTGCAGGCCACATGGCGGACTCGCGTGCCAAGTCGGGCTCCCCGATGCGCTCCAAGAGCGGCCCCAACTCGCCCGCACGATCTCCGCCTCGGTCGCGAGCAGGAAGCTTGCTCCGGCGCCCGAGCTTCACCCTGAGCCGCAAGAACGGGCTCACGCCGCTCTCGCCTGCTTCGCCACGCGAGAGGAAGCTCAGCCACGACAGCTTGCCCTCGGCCGGCTCGTCCTCCCCATCGCACGCGCGCAAAGACCTGCGCGCCCTGGGTGTCAGCCCGGCTGGCAAGTCGTCCGACTGCCTTGGACTTGCGGGCGACTCAGGTAGTGCCGACGTCTCGCGCGACCGAAGCGCAGACGGCCACACGCGCTCTGGCAGCAGCGACGACGAGAAGCACGTGAACGGCCAGGCGAACCGCGAGGCTCTGTCGCCCCTGCACATTCCGCCGCGCACGTCGTCAGTCTACTGCAGAGACGAGGAGCGGCCTCCGTCGTCGGGCGACGAGGACTTTGTTGAGCCGACTGCGCCCCACCTGGCCATCTCGATCCCGAGTCAGCGTCGCTGGCTCGGCTACTGGGGCCGCCTGCTCGCCGGCAACGACCCTCGCATGTCGCTCTACGCCTTCCAGCCGCGGCCGCTGAAACGCTTCGTCCGCATCACTCGCGTCTGGGTCGAGCGCGCAGGCACCGCCGACAGCTCGCGCGACGCCATGAGCGCCGAGAATCTGAGCGTTCAGCTCATGCGGTACGACGACCGCCTCGCCGACCGCCTTTCAGCGTGGGAACGCGGAGCGAGAAGGCGCAGAGCTGCGTTCCGCCTGTGCGACCCCGGTGCCATCGCCCCGGCCCTGCCTGGCGCCGACGAAGAGACGCTCGAGGCCGCCGGCCTGCTCAACTCTACACGCGCGCGCGAAAAGGCGCACCGCCGCGAAGAGCAGCGCTGGAAAGAGGCTGCTGAGCAGCAGGCGCGCCGCGAGCGCCTTGCCCAGCACGGCAACGAGACGGGCGTGGGCGAGTGGGGCATTGACGTCCGCGCCGAGGCGGTGCGCGCCCGCGAGTTCTGGTGGGACGATGACAACGAGAAGGACGTCGCTCTTGCGGCCAAGGAGTCGCACGGCAAGATCAAGAAGCAGGTCACCTCGCAGCTCAACTACTGCGCGCTGCTCCGCGAAGCAGGCCGCGAGCGCATCGGCGATGCGGGCGCAGGACCGGCACTGGTCAGCTACGAGTTCGACTGCTCCAACCCGACGTTTCCCCCATCTCCGCGATTCGTCGCCAACTCGCCGTACAACGCAAGCAGGAGCACGGTCAACCTGCAAGCAGCAGCCTCGAGCTTGAGCCTGCACCCGGCGCTCGGCGCGCGCACCAAGTCGCACGGCGGACTGCGAGGCGCCTCTGAGGATCTGCACGCCGCCGGGCCCAGACGTTCGCAATCGGACGACGCCGGACGAGCCGCAGCCGGCGGCTTCACGCCGCAGCGCCAGCGCTCGCAGACGACGAGTTCGCACGCATCGCCGTACGCGAACACGCCGTACTCCTCGCGCTCGCCGGCCGACTCGATGCGCCGCCTGCACTCCATGACCGCCTCCGACGACGAGCACGGCATCATCGTCGACGCAGATCGTGAGATTGGCGTAAAGGTGCTGCTTGGCAGGACGGGCGCGACGCATGCGAAGCTGCCGGACGTCGCCGCAGCGTGCTGGGCGTGGCTCATCCCGAGCTTCGAGGACCCCTACGGTCACCGCCCGAACCAGCGCCGCGGGCCGACAGAGGTGCGGCTCAGCGCCGCCGAGCTCGACTTCCGCAAGTCGGGCGTCCTGGCGCCGGGAGGCGACATCCGGGCGATCGGACTGCAGTGGGAGTGGGTCGAGACGGGCCGCGACAGCGACGACGAGGACACCGCCGACGAGCCGAGCAGCGCCAACACGGACAGCAGCCTGGCAGAGCCGGCCGACACGTCCTTCGGCAGCACGCTCACCGTGCCGCCGCGGCACATCTGATAGAGCTGATGAATGATAGATTTGCGACTCGCCGCGGCGCGACACATCAGAGGACGGCAACGACGCGCACGGCCTCCTCGCGCAGGTCCACAGTCTGGTTAACCATGCGGTTCAGCGAGCCGCGGGCGGAGACCGGCTCAAACATCAGCGCTTCCTCGCCAGACGCGAGGAGCAGCTTGCGTGTCTGCACGATGGAGGTCTCCTGGCGCGCAGCGAAGGCCGGCAGACGGCGGACGAGCTGGTTGCCCGAGTTTGTGCACGAGCCTGGGCCGCGTCGTCAGCATCAGCTTTACAGCTGGTCATCCGCACGGCTCACCGCTGCAGTACTGCAGGCCCGAGGCATTCGAGAACGCGACAGAGTACGAGTCGCCGTTCGCGACAGAGTTGCGCCTGCGTCGCACCGTCAGGCTCCAGCGCTGTGGTGTGGCTCAGGGCACCGCAGCTCACGTGTAGAAGGAGGAGAGGGTGCCGCCCTGTCTGCTGTTCTCTTGGCTCGGCACGCACCGGGTGCTGGCGCCTGCGCCGCCTGCGGGAAGAAGTGCCTCAGCGACAATCGCCCTCGCTGGTGCTGCGAGCGACGCACCTTGACTTGTCGAAGCAAAAGGGTACTCATCGCAGCTGTTGCTGTCGGACGGGTTGCCAGAGCAGCGGTTGGGACTGCGACAGGCGTTGGCGTCGCGGTTGTCCTCCGCTTGCGGCGAGTTGCGCGTCAGCGTAGTGGGCTTGCCGAGGCACTGTGCAGGTGCGTCAGCGAGAGGCTGGCAAGGACGACTGCCGCGATGCGCACTCTGATGGCGTAGCAGTCGTTGCTAGCAGAGAGATACGGTGAGCGCCTGCCGTGCTGCAGTTGTGCGCAGAACTTACGAGCAGATGTTGGGCACTGCGGCGGTGGAGCCAGGTCAGCGTTCCAGCGATCGGCTCGCGGTCCAGAGCGACGCACCTCTCGAGCAGTCGAAGGTGACCGTCGCGGCCGATGCCGCAGTGACGGCTGCGAGGGCAGCGAAGAGCAGAGTACGAAGAGACAGCATGACAGAGCAGGTCAGCAGCAGCGATGGGGATGGCAGCGGGGATGCGTCCAGCCGGCTTGCTTATGAAGCTCGGCGTGAGGGTCCGAGTGAGATGCGGGCTGCGCAGTCAGACTACATACAGGCCAGCGGCCAAGAAGCTCCGGCGACTGTCAGGGGGTCTGCAAGCTACCTGTCGAGTGTGCGCCGGCTGCGCTTCTCAGGCTCGAGTGCGCCGTGTGGACGGGCCATGGGGCTACTTGGCCGCCCGAGGGTTCGCGTGACGCGCTAAATTAGTCCGGGCAGACGGCACAAAGAGGCGCTGCATTGGCGTGCACGCAACGTGCACCTGCCGCGGCAGCGGTCGTCGAAGCGCACCCTGGCTGAGCCGGCACGAGGCGGCCACGGCAATGGAAAACTGTGGGTTGCACACGTGGTATCGTGATGTACATGATGGAGAGAGAGGAGAGAGAGTGGTGAAAGCGCCGGCCAGCGAGGCCCCGTGATGAAGGCCTGGCGGCTAGTCGTAGTCTTCGACGGCGTGGTCGGCGCCCTCGTCGCCGCCCCAGCTCAGATCCGCGCTGCGCGAGTGGCCCGCATCTGCGCCCGGCTTCGACTTGGCGGTGGCCCAGCCGGCCGGCGGCTCCATGGGCTCTTCCTCCGCCTCGCGAATCCTGCGACGCATGCGCTGCGACGGCGTCTCGGCAGCGCGCTCGCGCTCCTCGTCGGAGTCGAGCATCAGCTCGGCCTCGGCGCGCTCTTCTGCCTTGGTCTTCTTGACAAGCAGAGGTGCCCGCGGCGCAGGTGCGGCCTTGCGGTTGGCGTGCAGGGGCGGCACAAAGCTACGCTTGCCGAGGCCCGGCCGACGGTGGCCACCGGAAGCGCCGACCAGCGCAGCTAAGGCTGTGTGCTCTCGTCAGAATGAGGCGCACTGCCAGGACTGCCGCGCCAGCACTCACGTTTGCCGCTGAAAGAGCGCCGCAGACTCGAGCCGCCCGCAGACTCGCCGTCAGTCCTGCTCATCGTGGGCGTCTTGAACGGACGGTTCGCCAGCGATGAGCGCGTGGCTTCGGCCGCGTTGTGCAGATCGCCGGCCTTGGACCCGGCCGTGCTCTTGCTCGCAGGTGTACGCAGCATCGTGCTCGCGCCAGCGTCAGCTGACGAACCAGCCGACGGGGTGTCTGCTTGTTTGAACGGAGATGCCACAACGGCAGCAGCAGGCGTCTGGTCAGGCGAGAGTATGAGTCAGTGTCCGCACTTCGGCCGAGCGAGACACCTGCTTACCTTGGGCGCGCTGACGGGCTGCTCCGGCGTCGCCATCTCATCGTCCTCTTCTGCCTCATCCGCGTCAGAGTCCGGCACCGTCTTGGCGCCCCTGCGCGCGGTTTTGCGCGGTGGGGCCTTCGCAGGCGAGGCTTTCGCAGGCGACGCCTTGCGTTTGCGCGGCGACGTTCTGGCCGCTTTGGATCTCTCAGCGCCGGCCTTTGCGCTCTGCGCCTCCGAGGCCGCGGCTTGTGCGACTTCGACGGGCTGCGCAGCTGGGCCATCCTTGCCGCCGGCCTTCAGCGGCAGGCGGGACGCCGGCTCCGTGCGGCCTGTCGCAGCCGTGCTCTTCGTTGCAGCGGAGCGATTCGCCGGGCGCGAGACGTCTACTTCGACGCACACCAGCGCGGCCGATCTGCTGGAACCGGCCCGAGACTGATCGCCTTTCGAGCTTGCCTGAGCTCCGGCGTTAGTCGCCTCAAGGCGGCTCGACGGCTTCTTGGTGCGTTGGCCACGGCCCTCTGGCTGCCGAGCGCGCGCTGCATCGTCTTCGTGCGCACTGCTGTCGCCCTCGCGATCCTCGCCATCGCCACTGTCCGGCGCGTCGTCGGCAATGACGAACGCACGACTGCTGGCCTGCGCATCTTTCGCGCTTCGTGCGCTGCCTGAAGTTGCCTTCGCTGGCACTGGGCGGCGTCTGTTAGGCTGAACACGCTCGTCTTCGTCCGTCTCGTCGTCGTCGTTCTCTGCACGGCCGCGCTTTGACGAGGTCGAGCCCTTGGGGGCGTTCGCCTCGCTGGGATGGCTCGATCTCGACACGGTGCTCTGAGCCTTGGCGGCGCTTGAGTTGCGGCTTGTCGCCTGGGGGAATGCCTCTGTCAGTCATTGCCGCAGACGGAGTCAGACACGCACTGACCTTCGCTCCCTTCGCCTCTTCACCACCGGACGACTCATCTTCCGAGCTGAGCACAATCGTGCGCTGCTTGGTCCGACGTCCATCCGCCGCTTGCGTCCTTCCCGAAGTGGCTGCACTACTCTCCTGCTGGCGTGTCGTGCGCACATCGGCTGACGGTCCGGCCGCCGCGGCAGAGCTACGCGCCTTTGGAAGCGGGTTGCCGTCCTTGTCTACGTCGGGTGCGTAGTTCGCAGCCTTACTGGCTGCTCTGCGAGGCGGCCTGCCCTCGTCGGCCGCTGCGAGAGATGCAGCGAGCTCGGCGTCCTTCGCCAGAGCCTTCGTAGAAGCCGATGATTTGGAGGCGCTGTCCGCAGTCGCTCGGCCGCTTGACGTCTTCGCCGGAGCTTTCGTAGGAGCCGACGACTTGGACGCGCTGTCCTTGGCCGCTTGGCCGGTGGAGGTCTTCTTCTTCTCGGTGCGCGGCGGGGGCGTGACCACGCGGCCTGATCGAAACGAAGCCGCACTCTCGCCAGAGGCTGCCGGCCCTGCCGCTGCCGCAGGGGTGGCAACCTTGCGCGATGCAGAAGCAGCCGCCTCTGCGGCAGACGAAGCGCGCGCCTCCTTGGGCTGCGCCGACAGCGTCGCCGCGCGGCTAGCCGCCGGGGCCACCTGCCCGGAGCCGGCGGCCGTCGCAGGCGACTGCTGCACAAGCGGCTTGCCCGAGCCGCCTCGCGAGTAGAACGTCGTCTGCGGCGTCTCACCCTCGGTGGCTGTGGTGCCAGCATAGCCCGCAGTGGATGTGCCTCTCACGAGCGAGCCGGCGCGCGCTCCAGCTGCGCGGCCGCTGTCGTCGACGCTGCCGATGCCACTGCTCTCGGGGAACCGGCTCATGACGCTCTCGCCACTCAGGCTGGGTCCCGCATCGGCAGCGCGACCGGGCGAGTGCGACGGACCGGCGGTGGAGTGGCGCGAGGGCGCCTGGAGACCGACGACTGCAGCAGCGGCGTGTGCCTGGGGCGGCGTGGGCGGGAAGTCGTCGGGCTCGGACGTGGGCGACAGTGGCGGCGACGCAGCCGAGAAGACGCCGAGCGTGGGCGGTTCGAGCGGCACCAAGACGCCTGTACATCTGGTGAGAGTGCGTTCGACAGACGCGGCAGGGTCTGCTCACCTTGGGAGTTGGTGGCGTTCATCGCAAGCACGCGGCAGGCGCCGCTGCGACACGGGCGGCGTGAGGGGCGCGAGCCCGGGAGGGCTGGGAGAGTGAGAGCGAGGTGGCGGCCGGCGTGGCGGTGCGCCGCTCTCTCTGCGAGTGGCGCAGGGCGTGCGTGCGCCGGGTGAAGAGCGGCGGGCGGCGCGAAGTGGTGCTGGGTTGATGTGGAGCTGCGGGAAGGTGCGGCGGGCCCGCATCGCAGAGCACGCGCGCTACGGCACAGGCGCGGCGGTGTTGGACTCGAGCCGCGGCCCGCCGGCGCCGCGCGCGAAGGCGCGCGCGTGACGCGTCTCCGCGTAAAGTGGCGCCGCGTCCTGCGCCAAGAGCCGCTCCTCCCCGCACGGCTGCGCTTCGACGCCGCAGGCTGCTGCAGCGTCGTACTTGGAGCGTCTCGCATCCCACCTCAAGCCGCGGCCACGGTGAATCTTCAACGCGGCTCCCGGCTCATCAAGCAAGAGCTCAGCTGCGCACAGACATCGCACTGCGCATCGAGAGACCGGCAGCATGCTGTGCCTCGCACTCGGCCGCACGGCGCTGCGGCGTCATGGTCTGGCTGCCAGAAGTGCTGCGGTGCGCGCCTACACGCCCGGCTCGCAGCGCATCTCGCCCGAGCGCCTCAACACCTCGCTGCACGACTCGTGCAAGTGGGGCGCTGCCTTCCGCTGGGGCAGCGACCCGCGCGAGACGGGCATGGCACGCCTTACGCTCGACGACGCCGACTTCGCGGCCCGCCGCTGGCTGTCTACCGAGATGCAGGCGCTCGGCTGCCACGAGGCCGTCGATGCCATGGGCAACCAGTTCTTCAAGCGCAAGGGGCGGTGAGGTGCACTTTTCGCAGCGCAGGCGAGCACTCGGGCTCATGTGTCACCGCTTGCAGGAGGGAGGGACCGCCGATCGCCGTCGGCTCGCACCTGGACACACAGCCAGCAGCCGGCCGCTACGACGGCATCCTCGGCATCCATGCCGGCCTTGAGATGATGCGCGTGCTGTACGAGAACAACGTAGAGACGGAGCACCCGCTGGCGCTCGTCAACTGGACAAACGAGGAGGTGCGTGCAGTGATGCAGGTTCGTGCGCCGTGGTCTTGGCCTTGGCTGACCCGCCTCACCCTCCAGGGCGCGCGCTTTCCGCGCAGCCTGTGCGGGTCGGCAGTCTGGGCGGGCACGGCACAGCTCGACGACTTCCATGCGCTTCGCGACGTCAAGCGCCCGGACGTCACGCTGAAGGCCGAGCTGCTGCGCGGCGGCTACCTCGGCGACGTGACCTGCAGTCACCAGGCCAATCCGCTCGCGGCCCACTTTGAGCTGCACATCGAGCAAGGGCCGATTCTCGAGCGCGCCGGCAAGCGCATCGGCGTCGTGCTCGGCGGCCAGGCGTACTCCTGGTTCACGCTGACCGTGCGCGGGCAGGCGAACCACTCGGGCACCACGCCGCTCGATGCCCGCGCAGACGCCATGCTTGCCACGGCGCGCATCATCGACCGTGCGCACCAGCTGGCACGCAAGCACAGCGGGCTCGCCAGCACCGGCATAATCTCTGCCGAGCCTGGCAGCATCAACACGCTGCCATCGAGCGTCGTCTTCACGCTCGACGTCAGACACGCGTCGGGCGAGAAGCTGTCTCGCCTCATTGCGGACATCCGCAGCGCTGCTGCCGACGTGACGAGCGAGCCCAGCACGCAGGGCTGCGCCATCGAGTGGCGCACCGAGTTTGAGAGCCCCGAGATCCGCTTCAATGCGGCCTGCATCGACGCTGTGCGCGAAGCTGCTGTCCGCACCGTGGGTGCAGACGCCGCCATGGACGTCTACAGCGGCGCCGGTCACGACTCGTGAGTGCACCGAAGACGCGTATCCAGTATGCCGGCGCGCTATTTCAACACCCTCCCGCACAGCTGCTCGACCGCACAGGCCGCCGCCGGCAGTGCGTGCCCCACCACGATGGTCTTCGTCCCGTCCCGCGACGGCATCACCCACAACCCACGCGAGTGGTCGAGCCCCGAAGCCTGGCAAGTCTGCGCACCTGATCGAGGACGATGCTGCGCTGACGTGCCGCGTCCGCCATTCCAGCGCGGACGGCGCGCAGGTCATCCTGGACGCCGTCCTGACATACGACGCCTGCGCCGGCCGCGCATAAGCCGAAATTACACAGATCTTGCATTCGAAAAACGCAGCCAACGGGTACACTCGAGACGCAGAGACGCTCAGAGCGCGTTGAATTGTTGCACTGTGCGAGAAGGCCCTGCGATGAGCCTGCGGCCCCTCTGTCAGGGCGCTGCGGTCACACTCACCCCGCACGATGAAGTTCAGCAGCACAGCGATGAAGAGGGCAACGCAGATAACCGGCGGGCCGATCAGGTCGTCTGAGCACAGGTCAGCAAGCGCACACAGACGCGCACGGCTGGCTAGGCTCACCGAAGCTGCCCGCCCACTTATTCTTGATCATCGTCACGCGCCGCTGGTAGCTGAACAGGCCCCACGCAAGCGTCGAGACACTGATCAGCGCGTACACGAGGCCGAAGGTGCGGACCGTGTCGGGGTTGGGGCCGCGCGGGATCTCCGGGCCGGGCGTGCCGCCGGGCATGTCGGGCGTGCGGTGGTGCTCGAAGAACGACGACGAGTTGAAGAGGGCGAGCGAGAAGGAGCCGAGCAGCACAGACACGCGCAGCCACGAGATCCAGGTGCGCTGCGAGACGGGACGTGAGCAGGCGCGATCGCGGGCCGCCGCACCCCCCGCGCACGCACCTCGTTGGCGAACCACACCTTGGCCTCGACGCGCACCTGGCTCTTGACAGCCTTGGGCCGCGGCACGCGGCGCTCCGGCGGCAGGTCGAGCACGCTGCCGTACTGGCCCTGGCCGGCCGTGGCGCTGCGGCTGGGGCCGGCGTCGCCCTCGCGCTCGGCGGTCTCGCCCTCCTGCGAGTCCCAGCCGACGGCGGACTGCAGCGCCAGCACGCTGCGGCGGTACGCGAGCGAGAGCGTGCCGCGCTGCGGCGGGTCGACAAGTGGTGACTGGGACATGGCGGGCGCGGAGAGTGCAGGGATGTGGGCGAGAAGGAGGAGCAAGCGCGGCTGTTCCTCGACTCAACCGCTGCAGCGTTCAGCGCGCGTGCAGGCAGCTCCGCGACATGAACTGCACCGGCGCCGCCCCGCCAGATCTCCGCCCTCTGCTCCCACGCTGTGTCGGCGGGCACCTGTGGATCACGGCTCCTCCCAGCTAGCCCTCGCACTCGCCGCAGCCGACGCCTCAGTCACCTCTTTGATGCTGCAACTGATGCTGCTTCTCTGCAAGCAGATTCATGCATCTGGTGCTGGCGGAACGCTGCGCTGCTGGAGCGTGCTGCTATCTCGGGTGGGCTGCGTGCCGGCTGCAGCGAAAGCGGCGAGCGGGAGGCATGCAGCGGCAGGCGGCAGGCGCAGGTGCAGCGCGGCGCGGCGGCGGCAACAGCGGCGCACAGCAGACATGAGAGTGGGGGCGCTGCACGGCGCGAGGCGTCCGCACCCGGCCCGGCGGTACGGGCACGCCGCCTGTCTGCTGGATCCGGCGCCACGGCCGCGGCCAGCTTCAGGCAGCGAGAGCAGCGCACGTGCGCTCGCCGGCGGAGTGAGTGCCTCTCGAGCGCTTCCGCCAACCTCGAGCTCGCCGCTCAGGCCCACTTTCGATCTGGGTCTGTGGTGCTGCGGCAATGTGGCTTGGAGACGCTTCTCTTCCGGCACCGACCGACACGCACATCGCAAGGACGGCGGCTGCGCGAAGCACTGCCTCCGCCGAGGTCGAGGAGCATAGCTCTCTCGCATCGCCCACTGTGCAACGCCGCGCTCATGACTGATTCTCTGAATTACACGACCAGCGATGAGAGACGACAGGGAGCACGGTGACGGCAGCAGAGCGGAGGGGCGCCTGCATCACTGCGTGTGCTGGGCGTTGTACGCCTGCACGACGCGGCTGATGCTGCGGAACATGAAGTTGCGCGTGCCCAGGTCGGACAGCGCCAGGAAGGGCCCGGCGACGCCGCCGCGCAGCACGAGGGCAATGCCCTCGCTCTCGAGCGAGATGCTCGACAGGTCCGACAGCGGCACCTCCCACGCCACCTTGAGGCGCAGCGTGCGCACAAAGACTGGCGGTAGAGCGTGTCAGTGAGGCCGCAGAGCCGAGGCGCAAGGCCGACTCACGGATGCGCGTCAGCGTCAGCATGACGACGGCGTCGCCGCCGCCGCTGCCGCCGACGTCGACGTGCGCGACGTAGCTCTCCTTCATGAGGCGTCCGTCGTCGACGTTCTTGAGCCACGTCAGGCCCAGCGCCTCGCGCGAAGAGTACGGGCGCACCTGCGGTTGCGTGAGTCAGCCTCGTGTCACAGCTCGCATCCGCGGCGAGCACGCACAATGCCGTCGGCAGCGATGAAGCGCGGCAGCCGCACGCGGTCGATCTCGTTCTGGTCGAAGACGACCGTGGTGTTGCGCACGCCCTCGGTCAGGTTTCTGCGCCAGGGACCGTCAGTGCCCCATCTCCTGTTCTGCTGTCGGCACACTCACGAGGCAAAGTCGAACGTGCCCACCAGCGGCTTCGTCACGGCACCGACGAGGCCGACACCCAGGCCCTTGGCGAAGCCGAGAGCCCCGCCACGCTCTGCGCCTTCGATCGGCTTGAGTGCCACGCCGGCCAGGCCCGACGTGAGGCTGTGGCGCAAAGAGCGTCAGCACGTGTAGCCATCGCCTCGCGCCGAGGGGCTCACCTCGTGAAGAAGGCGTTGGCGCCGCCAGTGATGCCGTAGAGCGCATGCTTGGGCTTGTTGCGGAAGCGCGTCATGCGGCGCCGCGACTGGAACTCCGGGTCCATCGTCGCGGCCGCCAGGCCCTTGCCAATCGACCCCGTCACCTTCGACACCGAGTCCGTCACACCAAAGACCTGGATGGAGCGTGATGCATCAGCTTGCGTCTGGTGCACCACAACCAGCAGCACTCACCGCTCCCTTGGCGAACGCGCTCGCGCCGCGCACGATGCCGAGGCCCAGCTCCTTGTTGCCGTGCATCACGAGGCCCTGGTAGGGCTCGTACCAGAGGGCCACGAAGCCGCCGGACACGTTGTTGAAGAGGCCGACCGGGTTGCCGATCACATCCAGCGAGCCCATGACGCGGTAGAGCTGCCCGATGAGTGCCTGGGTGTAGTGCGTGATGAGGCGCTCCTGCAGCACGGCAGACGAGAGGCGGACATTCTCGATGACGAGCGCGTTGAGACGGATCGGTGCCTGTGCTGCTGCGTCAGTGCTGCACCACGCCTGCGCGCGCCGAGACACTCACCTCGTTGAGGTTGCCCAGCGCCATGGAGATGGCGTTGATCGCAAACAGAATTGGGTTGCGGCTGCCGACGCGCTCCTCGGCGCGGTCGGTGCGCATATCCGTCCGCATGAAGCTGAGGTTGATCGCCAACGGCTGCAGGTGCAGGACCTGAGGATGGCTGCGTCAGCTGCAGCACCACACGCCGCCACCAGCACGCTCACCTCGAAGTACGTGTCGGCGGCCTGGCCGTGCACGCCCTTGGGCTCGGGAATCTCGCGCGGGTCCTCGACGAAGTCGCTCTCGCTCGCCGCGTCCTTCTGCCACGAGGCACCTTGCAGCTTCGAGAAGTCGATGAGGGCGTAGAGGAAGTCCTCGTCGAGCTCGACGCTGATCTCCTGCAGGAGCACACTGGCGTACTTGACGATCTGCGCGCCGTGCGTCTCGTCGCGGCTGGCGATCCAGCTCAGCTGCAGCACGGGATGTTGGTCGAGCTCCTTGCCGTCGCGCAGCACCGCCGGGTACAGCACGATGGGGAAGAGGCCACCGAAGAGCTGGTTGTCGATCTGGATCCACTTGCACACGACGCCGATCGAGACGGCGCGCTCGGACTGCGTGTAGTGCATCTCGAGGCCGCGGAAGCTGACGTAGGCGATCTCCTGCACGCTGCGGTTGATGATCGAGATGCCCACGCCCTCGAACTCGACGTTGAACGTCGAGCTCGGCCCGCTGTCCACGTCGATCGCCTCGAAGCCGGCGTCGGTGCGCGACGAGCTGACCGTGTCGGAGCGCGAGAACGTCGAGTTCTGGCGCTTCAGGCGGAAGCCGCTCTTCTCCTCCGACCACGGCGAGATGACGAGCGTCTGCGTCGCGCCGTCTGCGCGTACGTCCAGGCTGATGACGCGGTTGCCGCGGCCGTCGGCAGACGGGAACTTGAACGGCACCAGGGTACCGATCTCGAGGATGTTGACGCTGCGCTCCTTGCCGTTGGCCACGAGGCGGATGAGCTTGCTGCCCATCGCCGGGTAGTCCCAGGCGTACTTCATCTTGGAGCGCGGCTTGAGCTCGTAGCGCTTGCCCACGGCCTCGTCACGCGCGCCGTGTCCATCGCGATCAGAGCCCTCGCGCTCGGTGGCCTGCATGAACGTGATCGTGTGGTCGCTCTCGTTGCGCAGCATGAATGGCCACGGCCCGCGCTCGAGGCTGAGCGAGATGAAGATCGTGGGGCCCTCGAGCAGCACCTCGGCCTTGATGAGGTGCTGGTGGTCGCCCGCCTTGGCGATGCGCAGGTGCACGCTGCCGATGTCCTCGATGTTGAACGGCGCCGTCCACTTGTTGTTCACGCCCGGATAGGCGAGCGTCATCTGCTTCGACGCGCCCACGCGCAGGAAGTGCAGCGGGATGCGCTTGCCCGGCTCGGCCGTGTGGTAGTCGGCGGCACCCGCCTCGCGCAGGTTCAGCGGCTCGTCGAGGTTGTTGCGCACGAGGTAGCGCGGCGTCAGCTTGACAACCTTGGACAGCTTGAACTTGCCGAGGCCGTCCTGAACCTCGAGGCCAAGATGGATCTCCTCGTTCTTCGACGACGAGGCGATGACCACCTCGCTCTCCGAGCCGATTGCCTCGAACGAGAGCGGCTTCGACCACGCCGAGTCGCCGACGCGCAGCAGCACGCGGTTGCGCCGGTCGTTTGAGTTGTGCGAGAAGAGGAAGGGGTCGGGCTCGCGGCGCAGGTCAGCCACCTGTCCCTGCTCCTGTCCCGCGACGAGCTTCGCGCCGCCGAGCCAGCTCTTCGTCTTGAGCGCAAACGGCAGGCCCGTCTGGTTGATGAAGATGTACGGCGCGTAGATCTGCACCTTGAAGGCGCCGCCGCTGTCCGGATACTTGAAGTAGTGCAGGCGCAGGTTGAGCTTCAGGTTCTCGGCGTCGGCGAGCGTGAGCGTCTTCTCGACGGGGAAGTCGTCGCCGTTGTCCGTGGCGATGATGGCAAACTCGGACGGCGAGAAGACAGAGGACTGAATGTCGACGCTGAGCAGCAGCAAGTGCGAGAGCTCGACGACGTGGATCGGCGACACGCCGCCCTTGCGCAGGTAGCTGCTCCAGTTGTGCTGCAGGTGAGGCAGGTCAGTGACGTGCCACTGGACCAGCGGCAGGCAGCACGCACGTTCAGGTTGCGGTCGAAGATGCGGTACTGAATGTCGTACGGCAGCAGGTTCTCGACCTCGACGGGGGCGCGCAGGCGCAGCGCCAGCCGCGGGTACACGCGGCTCATCGGGTCCTGCTTGTCGCAGATCGTGAAGCACTGGAAGCGGAACGGCGCCTCGCCGCTGGCGTTGGCCTCGCACGTGAGCGTGCGCGTCGAGCGCTTGACGAGGTCCTGCCAGCCCACGCTCTCGGACGACCAGTTGTACTCGAAGCCAGCTGCAGCAGGAAGGGTAAGCAGATGCTCCGCGGCTGCGGCAGCTCGGCACTCACGGTCCGGACGCAGCCTGATGCGGTTGTGGTACGCCGCCTCGATCGGCACGGGGCAATCCTCGCCGGGGTCCATGTGGCGGATGATTGAGGAGAGCTCGCCGTCGGCGTCGAGCACGACCACCTCGACCGGCACCATCGTGCGGTTTTCGATGTTGAACGCCGAGCGGAAGGTGACCACCTTGACGTTGTCGACGAGCTTGACGTCGCACAGCAGCCGGTGCGCCACCTTGTCGAGCTTTGGCCGCAGGTTGATGATCGACTCGCCCTCGCGGTCGACGGAGACGTGCTTGATGCGCTCCCAGGGCATGCCCTCGATCTGCAGCGAGAGCATGTTGCCGCCCGACTCCATCGAGTGCTGCGAGACGCATGCTCAGCTCGCGGCCACAAGCGCACACCCGCAACCACTCACCTCCCGCATCGACTTCCAGTCATCGAAGCGCCAGGGCGTGTCCGTGCTGTCGTCCAAATGCGTGGCAGAGACCTTGGCGCGGCGATCGTCATTCTCAGGCCACAGCGAGATGCGGTAGCCGGTCCGGTTGCAGATCTTGAACGGCGCCGTCTGATCGCGCACGGCGCTGGCCTGGATGCTGTCGTCGCCCATGATCGCAGCCGTCGTGAGCGACGTCTCAATCAGAGTAGTGGTGACGTTGATCTCGAGGCGCCGCTTCGAGGACACCGTCATGACTGACGAGCCCTCTGCCGTCTCCATGGCAAAGTCGACGACCCAGGGGTCGATCAGCGGCTCCCAGTGCGAGCGGGAGAGGTTGTTGTAGTTGATGTACATGCCGATCGACGTCTTCATGCGCATCTGCGATGGCGGCGCCCACGTCAGTACCGCGACACGCGTGCCAGTGACGAGGCACTCACATCACCAGACCAGTCGCGCACGTCGACCGAGAACTTGCGCAGGTTCAGGTCTAGCATCGGCAGGCTGTGGATGTCGCCGATCAGGATCAGCTGCAGGCCCGCCACATCGGCTTTGAGCTGTACCAGGCAGCACGGAGTCAGCAGGCTGTGGGACAGGCTCTAGACGCGAGCTGAGACGCACAATCTCCTTTGCCACGATGACCTGCGCTTCGGTCGGCCGCTCGCCGCTCCGCCCGCCACCAGAGGAGGCGCGGCCAGGTGGGGAGAGCGCCCGGGTCGAGTCAAGCGACACGCCGCTGGCCGTCGAGGGCTCGCGTCGTTTGGCTGCCGAGGCGGCATCCTCGCCACTGCTGCCGCTCTGGGCAGACAGCTCGATGGCCTTGTTGACGACGGAGGAGATCTGCGGTAGAGCAGGCGCGACAGGTCAGCAAGGCCGGGGTTTGCGGCAAAGAGGCTGCGCACCATCATGATGTCGCGGTACGAGACACGCAGCACGAGCGGCTCAACGTCGATCTCGATGCTGGTGACCTGGCGCGAGCCCGTGCCGCGGCTGTCGAGCGACATGGTCAGGTCGAAGTTGTCGAGGAAGCGCAGCGACTCCTTGGGCTTGTCCATGCGGCACATGAACATCCCGAACTGGTCTACCTTGAGCGCCATAATGGCCTGCTGTGACATGAGCACCTGCCGGATGGACAGCACGATGGCGTCCGTGTCGCTGCGCTCGGGCGCGGCGAGCAGGATAATCGTCGGGTCCACGATGTTGACGCGGAAGGACATCGTCGACTGCGCCGGCGCATTCTGACTCGGCTCGGAGGCTGCGCTGGGCTGCGTATGCGCAGACTGCAGGCTCTTGCCGCCGCGCTTCGAGGCGGCCTCGGCGCGCTTGCGCGTCGCAGCTGCGCCGTTGTCGCCCAGTGCGCCTTCGGCCGCGGCTGCCGAGGCTGCGGCACGCTGCGAGTCCTGCGCCATCTGCGCGTCGGCCTCGCTGAAGGCGCTCATGAAGAAGCCGAGCAGCGCAAACACGGGATCGAGCGAGAAGATGACCTTTGGGCTGTCGATCGTGACGAGCGCAAGCGCGGTGCTGTCGGGCCCGCCGCTCGCAGTGTAGCTGAGCATGAACTGGTGCCCGTCATGGCGCACGGCCGGGATGATCTCGCGGAACTTGGTCTCCTTGTCCGGGCGCGTGTCCGACACAGTGAAGCTCTTCAGCGCGACCTCTGCCTCGAGGCTCGAGTCCGAGAGCATCTTGAGCTTCACCTCCGAGCCGTTGAGGGCGAAGCGCGCCAGGCTGGCGTTGTGCAGCGTATCCTGCGCGGTGGCGGCAGCGCTGTAGAGCTCGAGGTTGATCGTCTGCACGCTGAAGAGCAGGTCCAGCGTGGCGTGCAGCTGCACGTGGCTGCCGTCTGCGGTGTGGCCGACGAGGCCGAGCTCAGGCAGCAGGTCCACGCCTGCGGAGGCGCCGGGATGGTGCGCGTCGCTGCGGGGCTCCTGCTGCGCGGGCGGCGTACGTGCCGTCGGCGTCGCGCTGACCGAGGGGATAGACGAGACGGCGTTGTCTGCGTCGACGTCGTCGTCGGTCTCGATGGCGAACGCCCGCGGGATCGCCTGCGTCAGCGCCATGATGAAGCCGTACTGCTGCTCCGTGAGCTTGATCTGCACGTCCGACATGCGCGCGACGATCTGCATGTCGGGCTCGTCGGCAGAGCTGGACGCGGTGACCGCCTGCTCGCCATCGTTGCTGCCGCGTGCCGGCGACGGCGCCGACGTGGCGGGCCCAGTGCCGTCGCTGGGCAGGTGCTCGCGCTGTGTCATGTCGACTGAGATGTTGACGTCGTCGATCATCTGCAGGTGGTACTCCTGGCTGCCGAAGCGCATGCGCGAGGCGAGCCGGATGTGCCGCAGGCCGGCCTCGACCTGAGTGACGGTGCGCCCGTCCGCCTGCGATGGGAATGTGTTGTGCGCGTAGATCTCGCCGAGATTCGCCGTGAGCACGTCCGACGAGCCCTGACCGCGGCTGATGCTGACGATGGGCGTCTTAATGACCACGTCGTAGTGCAGCTTGGCGGCGCGCGCCTGCAGCTGCGACGCCTGCGCACTGGCTGCCTGCGTTGCGGCGTCGTAGACCTCCTTCATCCGAGCGAACTTGCTGAAGAACTGCAGCAGGTCGCGGATCGGCTCTTCGGCGAACGTGAAGCGCAGCGAGCCGCTGCGCAGCCAGATGGCCGTGTCGAAGCCGGGGTAGGTCACGCTGTCGAGCTCGTCGAACGTCTCGTAGGTGAAGTCGGCCAGCTCGTCGCCGTCGATGGAGAGCAGCTTGCGGAATTGTCCGCGCGACTTGCCTTCGCGCGGCGCATTGTCGACCAGCAAGAGCGAGCCGAGGCGGGCAGCGACGCGCAGCGTGTTGCCGCGCAGCAGCACGGCCACGTCGGCCGTCGAGAGCGTCAGCGTGGCGAGCAGAGAGCCCTCGTTGTTGAGACGCAGGACGATGGACGTGAGCTTGACGCGCACGCGCAGCATCTCCTTGCGCGCCAGACCGTCCGCCAGCGGCTGCTGTGCCACCTCCTTGCCCGAGCGAGCCGGCGCGCCATCGTCGGCGGCGGGGGCAGGCTTCGTCGGCGGAGCAGGCTCCTCGGGCACGAACGTCGTCATGATCCAGTCGTACACGACGAGCACGCTGACGCGCGTCAGCATGATGTTGATCGTCGACAGCTCGATGCTGATCGACTGGTCGATGCCCTCGAAGACCGTCTGGAACTCAGGCGAGTTGGTTTGCACGCGAACGTACTTGACGCGCACGAGGTCGCGGTCGCTGGTCGGGCTCGCGCTGCTCATGGACGATGACGTCGAGGAGGCACGTGTGCCGTCGTGCACGGGCTTCGACGTCATCAGGTGCTTGAAGACGGCCTGGCCCTGGTCCACGATCTTGTCCTCGAGCTCGAGGCTGCGCAGGCCCACATCGATCTCCATGTGGTACGGCAGCACGGCGAGGTGGAACAAGAAGCCCTCGAAGTTGGCCTCGACGAGCAGGCGGTCGGGCTTGGTCGGGTCGGCGTTCGACTTGTAGATCGAGCCCTGCAGGCTGTCGACGACAAAGTGCAGCTCAAACGTCTTCTGGTGCGCATTGATGCGCTGCGAATGGGGGATGAGCACAGGCTGGATCCTCAGCGCGAACAGCATTACTCACATCGGCGGTGTCATCCTCTGCATCCTGGAACTCCGCCTCGTCCTCGTCGTCCTGGTCATCCACGAGATACTCGTCGCCGCCGCCGCGCATCTGACTGGCGATGCGCTGCCGGCGCACCTTGTTGATGTCCAGCGCGGCCTGGTCGAGCGTGTTGCCACTCGCAGGCTCGTCGCCCGCTGCCGCAGACGCGTACTGCGAGTGCTGCTGGCTGCGCCGCCGCTGCTCGCGCTCCTGGTCGGCAGCGACCGCGTCGCCGTCGGTGCCGCCGCGGCTCTCGAGCACCTCTTCGAGCTGGCCGCTCGTCGGCTCTTCGTCGTCGAAGTTCGGGATCGCCACGTCGATCACCTGCATCAGCGCCTTGTACTTGCGGTCAGAGAAGTTGACACGCAGCGTCGGCAGGTGGCCGGTGATCTTGAACTTGGTGAGATTCGGCGCCTTGGGCAGGATCGAGTTGTGCAGCGTAAAGTCGAGGTTGATGCGCTCGAGCAGATGCGACGCGTGGCTCGGCGAGTCGACGGCCAGACTGCGCAGACACGTCTCGATGTCGGGGCCCATGACGAGCTGCATGCTCTCGAGCTTGACGAAGAAGCGGTCGTACATGAGCGACTCGAGCTGGCGGTAGTCGTCCTCGTCGTATTGCTTGTGCTGCTTGCTGCGCACCGTGTCCAGCGCGCTCTGGTCGGCAAGCACGGAGCGCACGGCGATGTGGCCGGCGTCAAGCACGATGTGCTGGCACTGCTTGGCGGTGACGTCCTCGGGCACGATGATGATTGGCGCCTTGACGTCGAGCACGACGTCGATCGTCTTGTGATTCTCGAGCGCATTCTCGAGGCCGGCGCGCGTCTCCTTGCGGATGCCCTCGATCGTCTCGCTCGCCACGTCGATCAGTGCGCCGATGAGCTCCAGCTCGCTCTCTGGCGGCTTGAAGAAGCGCACGATGTTCTCGACGTACGACTTGTGGTAGATGATCTCCATGCTGCGCATCTTCACGGTCAGCGCGTTGTCGGCGCGCCGGTCGAGCGGCTTGTTCTCAAATTTGAGGTAGAAGAACGGGTTGTCGGGGTCCGACTCCTTGCCCACCTCGTGCGCCGCCTGCTCGACGGTGCCGCTGCCGCTGTTCTCGCGCCCGGGGATGTCGAGCACGTCGTCCTTGACGCGCACGACCTGCGGGTACAGCGAGTTGGCCGTGGTGCCGTCGTACACACGCAGCCCGCCGAGCGACACGGCGGCCTCGAAGTTGTCCACGCGCTGGTTGACGTCGGCCTGCAGGCTGTCGAAGACGAGCGACAGGATCTCGGTGCCGCGCGAGTGGTCCCGCAGCGCGAGCGAGCCAGTCTGCAGCTTCGTGGTGAGGCGCAGCTTCATCGCATCGCCCGGCAGGTCGACGGCCTGCGTCAGTGCGTCCGTGCCCATGCTCTCGTCCCACTCGATGGCATCGTAGAGCTCCTTGCGCTGCTCGTCGTTGAGCATGCCGGGCTGGTCCTGCGCTGCGCCCTTGTGGTGGCCGCCGCCGCCCCAGATCCAGCCGAGCCAGCCGCCTCCGCCGCCGCCCCCTCCTGCGCCGTCGCCTGCCGGCGCAGCAGAGGAGCTGGAGTGGCCGAGCGCCAGGTGGTCCTTCTGCTTCGCGGCGCGCTCCTTGCGCAGCTCGTGCCGCGCGATCGAGCGGTAGAAGCGGATGTCTTTGTATCCAAGCTGCCGCTCAAGGTCCCGCAGCTGCGAGCCCTCGTCGCTCTGTGGCACGGCCGCGGCGGCCTGGTGCTGGTTGGCTTTTTGCGTGGCCGTCTCCTTGACCTTGAAGAGGCGCACATACTCTCGCCGCTCGTCTCGCCGCTGCGCAAAGTAGTCCCAAGTCCAGACCTTGCGCTTCTCATGCACCTCCGACAGGATCGCCCGGCCGGCGAAGCGCAGCAGCGCCCGCGGACGGTTCTGCTCGACTTCCTCTGCCGTTGGCCGGAAGCGGCGGTACTGCGCCTGCCGCGTGTAGAAGTGGAACAGATCGGCGACGGAGATCACATCGCGGTACTGCTCGTCGTCGAGCGTGAAGCCGAGCTGGTCGAACAGCAGCTGCGCGTCCATCTTGGGAATCTCGGACGTCATCTCGCGGCGCATGACGAGCTGTATGTCGCCCAGTCAGCGTCGTCTCGTGCACGACGCTCAGCTGCACTCACGCGACCAGCTCCGGACACGGGCTTCAGGATGTACTGGTGCTCCGGCACGCGCCCATCGCGCGCAATGAGGCTTGCGAACTTCTTCTGCGCCTCTGAGATCTCGAAGCCCGCCAGGCTCTCTGCGTCAGTGTCCCAGTACGCTGCTAGCGACTCGAGGCGAGCAAGCTGCGCGCGGAGATGTCAGCTGAGTGGGCGAGGCTCAGGGCGCATCAACGTACCTTGTGCGTGCCCTCCCGGCTGTTCTGCACAAAGGTCGGGTTCCAGTCCTTGTCGGTCGAGACGGCAGAGAACTCGGCGAGCGTGAGACCGGCCGAGAAGGGATGCTGCGCGAGGGAGGACTCAGCCAGCTGCACTGCGCAGCCAGAGGTATCGCGCACGCACCTCTGGATTCGACAGCTTGTCCTCGTATCGTACGTCTGCGAGCAGTCAGCACGAAGTCGCTCGCTTCTCGAGCAGACGACTCACGGATATTGCGCACGGTGATTTGCAGATTGTCGACGATCTTGGCCACCAGGCTGCTGGTAAAGCTCTCGTTCTTCTGCGCATCCTCTGAGAGCAGCAGAGATGAGCGCTGCTGCTGGCGGCGCACCTTTGGCACGCCGGGGCCGTGACGCTACTCACCTTCGCTGACGCCGACCTTGCTGCCGCCGCCGAGGAGCTCTGCGTTCGCCAGCTTCTCCTGCTTGGCCGCCTCTGCACGCTCCCGCTCCTCGTCTTCATCGACCTCGGCGGACGCCTCCTTGGGCGCGGCGAGCAGATACACATTCTCGACGAGCACGCGCACGGGCTTGCCCTTGAGGTTGGACCAGGGGATGGAGAGGGTGAGATCGCCCAGGTAGCCCTCCTTGACATCGATCGGCAGGCGGAACTTGTCGAGCGCAGACGTCTTTAGCCGCAGGCTGTGGCGCCCGTCAGTGGTCTGTGCAGCCTCGAGCGTGCCCTCGCGTGCTGCAGCAGCGACTCACTTGCGCAGCTTGACATCGCCGCTCCAGATGCCCACATTCAGCTGGCTCGTGTTCAGGCCATCAACATAGCTCGCGAGGAAGCGGTTGAGCACTGTCGCGAGGACGCCCTCGAGCATGGCGGGCTACGCCGCACGGGCAGCGCGGCGTGCGCCGCGGCCGGGCTCTGCGCACAGGCAGGCAGGCGAGGGTGCGTCGTAAGGGATGAAGCTGCCGGCGGTGCTGCGCTCGTGGAGTGACTGTCGGTGTGGAGTGGATGCGCAGCACGGGCCGGAGAGAGCTGTGTGCGGCGACGTGTGCCACGTGCGAGCAGCAAGAGGGGGCCGAGGCGCAGAAGACAGCGCTTGCAGAGGAGACGTCCCTGACGATGAGGTGGGAGCCGGGCGCACGGGAGATGGAGGGAGGAGAGAGGGTGCAGCAACCATCCCAGCGCCTGTGCTGGCTGTGGCCGGCGGTCCCGCATCGCACGGCCGCGGCCGGCCACGCAGGGGTCTGGTCCGGCGGCGGCCTGTGCCCAGCCGCCGTGGTGGAGCAGCCCGCGGCACCTCGGCAGTGTCGCGCACAATGACGCGCCCGCCGTGCACCGAGCACCCACCGTGGGAACAGGTCGCACGCCCGCCAAGCTAGCACACCGCCGCGACGAGGCGCCGCGACGCTCGTCTCCCTCCCACCACGACCTCCCCCGGCGCGCGGCCCACAAGCTCCACCAGCACGGGCCTGCAGACTCAGCCAGCCCTGCCACGCTCTCTCCCTTGCGCCACCGCAGGCATGCTGCGCCCCGCCGCCGTGCACGCGGCCCTCGAGACGCTCCTCGTGGCGCCATGCGACCTGGCGCTCCTCGCGCTGCCCGACTCGGGCCTCCTCTACGCCTCGGCCGCACTGCCGCCGCAAGATGCAGAGAGCTCTGCAGATGCAGCACGGCCAGCAGCCGTCCCGCCGTCCTCGGCGCTGATGCGTGGCGCGCCCGACGCGCGCGACGGCATCGGCCGCGACGAGCGGGCGCGCCTGCTGGCAGCGATTGCGACGCAGGCCTGGCGCGAGGAGCCCAAGCCGAGCGCCGGCGCACGCTGCCCGCCTGTGCTGATCGACACTGAGGTGAGTGTGTGTGCACGTAGAGCAAGGGCGGCGTGAAGCAAGCCGAAGCTGGCTGGATGTGCGAGTGCTGACGATGCGCTGCCTGCCCAGCTCGGAGCGTCGATGATCTACTCAATACAGACGCCGGCGGCACTTCTGCTGGTCTTGACTGCACCGTCGGCCCAGCTCGCGGCCGCAGGAGGCGCCTCAGCGCTCGCGGCAGAGGACGAGGGCGGTGCAGACACGGCAGACGGCAGCAACGGCGCGCCGCCAGGGCCGGAGAGCGATCCGTGGGCCGACATGCTGGAGCGCGCCCGGGCATTCGACGAGCATATCGCGCCCGAGCTCGCGGCCATCGGCTTCGGCACCAAGGCTGCATAGCGGCGACATATAGACACCTGGCCTGCACAGCCAGCAATATACCACTCATCACCTTTGCGGCATGTGCATCAAGACGTGTGACATTGCATCGCAGCCAGAAGGGTAAAGGGGGGCGCCTACTCCGTCTTGCGCTTCTCGTACACCGTGACGCGCGTGTTGTCAGACAGGCGCGTGTCGACGGGGACGAGCGTGTAGCCGCCGAGGCGCGGCAGGACGTGGTACCAGACAAGCCAGTACACGGCGCCCAGCGCAAAGATGCCGATCGAGACGGCGGGCGCGAGCGCGTACCACAGCGTGTCGTACACGCTCTCGTCCGCGCGCACCGGCGGCAGCCAGGGCACGACGACGAGGAAGGCGGACACGAGCGTGAAGAAGACGGCGACCGGCAGCGTCGCGCGGAAGGGCGAGGTCCACTCGCGTGCCCACGCCGGGCGCAGCGAGAGCGGCAGGTAGGCGAGCACCAGTGCGAAGCCGACCGCCGTGTTGATGACGTTGAGCGGATAGGACGACAGGTTGAGCACGAAGTTGTAGGCGTCGCCGGCCGGCGGCGCCAGCAGGATCACGAGCGTGACCACGGCGTGCCACGCCAGGCCGGCGAGCGGCGCGTTGAAGGGGCGGTTGGACGCCAGCACCTTGGAGAAGGGCACGAGGCCGTCGCGGCCCAGAGCCTGGTTCACACGGCCTGGAGCGAGAGGGAGTGACGCTGGTCAGCAAGAAGCTGCACGGCCGGCTCCGGAGACATCACGCACCCTGCGCGAAGATCACGGCGTACACGTTGGCGGTGGCGCTCAGTGCGACGAAGACGCTGAGAGCCCGCGCCGAGCGCTCGCCGAAGACGTTGGCGAAGAACTCGGCAGCGATAATCTGGACAGCGTGATGAACGGTTAGTCACCATGCACGTGCCCGGGCATCTTTTCCTTGCTCACCTGAGTCGAGGCGAGGATCTGCTCGCGCGGCACGGCAGCAAAGTAGGCCACCTGGATGAGCACATAGAGAACCGCGACGCCGCCGATCACGATCGGTCCCATGCGGCGAATGGTGCGCGTGGGGTTCTTCAATTCGCCCGCTGCATACAGGGTATTAGAGAAGCCAACGTAGGACCAGAGAGCCTGCGAGCGTGTCAAGTCAGCGGCGAGTCGACGATGCGCGGCGTCGCGCTCTGCTCACATTGTACTGAGCAGTGTCGAAGCCGAAGGGAGATAGCGTCAGCCTGGCGTCATAATTCACGGCCCGACGTACGCACGATGCACGATGCGATGCCGTAGATGTCGCTGCGGCTGCCGGCGAAGGCATTGTCGAAGTTGCTCGGCACGACGGGGACGCGCGTGTGGCCGCCCAGCGCCGCGAAGCCCGCAAACACGATGACCAGCATGATGGCAATCTTGAATGCTCCGATGGCGTTTTGGAAGCGCACACCCCACTTGATGGATGTGCCGTGGAGAAGGACTGCAGAGACGATGACGGCGACGCCAATGGCTGCGACGGCGAGGTCTGTCAGCCGCCAAACAGGGAGGAGGCGAGGGCGTCGCCGGGCGCGGCGCACGGGCCGCGCTGCCCATGGGTTGACTTTCGGCCGCGCCCCGCCGCGGCGCCTCTCGACCACCATCCTCTCCTCTCGTCGTGTCGCGCCGCCCGCTTGCTCTCTGACTCACCTCGCGAGCTCCACTGCGACGGCGCGTTGCCGCCCGCACGCCAGAAGTAGCGGCCGGCGACGCCGGCGTTGCCGGCAGCCTGGCCGAGCAGCAAGGCCTGCGACGCGTACAGCGCAAGCACCAGGTGCTTCGGGCGCCGGTAGGCGTGCTGCAGATAGTTCAACTCGCCGCCGTTCTTGGGCAAGGCGCATGCGAACCTGAGGCAGCGTCAGACGCCGGCAAGGCTCAGAGCATGCGGCACACTCACTCCGCGTAGACGGCGAAGCCGGCGCCCGCAATGAGCGCGCCGATCACGTAGTAGATGAGGACCATACCCACCGACCCCGACTGCGCGAAAAGTGTCGACGTCGTCGCAAAGACACCGGTGCCCACGATGCGATTAAAAGTCGCGCCGCAGGCGCTGATGAGGCCCAGCGTGCGGCCCTGGGGCAGGTCGGAGGAGACGGAGCTGCGGGGGGCACGGGTCAGTACGCTGCGGCGCGGAGGAGATTGGCCGCTCGCGGGACATGCTCACGCCGCATCCTCCAGGCTGCCGACACGCTCAAGCACCTCCTCGTCGCCGGGTGCACCCAGCTTGGACTTGTGCGAGTCGTCGGCGCCGCTGTGCTCGCTCTCGGCGCGCGTCGGCTGCTCGGCTGCCGGCGCCTGCGAAGGGAAGGTCATGTTGCTGTGCGAAGACGGAGGATGGGAAGGCAGGATGGGCGCTCAGCCCAGCCGGACCAAGATGGCCGCCTTCTTGTACCACAGCCGCAGCCGCATGCCATGCTGCGGCGGGTGCAGATCGGGATACGCACCGGGCAGGAAGTTAGGATGGCGTGCTCGCGCGTCGCGCCAAATCTGGCGCCCGGCTCCGCCACACGCCGCATCACGAGCCAACCGCACTCGCTGCGCCGCTGCCCTGCCGCGGCCGCCCTCCCTCCGTGCCTGGCCGAGCCTCGCCCACAGGCACAGCACCAGCCAAATAGCCTGCCTAGGCTCCGAAGCTCGGACCCGAGAAGTCATCGTGCTGCCGCCGCAGCGCGGTGCAACGGGCTGGGCGGAGGCGTCCCTCTTGCCTCTCCTATCCTCAGAGACTCAGACGGCCGCTGCGTGCTTGAGCATGCATGCTGCTGATCTCGTCATCGGTGGCAGTAGGCAAAGGAGGAGGGGCAACGTATGCCCTACGCCCACCACGACTGCTCAGCACGCGGCCGCGACGCGGTCTGCAGTTGGCCAAGAGCACCCTCGCCAAGGTGGGTAGCGTGCATGACTCCTCGGCGCAGCAACGCCTCCAGTATCCCTGGCGGCCCTGAGTGCCCTGAACCTCGCTGCATTAGGATCATCACCTCTTCGCAGGGGGCGATGGCACCACGAGCTGCGTTTTATGTGCGCCGGAGAAAGGCGAAGAGCGAAATGCGAAAAGCGAGACGCGGCAGCGGCGCGGCGGCGCGGCCAGCGCCACGGAGAGGCCGGACCAGACTCCGCGGGCGCAGCGCGCGCGTCGCGCCCTGCCTGAGCGTGCAGCTGGGCCGCGGCTTGGCATCAGCCAGCACGGCGAGGGCGCCGAGGGGCACTCTTACTGCAGCACTCGACTCTTGCGCGCGTGCACCGCTGCGGTCGGAGCTTCGCCTCTCGGACCGCACCGGGGCGACGCCCTTACTCAGCTTGGCCGAAGGCGAGCTGCGCGCCTTCACGAGCATCGAGCATCGCAGCCGTGCTGCACCTGCCGCCGTTGCGTCAAAACGTCCAGCGCCGCCGTCCACTTCAGAGCACTCTCAGCTCGCAGCATGCAAGTACTCAGCCGCAGCAGCGCAGCAGCGGGCCGGGGAGCGGCGCGAAGCACATGGTGGCGCTTGGCAGAGCTGCTCTGCGTTCATGCAAGCACGCCTTCGCTGCACACCTGACCGCTCAGGGTCCGATCCAACACCGTCCAAGAGCTCGCCAAGTCGCACGCCACAGCGAGGCTAACACATGCGCCGTCGCCTCGCGAGCACGACCCGGCGCTGTGGAACGTGAAACGGTGACAGTGGGAGCGGTGGTGTGTGATACAGCAGTGTGGGGCGCATGCAGGCAGTCCCAGGCTAGTCCTGGCCCTCGAGCGCCTCGACGGTGCGGAGCAGCTCGCCGAGCTGCTGGTGCAGCTTGCGAATGACAATCTGGTCGACGGGGTTGATGGCGTCTGCCGATGCTGCAGGCACAGCGCCGCTAGCAGTCGCAGCGTCGTCGGCAGGCGGCGAACGAATGCCGGCGAGGCGGCTGACTTTGCCGATGGCGTCCCGCAGGTCGCGCAGCTCGAGCTTCATCGCGAAGAGGGCGATGCGGCGCGCATTCGTCGTGCTCGGCGTGTAGCCGCCGATGCGGATGTCCCAGTCCGGCGCGCCCGAGGCGCTCTGCGCCGAAGACGTCGACGACGACGGACTCGAGGCGCCAAAGCCGCGGCGCAGCGTCGACACGGCACGCGCGTAGATCTGCAGCGCCGTCGAGATCAGCAGGCCCGCCGAGAGCTGCGTCGAGGGGTCCGAGCGGCACGTCGGACAGTCGGCGCTGCAGGCGCACTGCGCTGCCACGGCCTGCGAGGCCGAGAGCGTGAGGTGCAGCGTGGTCCCGGCCGACTGCGAGGCGGCCGGCGCGGATGCCGTAGCGGCTGCGCCAGGCGAAGCAGCGGCACGCAGCGTACCGCGGACGTTGAGCAAGGCGACAGACACGTCGCAGAGACAGGTGCAGCCCTTGCCGCTGGGATTCGGCACGCAGTGCACCCGCTGCTTGCCCTTGGCGCTCGGAGCGGCAGCGGCAGGTGTGGCAGGCGGGGCGTCGGACGCAGGCGCTGCACTCGGCTTGCTGCCGCAGCAGCATGTCGCGGCACCGGTGACCTCGCACGGCTTTGCCTCTGCTGGCTGGACGAGCTTGGGGTCTGGCTCCTGCTCCCAGCCCTGTCCTTCCAGAATGGCGCCCTGCTCCGTCTCGATACGCCCGCTGCCCATGCCCGCGTCCTTGCCCCTCGGCCACGTCGAGGTGGATGATGAAGACGAGGCGTCTGACCGCAGGGCCGCAGCCTGTGCACTGGCGGCAAGAGGAGCGCTTCCCTTGCCGCCGGGAGGCGGCGGCGGCGGCACATTGTCGAGCCAGTCTGGCGCCCACCAGGAAAAGTCCGCCGGCACTGCGTACGACACGTCGTTATCCACTACGCTGCAAGGCAAGCCCCACGACCCACTCGGGCCGCCGGCGCCGCCTTGCATGCTCGGAGACTGCGGCGGCGCTGCTGTCCATGCATCGAGCATGCCCGAGGTCAGGCCGTCGGAGCTGCCGATCTCGAGCGAGTCGAGCGAGTTGAGAAAGGCCGCGACGGCGAGATTGTCGAGCGACGGCGACGTGGAGAGCCGCGCATCGTCCTGTGGCGGACGCAGCAGTGCATGCTCGCCGCTGACGCTCGTGCGCGACGAGGAGGCCGTGGAGCGCGGCGAGAGTGCCATGCCGGCCGCCAGCTCGCGCGGATCGACAGTCATGCGCGACGAGGAGGAAGTCGCAGGAGATGGCCGCGAGTCGCCCGGCACCTGGGAGCAGCACGAGGCTCGGGCGACGCCCTGGCTTGGTGGCATCGAGTCGCGCTGAGCGGCCTCGGCCTTGACTCGCTTGGCCGCTGCCTCGACATGCGCGCCACTGTCGGGCTGCGAGCTGGACGCCTCCTGGCCCTTGCGCTTCTTCGGCCGGCCGATGGGCTTGCGCGTGGCTGCGGCAGCGATGTCAGCCAAGCAGAGCTGGTGTGCGCTCGCGTGACGGGACAGCGCAGGCGTGGACGTGGCAGATACTCCCCGCCTCGCGGCTCCTCGTGCCTCGCAACTCACCAAAGACACACGGACGCTCGTCGTCGCAGCAGCGCGAGCACGCCGGCTGCACGCCGTCGCACTTGAGCTTGCGCGTGCGGCAAGACTCGCACGCCGTGCGCACAGGCAGGGCCGAGCCTGAGGCGACGCTCGCGGCGCGCGACGACGACGCCGGCGACGAGGCGCTGGACACAGGTCGGGCGATGTGCGGCACTGCGCCGGCCGTGTGCAGCGCCGCAGGGCTGCCGATGCTGCTGCTGCGCGCCGACATGGCGCGCGCAGTGAGGCGCCCACGAGCGCACAGAGGAGTGTCTGGCTCAGGGTGCTGCGACGAGGCGGCCGCGGTGCTAAGTCGGCTCGCACACGAGCGGTGCACGCTGGCGCGCCCGCCACGACGACGACCTCGGCTCGGGTGGCTGCGGGTCTGCTAGCCTGGGGCCTGACTGCGTGCGACTGGCGCGGCCGACTGAGGCAGCACGGTGGGCTGCTGTTGCGGCAGGAGCGCGCGGCGAGGAGGACGGACGGTGAGGGAGCGTGCGGTCAAGCAGGAAGAGCGAAGCTCCGGCACAACAGCCGCCGCCGGCGCGCGCGGCGCCGCGAGCTCTGCCGCCGGCTTGCCTTGACGTGCCCCCGCGCGCGCGATCCTCGCTCGGCCCTCATCAACGTATCTTCTCGCCGCTCGGTATCCATACCCCTCGTGTCACACATCCACGCAATCGTCCCGGACTGCATGACAGCCGATGAGCATCTTCCTCAACGCGCTGCCGCCCGCTGTCCCGGGTAGGCTCAAACTCAGATGCTCGGCAAGAGACCACACCGGCTGCCCGTGGCTGGGCGAGAACACTCCGAGCAGAGGGGTAAGATGTCATTAAGCGCCGAGAGCAGTCTATGGGCAGACAGGGCCGTAAGTGAGTGAGGAAGACGGGATGCGATCGGAGCTAGGCGAGTTGCAGGCCCTCGAGGCCGTGGTCCAGGTCGGCGATGAGGTCCTCGATGTCCTCGAGGCCGACCGACACGCGCACGAGGTTGTGCTCGACGCTGCGGGCGCGGGTCAGCAAGGTCACGCCGTCATCGCGGCGCTTACCAGCGCTGCACTCACCCGAGCTTCTCACGGTCCTCGTCGGACACGCTCGCATGCGTCATGAGGCTCGGCAGCTCGATCAGGCTCTCGACGCCGCCGAGGCTCTCGGCGAGCGTAAAGACGCGCAGCTTCTTGAGGAATGCCTTTGCCGGCCGCTCGTCCTTGGGATTGCTGCGCAGGCGGAACGAGACCATGCCGCCGTACGCAAAGGCGCCGCTATCGGCCTTGGGGGCCGCGCGCGGGGCGACCTGTGTGCGGGCGAGGGCGTGCGACGGGTGCGATGGCAAGCCCGGGTAGATGACCTCGGCGACGGCGGGGTGCTGCGCCAGGTGCTCGGCCACAGCCAGCGCCGACTCGCCGTGGGCGCGCAGGCGCAGCGGCAGCGTCTTGAGGCCGCGGAGGGCGAGCCACGAGTCGAAGGCAGACGGCACGGCGCCGATGCTGTGCGTCGCGGGTCAGCCAGCGCCTCGAGGCGCCGCACTGCACGCCACACTCACGAGTTCTGCAGGAAGCGCAGCTTCTGCGCCCACGCCTCGTCGTTCGTGACTGCTGCGCCCATCACCACGTCCGAGTGGCCGTTGATGTACTTGGTGATCGAGTGCACGACGATGTCGGCGCCGAGCGCCAGCGGGTTCTGGTACCACGGCGAGAGGAACGTGCTGTCGACCACAAGCGCCGCCTGCGGTGCGACCGCCTTGACGACCTCGGCGACGAGGCGAATGTCGATGAGCCGCAGCGTCGGGTTCGTCGGCGTCTCGAGCCAGACGAGCTGTGCGGCGCGTCAGCACCGGCTCCTGCATCCTTCCACGCACGACGCACCTTGGTCTGCGCAGTCAGCTTGCTCTTCAGCGTCGCCTCGACCTCCTCACGCTCGCCGCCGAGCTCCGCAAAGTCCGTCACCACGTTCTGCATCGTCGACGCAACCTTTGTGAAGTAGCTGCCGGGCGCATGCATGAGGAGCCGCACAGCACCGGCGCAGCGCAGCACGACTCACCGGTATGTGCCGCCGTACACGTCATTGACACTCAGCACGTGGCTGCCGGGCGCCAGCGACGCGAGGATGGTGGCCGTCGTGGCGCTGCCGCTGGCAAAGGCCAGGCCGTGTTTGCCGCCCTCGAGCGAGGCGAGCGCGCGCTCGAAGCCATCGCGGTTCGGGTTGGCAGAGCGGGAGTACTCGTATGCCTGGTGAGCTGGTCAGCGCAGGTACAAATGGAAGAGAGAGGCCTGCGGCAGAGCGCGTCTTCACAGGACGCCGATGCGTCCTCAGCGCTCATCAAGGCAGCGCTCCCATCGCTCACAGGGCGCTGGCTCCACGTCTGCCCTCGGCAGTGTGCTCATCTCCGGCCAGACCCGTCTGCCGGCTGCTGCGCTCTCCTCCGCTCCACTGCCACTGCCACCGCCGCCTTCCCTGCACGCACCTTGATGCCGCCGACGCCGTCCTGCTTGTACGTGGTGCTGAGGCTGATGGCCGGGATCACAGCCTGCGTGCCCTCGTCGGGCTCGGAGCCGACGTGGATGGCGCGTGTGCTGAAGCCGTACGCGGGCGCGGCCTTGCCGTTGCCATTGGCGTGGCCGTTACCATTGGCGTGGCCATTGGCGGCGGCGGCGTGTCCGTTGCTGGCCTCGGCGACGATGTCCTGGACCATGCTGGGCGGCAGTGCGAGTGCGAGTGCGGGGTGAGCGCGGCGGGTGCGGGCGAACAGGCGTGGGACAGGGTCCGGCAGGGGCGGCACGCGGCGGTGGGCGGAGCTGAACGCGGGCCGGCGGCGGCGAGGTGATGGTGGAGGCGGGGACGCAGGAAGCAGCAGCGGCAGCGAGCAAGCTTTAAGGAGAAGGGATGAGCCAAGTCGCCGGATATAGAGCGAGGGCGGATGGCGTCGTCAGCAGCGCCATGTGCGTATCGGCCAAAGTCTAGAGTAGAGTGCTGCTCTGAGGGGCGGGCGCAGCGCTCCGGCCGAGCGGTTCGGTTGCGCGGCGGGCCGTCGGCCGCGGCGCCGCGTGCGGCGTGGCGTGCTCGGCGCGCCGCGGCACAAGCGCGAAGCGCGAAGCGTGAAGCAAGCCCTGGCGCGCGTGCCCTGCGCTTGCGGCCGCAAGGCACGCCCTCCGCGACGACGAGCTCGGCATGCGAAGGGCAGAGGCGCTGCGATGCTGCGTTGCTGGTGCTGACGCTGGACAAAGGGCAGTCTGGTACGCCGTGCCCCAGCATGAAGGGAGGCCAGGTGGAGGCCTGCGCACCGCCGTCTGCACACTGGCGCCCCGCGACGATCAGCACAAGGGTTCCGCGATGCCGCGCTGATCCCACCTGTTGCATTTGCCTCTTGCTGCGCCTTCAGTTCCGTCGTGTGGAGGTGCTCGAGGCCTGCATCCGGATGGCGGCAGGCGGGCGGCGGTGGCGCAAGGCCGGTAGTGAGAGCACGCCTTTGCGGGGTACGGACGGCGCTCGGCGGCCGCACAGCGCCGACACCGGCGTGGGAGCAGCGCGCACGAGCCTGATGCAGCGTCCAGCTCCAGCGGCACGGAGCAGCTCCCTCACCCAGCAGCCGGCTGCTGTCCTTCCTCTGCGCTTCTCCACACGCACCTCGCCGCTCGCACTCCTCGCTGCGGTCCACAGCGACACGCACGTCGAGCACGCATGCCCGCCGCCACCAAGGCGCGCCTCACGGGCAGCGCCGCCGCCGCCGCCGATGCCGCAGCCGCCGCGGCCGTGCTGCCCTCGTCGTTCCAGTCGCGCCGCCGCCGCGCCGCCGTGCTGGCCGCCTTCTGGCTCGCCATCCTCGCCGCACTGCCGGCATGGTGGCACCTGACGAGCATCGAGCGGCGCGCGCTGCCCGAGGAGCGCGTGGCGCAGTGGGCCGCCCGCCGTGCAGAGGTGAGTCGGCGACATGGACGTGCGCAGCCGCTGCTCTGGCCTGGCTGACATGGGCTCCGCACAGCAGGCCTGCGCCGTGCGAACGCCGCTGACGCTGCAGCTCGAGGTGCCGCGCTCGCTTCTGCCCGAGGCGTTTCCCTTCTTCGCGCAGGAGGAGCGCTACGACGACGTGGCGGCGTGGAGCGAGGCGCTACAGCGCAGCGTTCAGCGCGCCCTCTCGCGCACCGCCGAGTGCCACGATGTGCGGCTGCAAGTGTCGGTCGAGGGCTCGCAATCGCCGAGCTCAAAGAGTGCAGGCGGCCCTCGTGAGTGCACCCTGCAGCAGAAGACCTCTCAGCTGCTGATGCCTGCGGCAGTCTACCGCGTCTCGCTTGCCTCGGATGCTGCACTCGCCATTGACGCGCCCAGCAGCGGTGGGCACGGCATCTCGCTGCTGAGCGAGCATCTGAGCGAGCAGCTGGCGGCGCTCTTCCAGCTAGCGCCTTCCAGTGCCGTGCACTCGCTGCGCGAGATTCCGTACGCGATGCGCATCCGCACCGTCTGGCACCTGCTCAACGAGGATGCAGCGCAGCAGTCGCCGCTGCCGGCGGGCCTGGCTGCATGGGATGCGCGGGCGCTCGATGAGGCGCTTGATCGGCACGTCGGACCCATTGCGCGTGCGCTGCGAGGCACACATCGCATCGGACGCGAGAGCCAGAGCCACTGGTGGGCGCCGCTGGCCTTTGAGCCGGAGCTGCGCAAGCGGCAAGTCGCCGAGGCGCAGGCCCACGACGTCTATGCCGAGCCTGCCTCAGAGGCAGGCAGCTCAGAGGCCGCGACGGCCGACAGCGAGGCTTCTGAGCCGGTAGAGGCGGACGATGCCGCGTCGACTGCAGACACGCCGCTCTACGAGCCGCAGAACGACTCGGACGAGCACGCCGAGCGAGTGCGCCAGGCCGTCGAAGAGGCGCAGTTCGCTCGCGATGGACAAGAAGACAGTCCGCTCGACGATGAGGAGCAGGCAAAGGAGGAAGAAGCTGTCGAGGAGCTCTTGGCTGCCGTCGAGCAGCCCGACGAGGCTTCTGCCACGGCCGCCGATGCTTCCGCCAGCGAGACTGGCCTTGCGCTCCCCGAGCTGCCTGCCGAGCCCGCAACGGAGGACGTCCACGTCATCACGCCGGAGCAGCTCCAGGTCTTCGTCAACTCGGCCGAGTGGAGCCTCTCCTCGCCCTCGCCAGCCACCGCTTGGGAGTTCCCATCAGCTCCCTGGCTCTCCGATCCCGAGCGCGAAGCCGGCCTCGCGCTGCGGCGCCTGGCCTGGGGCGACGAAGAGTCAGACACGGAGCGCACGCTGCACTTCTGCGTCTTTGTGCCGAGCCCTAAGCACCGGCCGCTCTACATCGACGAGGCGACGTCTGAGAGTGCGCGCGGCTTCCTTGTGCCGCAGTGGGGCGGCGTGGTGCTCTACAGCCCACCTGCGCCGGAGGATGCGAGCAGCAGCAGGAACAGTAGCTCGCTGCTGCCGCCCTTTGCTGCGGCCGAGCTGGACGACATGATGCCGCTCTTTGCGTCGCAGCTGCGCTCGCTGCTCGGTCTGCGCCTGCCACGCTCGCCGGCCGGCAGCACCGAGGCGCAGCGCCTGGCACGCCGCGCCGTCGCGCTCGATGCGCTGCTGCGCCGCCGGATAGCGGAGACGGCCAACGAGGCCGTCGACACGCTGCACGGCATCATCCGCCTCGTGCACAAGATCACCAACCTTGGCGTCGGCAAGCAGGTGCAGGACGACGTGCGCGACGCCCTCGAGGCGCTCGACATGGTGAGGCTGGTTCTGAATTGCGCCACAACCACGTACTGACCACCTGTCTGCCAGCTCGATGCTCACCTGGCGCTGCCGCCTGTCCCGGCACGCGCTGCTGGCGAGGCCTCGCCCGATCTCGAGCGCGCGCTCATGCTCTCCTCGCGCGCCGCTGCGCTCGCCAGCCGCGCCTTCTTCAACCGCGACATGATCAAGGAGCTCTACTTTCCGCAGGAGCACAAGATGGCTGTCTACACGCCCTTCTTCGGGCCCGTTGCCGTGCCGCTGCTCGTCGGCATCGTGCGACTCATCAAGCGGCCGTGATATGTACAGACTGGCATTGCGATGGTATATAGAGAGACGTGCTGAGGTCCGGTCCGCGAAAGTGCCAGCGCTTAGAGGTTCAGGAGGAACGCGACGACGATCGCAGGGGCAAAGATGAGGCCCGCGACGCTCGGCGAGACGATGCCGGCAGCGTCGGTCGCCGCGGCCTCCTCCACGAGCGGCACGTCCTGGCCGATCGTCGAGTTCAGGCAAGAGAAGTACGTCTGGTTGACGCTGCTGGGCAGCGCGGCGAGCGGTGCCTCGAGCGCAGCCGTGTCGTTCGTGCCCACAGCCGGCTGCCCGTTCTCGTAGCCGTCGAGGCCGAGAGCAAAGGAGGAGCCGCGGTAGTACTGCAGACGGGCGTCAGCTTGGGGCGAGACTCGCACTCCTGCAGCAGGCTCACCTGTGCAACCTCTTGCGGGCCCGCGCTGAAGTTTGAGGGTGCCGTGGCGTTGTTGGTGCCCGTGCCGCAAGCCGAAGCGAGCGCGTCGCGGACCGTCTCGATGGAGTTGTTGTCGCCGAGCAGGAAGAAGCGGTTTTGCTCTGCGTCGACGCCGGCGGGCGGGCTGATGAGGAAGACCGTCTCGGCGCCGCCTGGCCGGTCGTCGCGGTTGCGGTACTCGGATGCGCCGTAGTAGCCCGCGCCGAGGCCGACAGCACCGAAGCCGAGGGGCCAGAAGATGAAGGCTGTAGCGAATGTGAGCTTCGTGCGCGCGCCGCACCTGACCCGCTGTACTCACGGAAGCCAGCGCCAGCCGTGCCGCGTCCACCGCCGTAGCCGCCGCTGCCATAGATACCACCGCGAGTACCACCGCCAGCCGTGCGTCCAGCAAAGGCGCCGCTGGTGACGGTGTACGGCGTGCTGACGCCGTTCGCGCTGGAGCTGCCGCGCAGGCCCGAGCCGCCAGAGACGGAGCCAGCGGTGAAGCCGGGCGTCGAGGAGCGGCCGGCCGTGGTGCCGCCAGTTGACGTGCCAGAGCCACTGCGCGACCCGCCGCCGCTGCTGACGGAGCCGCCGCCGCCGCCGCGTCCACCGCCGCCGCCACCACCGCCGCGGCGGCGCGTGAGCTCGATGAGTGAGCGAGCCTCGTGCTCAGAGTAAGCGCCGATAAGGTCGGCGAGAGCGGGCATGGCGTGTGAGAGTTGGGGTTGAGGTGTGTAGAGTGTTGAGGAGTGGCCGGCGTGTGATGAAGGCCGGGTGCGTGTGTCTGGGAAGCAAAATGGATGTATCCACGCTGCGACGTTATGTACCTGCTCAGGCCACCGCGGTGGCGCGAGACGATTCCGCGCTCCGCTGCTCCAGTGCCCGCAAGCGGCTGGCGGCCGTAAGGCCGCGTTGCCAAGGCGGGCAGCAGCCGAGGGCCGCCGGCTGCGAGCGGCTGCCAAGCGGGGACCGCGGCTGCGTCATCGGCCTTGATCGGCACACTGCTCCAGTGCCTGGCTTCTGCGCACCGCGTGGACGGGCGCGTGAGCGAGCGACAAGCCGCGGAAAGCGCGAGGAGGCTGTGCCCCCGCCATGAGCTAGCCTCACCGCCGCGTCACCGCCATCCGCGCCCCTCGTGGGCGTTCCGATATGCAGACAGCGGGCGCAGCGCGGCCGTCGTGCTGCGTTGCTGCCGATGCAGGACAGCAGCCGGGGATCTCGTGCTCCCACGCACGATCGGCGCCCGCGTGAGCCGCTCTTCCTCCATCCCTAGCGCGGCACCGCCTCCTGTGGGGCATCATTCTGCACAGAAGCATGGCATTGCGGCGCTGCACGCTGCAGCCGACGTCACCTGCGCCTGTTCCTAGCCTTGGAGCTGCGCCTCAGCCTGCTCCTCCTCGGCGCTGAAGTCCCAGTAGCCCACCGTCGGCGCCTGGAGTGAGCCGCACAGCGTCGCCAAAGTGCCCTTGCCCTGGCCCGCTGCGAGCTGCAGCGGTGTCGCGAGCGGGGCGTCGAGCATGAAGCTCTTGGACGCGCGCCATCCTGCGGCGCCGTCGGGAAGCAGCAGCAGAATCTCGCGGGGTTCGTCTGAGCCTGGCGGTGAGCACAGCAGCAGAAGCAGGCGGCCGTAGAAGGTGCCATCGTGCACCTGCCGCAGCGAGCCATCCGGCGCCGTGGCGGCCCAGACTACGGCGTCGCCGGCCGTCGTCGGCGGGCTGCAGATGCTCGCGCAGCCCGACTCGCGGTCGTGGATGAGGGTGACGAAGAGGCGACCTTCGACTTGAGACGGCGGCGCAAGAAGCACGCGGGTGGGCAGTGCAGGCGGGGCAAACGCCGTGTCGATGCTGCTCCACAGCGTGCGAGCCGGCATGCTCAGGCCTGTCGGCAGCCAGAAGGTCGTGCGAGACGTGAGCTTCGCCAGCGGCATGACGGCTCCGAGAGATGCATCGAAGAGACGCGCGCTCGAAGCCAGCACCGTCTGGCACAGCGTGTCCAGACACGGAAAGACGCCAGTCCGTGTCGTCTTTGAGCTGCCTGCGGCGCCGCCCATGAACAGCGCGCTCTTCGCCTTGAAGACCTCGTTGACCTCGTCGGCGTCCGGGAAGTGCACCACCTCGGGCAGCGGCATGGCGAGCCGCGCCCTCGTCTTTGCCATCGTCTCCTGCAGCGACGGCCGCACTGGAGGCTTGCGCAGTCCGGCCGTATTTTCACCAGACTGCCCGTCCGGACTGAGCCCAAGGACGAGGGCATCGATGTCTGTGCTCGCAAAGCCTCGCCTGACCAGCTCCAGCACGGTCAACGTGTCCCACCGCTGGCCGCCTCCGTCGGCAGAAGTCGAGGGCGCCTCGCCGCGTGCTTCTAATCGTTGCCGGTCTTGCCGCTCGCGCTCGAGGAGCCAGAACTCGAAGAACTCCTCGAACGCCAAGCTCTCGAGCTCGCACAGCTCTTGCAGGCTCCGTGCGTGAAGCAAGAAGCCTTGCACCATCGAGAGCATCTCCTCGATCTTGTCCTCTTGATCGCGCAGCAGCGTGCCGTATCGCTCAGGCCTACTCTGGGCGTCAGTGGAGGAATGTCTTGCAATGCGCATGCTGCTCACCATCGTGCGCAGCCGAGCAGCTCAGTAAGCACCACCACAAGCCGCTCGGCCGCCTGCGTCAGATCGCGGCCCGCAGCCTCAGCACACCGGTCGAGCGAGCGCAGCATCTCGTCTCGCATCTTCTCCAGCACGCCGAGCGTCAGGCCTTCGTTGCCGGCGAAGAGGCTCTCGAGCGCGTGGCGCACGTTGCCCATCACAACCGCCACGCAGATCTCGGCGCGGGCGTTTGTAGCGTACTGCTCGCTTGCTGTCTGGAGGTGGTCGTTCCACGTGCGAACGTGCGCCTGATGCACGGCGTACGTCGTCTTGAGGTGTGCCAAATGGGTGAGCGTGTGGAGCAGGAGCGCTCGTAGATGCGAGCCGAGCTGGGAAAGATGCTGGACCGCGGAGAGCTGCTTGTCGGGCTGCGACGGGCCGGCAGAGCACTCGCCTGGCTCCGCCAAGCCGAAGGGCAAGGCGAGAGTGCAGTGGTTCATTGCTGCGCCTTCTGAGGCGTCATCCGTCAGGTTCCCGAAGGCAACTGATGCCGTGCAGAGGTCCGAGCTGAGACTCGCGGCAACGATAGCTCGAAGCCCTGAGCTGCCGTCGTCTCGCGGGACAAGCTCGTCCAGGTCGCAGCTGCCCAGGTGCGCTGCGCCTTCCAGCAGCACGTGAAGCCTCGGTCCGTCCCAGGCGACTAGCATAGAGCACGGCTCGGCCCTTTGGATGCCAGCGCTACGCGTACGCGCAACGCCTGCCTCATCGCGCACGCTGTGAGGCTTCGTTGGCGCACTGATGCGCGGCAGACGCGGCAGCCTGGCGAGTGCCGGTCCGACGCCGCGTGGGTCGTTGAGCGCTGCGTTCGCCGGCAGGGCCGAGGCAGCTGTGGAGGTTGTGCGACCGCGCAGTGCCGCGACCTGATGCGGCATGAGCTTGGCAGAGCTGGACGGCAGAGCGCTCGGATCCACTGGCTCGGTCAATGGCGGCAGGGACGCGAGAATCTCATCGCAAGCAGCCGGCGGCGACTATGGCCCTGAGTCAGCAGGTGCACGCTGTATCAGCGCTCTGGCACTCACTTGACGGCTTCCACTGCACCATAGCAGACCTCCACCGCCTAGCCCACTATGCCCGGCCTCGCGAGGGGCCGGCTCCGTTGCCGAGTGAAGCTCAAAGAGAGCCTGGCGCGCGCCTGTGGCCAGCAGATGCGTGGACACAAAGGTGCGCGCTTGACGATGCGGTGCTTGGGCAGCCGCGGCGCCCGTCGGCATCAGCAGCAGGGTGAGCAGTAGCGACACCGTTTGCGCTGGAGACAAGAATGTGAGCTTGCAGAGTCGCGTGTATGCCAGGCCGAACTCACCATCTGGTGCCCATGCTACATCCTTGACGATGCACAGCTCATCTCCCTCGCCCGTCCAGACATTTTCGACGAGCAGCGGCACCTTCCAGACCTGCTCGGCGACCTCGCCCGTGCGCCACAGCTCGGCGCTGAGCTCGGCGCGCCGCACGCCCGCCTTTGGCTGGCCCGCCGCAGCACCGGCGGCGGCGGCGGACTGGCCGGCACGCCGTGCCGCCTGCATGGCCAGCATGCGAGCGCGCATGGCAGCGGCGCCTGTCAGGGGCGCGACGGGCGCCGGCGGCGCGGTGGAGAGGAGCAGCACGACGTCCATGCTCGGCGCCACGGCGCGCGGTGGCAGGTGGAAGGTGGTGCGGCTGCTGCTGGGCACGGCGGATGCGCCGGCCGCGCCGGCCTTGCTGCCGCCGGCTGGGCCCGCGCCGCCGGGTGTGAAGTGCGAGAGCGGCGGGAGCGTGCTCATGGCCAGGTGCGGATGAGGTTGCGGCTGGGAAGATGCGGCAAGAGACGCAGATGCCGCGCGCGGTGAGGCGCGTCGCGCCGCGAGAGCAACAGCCGGCCCGCCAGATCTCGGGACTCGGGCATCGCGCATCCGCACCACCGACCCCTCCTCGAGGTCTGTTGCGACTCAGACTGTCCGGCCCGCGCTGCGCTTCCTGTGACTGAGCAGATGGTCTAGATATCTGCAGCAGAGTCTTCTGATTCACAATGACAGCACAGGATCAGCGACTAGAACGAACGGCGTGCCGGCGGCCAGAAAGAGAAGCCGTGGCCATCTGCAAAGTCATCGCGGTGGCCTAACTCCATCGCAGGTTGATCCTTCCATGCTTTGCTTCGACCAGCGTGCACAAGCCCGAACTCGCAAGAGACCGGCGTCTGCAAGCCGAGGGCATCTATCTCACCTGCACCGGCTGCAGAGCAGCCGGGTCGAAGGCGCTGCGGAGGAGAGCGGATGGAGAAATGCCCGCGTGGCCTGTGCGTGCTGCGCCCTCGGGGCGCTCCCGCGCTAGTGCCGCGGCATCTCGCGCAAGACGCCGGCCGCCGAGGTGCCAAGGCGGGGCGACCTTGTGGGCGCGCGTGGGGCACAAGCGCCGGCGCAGCCACACCAGCACCATCACCTCGTGGTGCCGGCGATATCGCACCGACGGCATGCTTCACAGCCAGCCGCAGACCCACACGGCGCCAAGGGCGGCAGAATGCCCGCAGACGACCCTGTGTGCGGCGAGCGGCACTCATAAAGCCTGCACGCATCCGCACCCACCCCATCTTCCCGCCCACAACCACCTCACAATGTCTGCCTTCTCTTCAGCACCACCGCCTTACGACGCCGCCCACGGGGCGCTCCCGCAAGCCCAGGCCGATACGATGCCGTCTGGCAGCAAGAGCTGGACGCAGCTCGTGCGCGGCACGCACGACGAGCTCTACGCCGCCTGGGACAGCGGCATGCTCGGCGCCGATGCGCCGCAGCACGTGCGCGGCCGCAGTCTGGCGCTGCGCACCGACGGCAACCAGTTCCACTGGAGCGAGTGGCTGCAGTCCATCACCTGGCACGAGCGCGCCTTCGGGCCCGCACAGTCCGTCATGACGTTCGCCACGCGCATGTTCCGCAGCGACAGCTTCGAGATGCAGGCCGCCGGCAGCAGCCGCACGCTCGCCTCGTGGAAGGAGCGCACCGGCGCACTGACGATCGGCAAGCAAAAGCTCACCGTGCAGGCCGACGAGGGCCTGCAGAGCGCAGCCGTCCAGCTTGACGGCCGCGCCTGCAGGTGGGAGTGCGTCGGCGAGCTGGTGAGTTGCCGTGCAGGTGCCGCAGCCAGGCAGTGCGCTGACGGCATCTCCCAGCGCACCGTCGATGGCCACCGCTGGGACAAGTGCACGTACGGCCTCTACGACACCCAGTCGCGAGAGCTGTGAGTGCTGCACTTCAATGCTTGTCCGAGCGCCCCGCTGAGTGCCGCTTCACAGCCTCGCCTCCTTCCGCTGGATCACCGGCGCGCCGCGGTACGCGGTCGACATGACGCTGTACATGTGGGACGCCAACATCGACGAGCACGCTGTCCTCTCCTCCTTCACTGTGTGAGCAGCCTGTCGCGCCGTTCGCCGCGTCTCGTGCTGACGCAGCCGCGCAGCCTCCTGTACAAGCAGTGGTGCCGCATGACGGCCGAGTGGAACAACCTCACGACGCAAGGGCAGCTCGCCGTCTACGAGAGCATCGTCGAGGACGAGTCGACGCGCCACACGGTGCGTGTGCTGCAGCGATCCGCACTGTCCCACATGCTCACCGCTTCTCTCTGCAGTACGGCTTTGTCTCGCGCGAGAAGGCGGCCGAGCTGCGCGAGCGAGCTGCGGAGATTGTAGCGCAGAACCGCAAGAACAACGTCAACTCGGGCATCATGAGCACTCTGAGCGCCAACGCCGGCGTGGTTGCCGTGTCCATCTAAGCGCAACACGCTACGCTGCACACACGTCATGCACGAGCCTCTTGCCACTATCCCCACTTGCAGCTATACCTTGAATGCACATCTCATGACCTCGGCTCTGCTGCGTGCGTCCTGAGGACTGCTCTATTGCGTTGCTTGTCCGCTCAGCACCTCGTCAGCCACCTCTGCGCTGTCGCGCACCAGGCCGAGCACGCAGCCGCCCAGCCGAGCGCGCAGGTCCTCGTGGTCCACGTCGTGCGTGTCGTCTGGCAGTGTCGTGCTCAGCATGGGTCCAATGCGGCAATTGCGCGGCACACTCACCAACCATGCCCCACTTCTCTGTCTGGCTCTTGACCTCCACCTCGGCTGCCTGACTGGCCTCCTCGACGCCCCACTGCTCGCCGTCCGACGTGCGGTTGGCCTCGACGAGGCGCAGCGCAATGACGAAGCTCTTCGTCGCCATCACAGCGCGTTCAAAGGCTGCCAGCTCCCATGCATCGTACGAGTCGATGTGCCGGCGCAGCGGCGCCACGGCATCGTCGGCCTGCGACGCGCCCAGCAGCCCGGTGATCGGCACAATTGTGCTCCCAAATCGCTCCTTCACCCAGGCGAGAAGCGGGTCCCAGTGCTCATGCTGCAGCTGAACGAGGATCGGAGGGTGGTCCTCCTGGAAGCTGAGCAGCCGCGCGCGAATGAGCACGGGCGCGAGGTCCAGCACACAGGCGATGCATAGCACACTCACCAGACCGTGTCCGTGCGCAGATACCGCACAAGATCGTCGCACACGGCGGAGCGCTGCTCCGGTGTGGCAAGACCGTCCAGAGCCCGGGCAGCCAGCGAGGTCTGGAGCAGCAGCCGATCAGCTGCCGAGCAGGGCGATTCACGCATGGCGCTCACCATCGGCAGAGTCCAACTCTTCATCACCTTCTCCTGCTCGCTCCACTCGCGCGCCACGAGCGAGGCGAGCAGGACACGCTCGCGCGGGATGCGCAGCACGGTGCCCTCGGGCGTGCGCAGCGGGCGGCCGTCGAGCTCGACGACGAGCGTCGAGGCCGTCTCGGCACTGGCCCCCGGCAGCGGCGCCGATGCGAGCGCCACCGACTTCCAGAAGCGCCGGCGGGTCAGGTCGGCGCGCGCCGTCGACGACTCGAGCGGCGAGGCGGGCGCCGGTGGCACCTTTGCCTTGGCCGCCTCGCGCCGCACGGCCGAGGCGTGCTGGCTGCGCGCCAGCTGCGGCGTGGCGGCGGCGCGCGGTGCGGCGCTGACTGCCAGCCGCAGTGCGCATGTCTGCAGCCGAGGCCACAGGAGCGGAGAGAGGCGCGCCAGGGGCATGGTGAGATGGGGGAGTGGAGGAAGGAGCGGTTGCTTCTCGCCGCTCCCACGGCTGCTAGGCACAGGCACGGCACGTGCGGCCAGGGCCCAGCACGGCGGGGGCGCGACTCTCGCGCCGCTGCCTTGTCGCTCTCGAGCGTGCATCGCCAGCCAGCGACGCGTCCGAGCTTCTCGCGGCGGCGCACGGCACATCTCAGCTCGCCGCTCCACACTCCCATCTCCCGCGCCGCACCCCTCTCCCAGCTCCCTCTCCCCACCTCGGTGCGCCGCATGTTCGGCGCGAATACCGGCGGCTTCGGCGGCTTTGGCCAGGCGGGCCAGCAGCAGCAGCAGCAGCCCGGTGCCGCGCAGCCGGGCCAGCAGGCGGGCGGCCTCTTCGGCGCACAGCCGCAGCAGCCGCAGCAGGGCGCCTTTGGTGGTGAGTACGCCGCGCTTCAGCACGACGAGCGCCCACTCACGCACGGTACCAGGCTTTGGTGCGCAGCCGCAGGCGTTCGGCGCCCAGCAGCCAGCAGCCGGCGGCGGTCTCTTTGGCGCACAGCCGGCGCAGGCACCCGCAACAGGCGGCTTTACCTTCGGGCAGCCGCAGAATGCGCAGCAGCCACAGACCGGCGGCTTCGGCCAGCCGGCGCAGGCGCAGCAGCAGCAGCGTCCGGCCTTCGGCGGCTTCGGCGGCTCGCAGCAGACGAGCACGTTCGGCGGCTTCGGTGAGTGTCCCGCGCACCGCAGGCGTCCGGCGGCCTTTGCACGTTTTGCGCCGCCTGGAGCTTGTCTGACACACGGCACATCGCAGGAGCTCAGCCCGCAGCGACAACGACCTTCGGCGCACCTACAGCTGGCGGCTTCGGCGCGAAGCCGGCCACCGGCGGCCTCTTCGGACAGCCCGCACAGCCCGCTGCACAGACCGGCTTCGGCGCGCAGCCGCAGACCGGCGGGCTCTTTGGCGGTGAGCCAGCCGGGCCACAGCCGCTTGCCTGCGTATGCTCACCTTCTCTTCCCTGTCAGCGCCTGCGGCCGCCGCCATGCCCACCGCAGGCACCTCCAACCCGCCTTACCAGCTGTTCATCAACTCTGAGCCCGACGCAAACGGTCAAAACAAGCACGACTACGCATATCAGTGCATCACCATGATGCCCGCCTACCGACAGGCATCGCTGGAGGAGCTGCGCCTGCAGGACTACCAGCAGGGGCGCAAGTCGGGCACCGGCGGGCCGCCCGCAGCTGCGTCGGGCTTCGGCGCTCAGCAGCAGCCGGCCTTCGGCCAGCCTCAGCAGCAGCAGGGCGGCTTGTTCGGGCAGCAGCCGCAGCAGCAGCAGACAGGTCTGTTCGGCGCGCAGCCCCAGCAGCAGCAGACCGGCGGGCTCTTCGGCCAGCCGGCGCAGCAGCCCGCTGCTGGAGGTCTGTTTGGACAGCAGAACACCACGACAGGCGGCGGTCTGTTCGGAGCACCGCAACAGCAGCAGCAGCAGCCGACAGGAGGCCTCTTTGGCCAGCAGCAACAGCAGCAGCCCGCCAGTACGGGCTTCACCTTTGGCGGCGCATCAGCTGCACCCGCTGCGCCGGCTGCGGGTGCTACCGGCGGCTTCACCTTTGGCCAGACGCCTGCCGCCAAGCCGGCGACGGGCGGGCTCTTCGGCAGCACAGCCGGTGCGTTCGGCGCTGCTCCGGCAGCCTCGACCAGCGGCTTCGGCGGCTTTGGATCGACGCTGGGCCAGCAGCAGCCGCAACAGCAGCAGCAGCCTGCCCAGACCGGCTTTGGCGGCACCTCGGGCGGCTTCACGTTTGGCGGCGCCCCGGCTGCATCTGCTGCGCCTAAGCCCGGAGGTCTCTTTGGCAGCGCACCGCAGACCTCGTCTGCCCCGTCCTTCGGTGGCTTTGGCGCCGCCTCGAGCGCGCCAGGGGCAGCTGCAGCCAAGCCGGCCTTCAGCTTCGGCGGCACAAGTGGAGCGACCGCCGGCGGTGCTGCGGCGCCTGCCACGGGCGGCCTGTTCGGCAACTCCCAGCCGGTCGCGACCGCTCAGCCGGGAGGTCTCTTCGGTGGTCTCGGCGGCGGCTTCGGACAGCCGCAGGGACAGCAGCAACAGGGTCAGCAGCAGCAGCAGCAGCCCGCATCGGGCTTCGGCGGGGGTCTCTTCGGCGCCAAGCCAGCGACCGGCGGCCTCTTCGGTGCTCCGGCTGGCCAGCAACAGCAGCAGCAGCCTGCTGCCGGCGGCGGCCTCTTCGGCGGTGGCGGAGGACTCTTCGGCAACACAGCAGCGAAGCCGGCCGCGCCCGGCGGAGGTCTCGGCGGCTCGACCGCCTTCCCGAGCTCAGGACTCTTCGGCGGTAGCAGCAGCGGCGGCGCCCTGTTTGGCGGCGGTGCGCAGAATCAGGGCGCGTCCACCGGCGGTCTCTTTGGACAGAGCCAGAACAACCAGGCGGCACCCGGCGGCGGCCTCTTCGGCGCGTCCACGCTCGGCGGCCAGCAGAACCAGCAACAGCAGGGTCAGCAGGCCCAGCAGCCCAACTTCCAGGCCAGCCTCAACCAGGACCCGTACGGCACCGACGCGCTCTTCGCGAACGGCGCCCAGGGCGGTGCTGGTGGCGCCGCGAGCCAGCCGCCGCTGCCTTTCAACGTCTCCGCCAGCGCCAGCAAGCGTGCGCCACCTCTCGTCGCGCCCTTCCGCAACTCGCCGCGCAACGCCGCGAAGATCACGCGCCTGCGAGGCAGCACGCCTGGCGGCGCGATGGGCTTCTCGACGCGCGATGGCACGCCTGGACGCGAGGGCACGCCCGGCGCGAACCTCTTCGGCAGCAGTCTCGCCCGCCACGGCTCGCCGGCGACGGGAGGCGCAAGCCTCTTCCGCGGCCTCAGCGACGAGCAGGTCTACGGCAACGGTGGCGCGCGTGGCGAGTCGCTTCCGCCGCAGGCCTTCGTCTCACGCCCGAGCGTGAAGCGGCTGGTGCTTGACGACTCGCCGGCAGCCGGGTCTGCTGGCGCGAGCAACAGCTTCTCGCGCTCCATCTTCGGCGCCTCCTCGCGTGCCGGCAGCGTGGCGCCTCGCGCGGGCAGCGTCATTGCGCGCGATTCGTCGCCTTTCAGCAGCAACCTGCGCGGCGGCACCGCGCCTGCCGTGCAGCGCGTCGCCTTCTCGCCTGCTCTGGAGACCGGCTCGTCCGCTCGGCGAGGCCTGCCTGTGCGCGCCAACGAGCCCACGACGCCGAACGAGGGAGACGCCTCCTTCGCCAGCTCGGTGTTCAACCGCAACGACACGCCCAGCCGCCCGGTCGGGAGCCGCGGCGCGCGCGAGGACCCCGACTCGTCTCTGCCCAGCCTCTCCGCCAACAAGCCGGCGCAGCAGGCTCCGCCGGCGAACGACAACCTGCCTCTCGACTACTACACCTCGCCGCCGCTGCGCGAGCTCGACACGTGGGGCGCGGCGGAGCTCAGTGCTGTGCCGTACTTCGTCGTCGGCCGCAAGGGCTACGGCTCCGTGCGCTTCGTGCAGGCCGTCGACCTGACGTCTGTCGGTGACCTGCGCGACGTGCCCGGCGGCATCGTGCAGATCCGCTCCAAGGAGTGCTTCGTCTACCCCGACGAGGACGACTGCTATGACCCCGAGACTGGCGAGCTGCTCGACGGCGTGCGGCCTGGCTTTGACCCCTCCACGGTCGTCAAGGCGCCGCAGGGCTCTGGTCTCAACGTGCCTGCCGTCGTGTCGCTCGAGAAGTGCTGGCCGACTGACCGCGCCACGCGTCAGCCGCTTAAGGACGCAGACCACCCCCGCGTCAAGCAGCACATCACCAAGCTGCAGCGCAAGGAGGAGACGAAGTTCGAGGAGTACGAGGCGCAGAGCGGCACGTGGCGCTTCCGCGTCGAGCACTTCTCGCGCTACGGCCTGGACGACAGCGACGAGGAGGACGGCGCCAATGCTGCGGCAGCCAAGGCTGCTGCGGCTGGGCCCTCGAGCTCGACGCCTGCGCGGAAAAGTGCGCGGCCCGCTGCGTCCGCGGCAAAAGAAACGCCGAACTCCCGCAAGGGCGGCGCACCGCCCAGCCGCGCGCTCGGCGACGCGGACGACGAGGAACCCGACGATGGGATGGACGCAGACGACACGCAGTCCAGCAGCAGTTCGATGCGCGCCAGCGAGCTGACGAGCCCGCCCCATTTTAGTGGCGCCCGCGTGTGGGAAGCGCGGGCGGAAACCCCACGCCTCAGCTCGGCCGCTGCACAGCACCAGGCTGAAGGCTCACCTGCGCCGTCGTGGTCCTCTGCAGCAGCAGGCCGGACGGCGGACTCGCGTCGCGTGCAGGTCATGCAAGCGAGCTTCTTCGGCCAGACGCCGAAGCAGGCTTCGCCAGCGCCTGCCCAGCCGGCCGCACCGGCCAGCAGTACGACGCGCAAGCATCCGCGCACCAGCGTGCCGGGTGCTGCCGCGCCGCTGAGCGGGCGCTCGACGTTCTCGAGCCCTGCACCGGCGGCTCGTGTGCCGGCAGTCATTCCTGCCACCGAACTGCCGGTCGCCACCAGCTCGGCCCCGCGCAAGTTCATCCGCACCGACCCTGCCCGCTCGGCAGTTGCAGGCTCGGAGCACCTCACCGTCGATGCCGGCCTGGCCAGGGGCCGCAGCTTCCGCGTCGGCTGGGGCCCAGACGGCACAATTGCGCACATCGGCAAGCTCGTCACTGGCCCCGCCGCAGCGAGCAAGTCCACGCCCGCCACCTCGAGCGAAGCTGAGGAGAGCCCGTCGTCTTCGACAGTCCGGCTCGAGAAGGTCCGCTTCTTCAAGGTCGGCGGCAGCGAGGTGGCAGACATGGAGCGTTTGCTGCGGCTGCAGCTCGACCACTCGGAGATCGAGGCAGAAGACGACGCTGACGATGCGTTCGACGACGACTCGCAGGCCGCGATCTTCAACAGAGGCTGTCCGGCTGCATACATCCGCCCCGAGACGCGCTTCCGCGACTTTGCTGCCTCTTTCGACAGCAACGATCGCAGCCATGAGGCAGTGCTCTGGCGCATGGGCGTAGCCCTCTTCGACGAGATCGACTTGCGCCTGCCAGCAGAGGCGTCACGAGAGCTGCAGCACAAGGCCATGGCGATTCGCCGCAAGGCTGCGCTCTCTGCCTGCCTTGCGCACGCCGTCGCGTCGACCGTCGAGGCCGAGTCGCGAGGGCACGTCGCTGCAAGCCGTGACGCCGCTCTCGTCTTCACGTTCCTCACCGGCAATCAGCTGGAGCGCGCATGCGGGGCCGCCATCGAGGCGGGCGACGTGCGCCTCGCAACGCTAGTGGCGCAGGCTGGCAGCGGCGACGATGAGGCACGCGCCGATGTTAGCGACCAGCTGGCAACATGGCGGCGCGAGGCTGTCGATGCGCACATCTCGAAGGACCACCGCCGCGTCTACGAGCTGCTCGCTGGCAACGTCACCCTGTCGGAAGGCACCGCGGCGCGCTCGGTGCGCGACCCCATCGACCAGGTGGAGGACCTGCAGATCGCTGCGGGCCTGGACTGGAAGCGCGCGTTCGGTCTGCACCTGTGGTACGACACTGCGCACGATGCAACCCTGACGAGCGCCGTCGAGCGCTATGAGGCAGCCGTCGGCGGACGCGGCGCCACCGCGCCTCCGCTGCCGCCGTACCGGGAGAGCTCAGCCCTCGGCTCGCAGCGCATGCGCCAACTCGTCCAGGCCAACACATACGAGCGCGATGGCATCTTCCAGCTCATCAAGCTCTTTGCCTTCCCGGCGCACGACCTGGAGAGCGCTCTTACGCCGTCTGGCTTCGGCCCCGCACTGGCCGATCTGCGCCTGCCCTGGCACCTGTATCAGCTCCTCTCGCGTGCGCTGCGCCACCGCGACTTTGGCGACCGGCTCGATCTCGGCGTCGAGTCCGGCGTCGAGCTGCAGGCAGCCGGCTTCGAGGGCAATAGCGCTCGTGCCGACGGCCTCACGTCGGGCTATGCGCAGCAGCTCGAGCTGCAGGGCCAGTGGCTCTGGGCCGCCTTCGTGCTGCTGCACCTCGAGCTGCCGCAGAGCCGCGAGGCGGCCCTCAAGGCACTGCTGGCGCGCAACGTCAGCAAGCTGGGCGACGACGCCGACCCAGCCTCGGAGCAGTTCCTCACCGAGCGCCTGCGCATTCCGCGCGCGTGGATCTTTGAGGCGCGCGCCCACGAGGCGCGCAGCCGCGACGACCGCTTCGAGGAGTACGAGCTGCTGATCTTTGCCGGCCAGCTCACGGAGGCGCACGCCATTGCCGTGCGCCACCTGGCGCCCGAGGCGATCATCCGCGGCGACCTCGACGTGCTGCTCACGCTCTTTGCGCCGTTCCACGAGGCGAACCTGCCAGGCGGCCTCGACGACATGGCCGGCTGGAAGCAGGGCGGCCGCGTGTACGTCGACTATGTGGCGTGCGTCAAGCACCTGCCCTACCTGCTCGCGCATCGCGAGGGCAACGGCCTGGACGCTGCCGACGAGGACAAGCTTGCGCGTCTTGCGCCGCGAGTCGCCGAGCTGCTCGAGCTCGTGCCCGGCCTCTTCCAGGACGCAAAGACGAGCCTCACGCAGACGGTCGCGCGCAGCGACAGTGAGTACGGCGACCTGCGGCGCGGCTCTGCGCTCGAGACTGACCCAGCCTCCGCAGTGCTCGCTGCACTGCACAACCTGGCGCGCGCCCTGTCGGTGCGCAGCCTGGCGCCCGAGCCGAGCGGCGCCTGGGATGCGTCGGCGCCGCCGGAGGTCGAAGCGCTGCAGAACGCCGCCAACGACTACTGCGCGCTGCTGATGTGAGTCCTCTCGCGGCTAGAAGACGAGGCATGCCGTGCTGACCACCCTCTGCTCAGTGGCGCGACGGCGGCGTGAGACGGGCGAACCCGACGGCGATGCTGCTTTCTTCTGTATTGAATCGGCTGCAATCTGACATGGCACAGAGACTGGTGGACCGACGTTGGCGTGGCCGAGGCGGCGAGTCGCCGATGGGCCCTTGGCGCACGATGGGTGTGGCAGCGCCACGCACGCTAGGCGGCGCACGCACCCAGCGAGCGTGGGAACCTGTCCTGCGCATGCCGCAGGGCACCTGGCTGACCTCACCTCGACGCTTGGGTCAGCGCCTCCGTGCTCCCGACCTCCAGCACAGCCCGGCTTTCGCAGCCCCAGCCTCAGCCTCTCTCTCTCTGCTGCTCCTCATCATCCCTTGCTGGGCTCGCTCTCCTCTGCCAGCCACTGCCGCCGTGCAGCACGCACTGCGCGCGCACCTCCTCGCCACGCCACACAGGCCGCGCAGCACGCCGCCTCCGCACGCACCGCACCTCACTCCTCGCCCGATTCTCCTCTCGCAGCGAGTCGAGCTTTGGGCAGCTCCTCGACGCTCGTTGCCACAGCAAGTGTGCCAGCGCAGCACACCGTGTGAACACGCGCCACGGCAGCACCCGATCTGCGGCAGCCCACGAGGCCCAGCTCGCGCTTGCAGCCGCCTTCTCCGCCGCTCCGCTCTCGGTCGGATCAACCGGCGTGGCGCGCTTTGCGCTGCTGCTCCGCGCCGCGAAACGCGCCGAGGCGCACCGCTGCAGCGTGCACAGGCGCATCTGCACCAGCGATCACATCTTCTCAAGCCGCCGCTCACCGCGCGAGATCCCATCTGATAGCTCTCAGAGCCGTCTCTGGTAGCGTGCGTGCCGCCCGGGCCACCCCTGGAGCACACAGCGCCATCACTACCCCTCTCGCACCTCACTCCTACATCCCTCACCGCCACACACCGCCCTCTGCCACCCTCTCGCTCTGTGCGCCACCGAGCGCGACACTCGCCGTCGGCTCCTCTACGCCGCTCGCGATCTAGCTCATCGGCTAGCTGCTGCTCTATTTCGACGCTCGCCGGCTTTCCTACAGCAGCTCCGGGCGGCTTCGGCCGCTGATCGCGCCAAACCCAGCACCACCTAGGCGTGGCAACTCGTCGGCACTCCTGCGCCTCGAGCACCGCGCACGGCGCTCAGGGACGCATCGCGAGCGGCGGGCGTAGATGCAGCGCTACGAGGCGGGCGGAGTCGGTGGCGATGTCCTGGGACAGGCAGAGGTAAGTGACGGCTCGTCGATGTCGGAACACCAGTCGAAGGTTGCGGGGACAGACTGTGGCAAGGGTGGCGCGTGAGCTCAGGTGCCCGCGCAAGAGCGACCGCGCTGCGCTCGGGAGTGATCGTTTTTCAGGTCAGCGCTCGGCCTTTCATCATGAGCCAAGCGCACTGCGCGGTTCGAGGGATCTGCGGCCAGGTGCTTCCTGCATGCCGCTTGCTGCTTCTTGGCTACAGCTGCGGAGGCTGCCTGTGTGGCGCGGGGTCGGCTGCTGTGCCGGACACAGGGCTACGCACTGTTGTGCAAGTAGACCGGTGCCGTGGCCTAGGCGTGCGCATGAGCGCCGCGACTTGCGGTGCCAAGCGCTCGTTGATCATCGTCTGGTGCCTCTCTCGCCGCCGCCGTAGCCGAGCATACCAGCAGCGTCGGGACAGTATAGCTGACTGGAGATCTCCCATGAACAGGTCTACGACATCGGCCTGCCGAGCAGCCCGCTCTCACCCGGCTTCGACTCGCACTACGCTGGTGCGGCCGGCGGTGCACCGGCATTCTACATCCAGCACCCGAACTTGCCGTCTGGCTCGCACCATGTCGGCAGCTCGCTAGCCGGACCATCGTTCTCGCTGCCTGGTGCACGCATCGGCTCGCCGTCTTACTCGCAAGACTATGCGCCGCCGCAGCCCGGCTCGAGCGGCTATGCGCACTACTACCGCTGGCCGGAATACGGTCTCGACTCGCCCGTCTATGGCATGGACGATGGCACTAGAGAGGCCATGGTCATGCGACCGATGGCCCAGGCACCTCCGTCCAATGCAGCAGCGCCAGCAGGCAGCTCGCCTCCGGAAGTGTGGTCCTTCATTGAGGCGCCCACTGTCGAGCTCGACGACTCTGCCGGCGGCGGTACGAAGCGGCCGAAGGCGCGGCGGAAGAAGGCGAAGCCAATCGTAGAGCCGCCAGTGGAGGAGGAGCAGCCCGAGCAACAGGGCGCGGGCAGCACCGCCGTGCCGTCCGCTGCTGGCTCTCATGGGACCGCCGGCAGCAAAGCGAACTCGGCGACGCTGCCGTTCGTCGATCCGCTGCAGAACGAAGACACCAGTGCTCTGGCGCGAAGCATGGTCAACCACTGGCTCGAGGACGGTGCTGCGGCTGGCGCACCCCTAATGCAGCCGCCGCCCGGCTCGCCGTCCTTTGAGAGCGTGCTTCCGCCCGCCTCGAGCGTCGGCTCCGTGGCTCGCGAGGCCACGGGCTCCGCCGGCGCGGCTGCCTCGGTCGCCAGTCATGCTGCCGACGATGCCGACGAAGAGCCGCTCTACGTCAACGCAAAGCAGTACCACCGCATCCTCAAGCGCCGTGCTGCGCGTGCCCGCATCCTGCAGCGGCGCAAGCGCGAGGTCATCGAGGCTGCGGCCGAAGCGCGGCGGCTTGGCCTTGAGGTGGCAAAGGTGAGACGAGCCCGGCTCCTTGTCCTGTCGGCGACGCTGACCAGCATCTCGCCACCGCCCAGCAACCGTACCAGCACGAGTCTCGGCACAAGCACGCCATGCGCCGACCGCGCGGTCCGGGCGGGCGCTTCTTGACGGCCGAGGAGGTCAAGGCTAAGGAGGACGCCGAGCGCGAGGCCAGCGCCGCCACGACGGCCGCTGCGGCACCTCCGGCCGCGCTCGCAGACCCCTCCGAGCCGCTGCTCTGGGACGACGCGCAGCTGCAGCAGCAGCTCGAGGCGCAGCCCGACTTTGGCGGCGATGCCATGGACATGCTGCAGTTCGACGACTGATCCCGACTCCCCAACTACCCTTCTCCTCTCGCGCTCCTTCCTATCCGTGTAGCCTCTGTCTCCATCACATGATCCTGTACACTCCAAGTCACTCGCCACGACCCTCTACACACGAACATCCCAGCGGCTCCTGCGCGCAATCCAGTTCTGCATGCCTACGGCTCGAGTGCGTGGCACGATGCTGCGTCTGAGGTGCGCTGTGCAGCCGTTCAGGTGCACCCTGTCGCTGCTGCTCCGACCCGCGTGCTCTTCAGCAGCTCCGCCCGTGGCGCTGGGCAAGGCGGTGGCCCTTGCAGGCGCTGTGAGGGTGCGGCGAGAGAAGCATCACGTGACGTGGCTGGCTGCTGCGGTGCCGCAGCAAACGCGGCGGCACGGCACGCGAGCAGTGTCGCACGCCGCGCGCCGCCTGCGCCTGCGTCTTCCAGGCGCGCGCGCCGCTGCGGGCCAGGCGCGGCCGCCCAGCGCGCGCCGCCCGCTGCCACCCGTCCCCCACCACCCCCACCGACCACCCAAAATGCCGTTCGTCAAGCAGGTCAAGAGCTCGCCGTACTTCAGCCGCTACCAGGTGCGTATGCGGCGCAGTGTGCGGGCAGGACAGGGCGTAGAGCCGGCCTGGCAGAGGCGCAGCTGCAGATGGAAGGGAAGAGCAGGCGCGGCGAGAGACAAGGGCAGCCACCGCCATGCTGGAAGGGGGTCGGGAGCATGCCGTCCTGCCGTTGCAGCCGTCGCAGACGCTGACTGCGTGCGTCGCCTGTGCAGGTCAAGTACCGTCGCCGCCGCGAGGGCCGCACGGACTACTACGCCCGCAAGCGCCTCGTCGCCCAGGCCAAGAACAAGTACAACGCGCCCAAGTACCGCCTCGTCGTGCGCTTCAGCAACAAGTACGTCTCGGTGCAGATCATCTCGGCCAAGATCCAGGGCGATGTCGTCCTCACGCAGGCGAGCTCCAAGGAGCTGCCGCGCTACGGCGTCAAGCACGGCCTGTCCAACTGGACTGCTGGTGAGTCATGCGGAGAGCGCAGCAGAGATGGGCGGGAGAGAGTGATGTAGGGCTAGATAGGAGAGTGGGAGAATGCTGGCAGAGGCGGCGAGGCACTTGCGATAGGGGAAGGATGCAGCAGGCGGACACAGCAGGTCGGGCGGGCAGTGCTGGATGGCGTGAGATCGATGGGCCCGGACAGGATGAGAGGGGTCAGACATGCCCGCGGCGGGGCAGCAGGCGCAGCACAGGCGCCGTGCGCATGCGTCGGAGGAATGCTCGCCGCCGAGGAGCCGACAAGAGCCGCAGATCGAAGGATGGTCCGCTCACACCCAACGCCGCGCAGCCTACGCCACTGGCCTCCTGTGCGCCCGTCGCGCCCTCACCCTGCTCGGCCTCGCCGACAAGTACGAGGGTGTGACTGAGCCCGACGGAACGATGACCGAGACGGAGGCGCTCGAGGGTGACGACGAGCCGCGCCCGTTCAAGTGCTTCCTCGACGTCGGCCTGAAGCGCACGTCGACGGGTGCCCGTGTCTTCGGTGCCCTCAAGGGCGCCTCGGACGGCGGCCTGTACGTGCCGCATTCGGAGAAGCGCTTCCCCGGCTACGACGCCGAGACGAAGGAGCTTGACGCCGAGGTGCTGAGCGGCTACATCCGCGGCTCGCACGTCGCCGAGTTCATGGAGTCGCTCGAGGAGGAGGACGACGAGCGCTTCAAGAAGCACTTCTCGTCGTACCTCGAGGACGACATTGGCTCGGACGACATCGAGGGCATCTGGGAGGAGGCCTACGAGAAGATCCGCGAGGACCCCGAGTACAAGCCGACGGACAAGTCCAAGGACTGGGCCGCCGAGAGCAAGAAGTACAAGGCCACCAAGCTCACGTACGCCGAGCGCAAGGCCAAGGTGCAGGAGAAGATTGCCGCCTTCAAGGCCGGCAAGTAAGCCTCTGCTGTGCCGTTCCGCCTGCTCGTCACCCTGTATTTCCCCTCTCTCTCCCCTCGCATCTCAGAATCGTCCCCCTCCCACATTCCCCCTTTTGTACGCGGTTCACACCAAAACGCCCATCAGCCCGTGCCTGGCTCAATGCACACCATGGCGGGCGGCGCACCAGCGCCGTCCCGACACAAGACCTCTGTGTGATGCGCGGAGAGGAGCCGAGGATGGGCACACTCGAGGATGGTGCTCCCACGCGCGCCGCATGCACGCGCCGCCGGCAGCCGGGCCGGCGCCGCCTTCGCACGTTCGCACAGCTCCCTCTCACCTCGCCTCGCGCGTGCGGACCCTGCCTTGGCGATGGCTTCGAGCACCTTGAGCAGCTCGATGAGAGCTCACTCCTCGTCACCAACACCCAATTGCGCTGGCTGCGAGCCTCGCGCAAGATGAGTGCGTCGCGGCAGTCCTGGCCAGCGCCCGTCTCCCTCTCCTCGGCGTCGTTCGCGACGCTGCCTCCACATCTGCGGCGCACCAGCTACACGACGCTGAGCCGCAGCACGTCGCCCGACGCCCGCTCCAGCAGTGCCCGCTCGTCGCGCCGCAGCTCGCTCGACGGCCTCGTGTCGCTGTCGCTGGGCGGCGAGCGCAGCGGCGGCCTCTCGCTCGCGGCGCTGCTGCAGTACGCCGCACTGCTGCTCTCCATCCGCTCCTTCCTGCTCGCCTGGCCCGCGCTCAGCCTCACGCACGCCAGCCTGGGGCTACTGAGCGCAAGCAGTGAGTCTGCGCCTGTGTGTGTCGTCTCTGCGCCAGAGCGCTGAGGCCGCCTCGGCAGCGCTCGAGCTTCGTGCCAAGGCCGAGGGCTTCGGACTGCGGCGCTCGGCGCTCGTGGCGTGCGCAGCACTTGCCCTCATCGCCGGCGCTTTGGCGTACGCACCGCAAATGCAGGCGAGCAAACACACTGCAGCACATCTCGGCGCTACACTCTGCCTGGAAGGCGAGGACGGCTGGCAAGTGCGGCTGTATGAATCGCAACAGCTGTCGCTGGGCGGTGAGAAGTACGATCGATGCCGGGCGCCATCAGAAGCCCAGTACGAGCTGCTGCGCTCGACCTTCAGCTCGGCCGACGAGCACGCCGGCAGCTGGACGGCGCAAGCAGATCGCATCTGCGTCGCGGCATCCAAGCTTTCTCACACCGCCGCCTGGAGCGGCACCGTCGTGCTGCGCAGAGGCCGCCCAGAACCGGGCTCAGCGGCCGTGGCGATGTCGGTAGAATGCAATTGATGGCGGTGGTATACAATGTTGGCGGAGGTGCACAGATCACAAGTTGATGAACTGCGGCGAGGCTGTGTCAGACGAGCGAGCAGATGCTGCCGGACAGGACTCACGTCGGCCGCCATCTTGGACGTGACCTCGCTCCTGTTGCCTGCGTCCTCGTCCTTCGTGATGAGGCCAAGCTGCGTGCCGCGCACGTAGCTGTCCCAGAAGTCGCGCCGGCTGCGGCGTCCAAACGAGTTCGACAGCAGATCCTTCTTGAGCTTGCGGATAAAGCTGCGCGGTGGCAGGTCAGCACTGTCGTCGCCGACGCCGAGATGCAAGAACGCACGTGTTCCACTCGTCCGCCTCGTCCTCCTCTGCTGCGGCCGCGCGGCATGCGCGCATGGCATCGCGGGCCTTGGGGTACGAGTTGTTCGACATGCTCGATGCGACTAGGTCCCGAATGCGCTGGGAGGCAGGTAGTGAGCCGATGAGTAAGCTTTCACAGCCGGTCGCACTCACGATGCACATGGCGCGAATGACCTGCGCAGGGTCTGCCGCATCCTTCATCGCCGACGCAAAGTCCTCGAGGGGCGTGCCGCTGCTGATGACCACGCCGCCGGTGTCCAGCGCAGGGCTTGGTGTCGGCGCCTGAGTCGATAACTTGGGCTCCGGCTGCGACACCTTTGGGTCTGGCCGCGAGATCTTGACGTAATCGCCTTCCTCGTCCTCGGTGTCGCTGTTGCCGTCGCTGGGCTTGTATGCCTGCGTGGCGCCTAGCGTGGTCACGGCCGCGGGCTGCGTCTTGGCCGTCTTGGCCGGCCGGCCATCGTGTCCGCCGCCGTCTGAGTCAGAGTCTCCGGGCTCGTCCTGAAGCACGATCGTCTTGTTCTCGACGCCGCCGGAGGCAATTGCCGCATCGCGACGACGCTTGTTCTCCTTGAAGAGCTCTGCTCGCTTGAGCGCAGCGTCTGGCGCTGCGGGTTGGGGCGGGTCAGCGCGTCATACAGGATCCAGAGGCGAGAGCATCACTCACAGTACTCCTGTCCGACGATGGCACGAATAGCTCATGGTCAGCGCTGCCCAGGAAGCGCACTCCGCAGCACTCACCAGCTCGAACAGCTCCCTGCACTGCTCCACCAGCGGCCGGGCGCGCTCCCAGACGATTTCCGGGCGCTTCAGGAACTTGTCGAGCTCCCAGTGCGAGCGCGGCAGCTCCGTGTCCTCTGGGTGGAAGACGCGCCATTCGACGGCCTCCTTGATCCGGTGAATCGCCGGATTGAAGCTGTCCTCGGTGCTGAACCATTCGGCACGCGAGCTTGAAACAGCGCTTCAGCGTAGCAGAGAGGATGGCTGTGCAATGCACTCACCCGTCTACATGCTCGTACGCGTCCGTGAGGTCCATCGCGTCGACGAGCTCGTCCATCGCCTTCTGCTGATCCTTGTTTGGCAGCAGGCGGTGCTCGCGATGCTCGACGCCGTTGCGGTCGACGACGTACTCGAGAGGTGGGAAGACGAGCTGGCGGAAGTCGTCTGCGAAGGGCACCTGATGCTGCTGCGTGAGCCAAGTCACCTTGCCGCCTCGCCACGCCACGCACCTCGCCGTACACCAAGTACTCAAGCTCGATGCCCGCCTCGGGGTCCTTGACAACGGGCACCAGCACGCCGAGCTGGCACAAGAGTCAGCAACGTAGCCACATGCAGCCCGTCGCAGCTGCTCACTTTCGGATCGCCATCCTTCTTCTTGACGTGACGCACGAGCGCAAACTTGCCGAGCTCGTGCATGGCGCGGATCATGCTCGAGAGGCGCAGCTGCGCCTCGGCGTTGTTCACAGGCGCGAGCACGTAGCTCGTCTCGCCCATGATCATCCATCGACGCATCTGCGGAGGCATGTCAGGCACCGAAAGGCCGACGCAAGATGCAGGGCGCTCACCTTGTCGAGATTGTGGAACTGGATGATCTCGAGGCCGGCCTCGGTGTCGTAGATGATGTCTTGAACGTGCTCGACGGGCACGTGGCTCTTGCCGAGCTTCCAGGCCTTGACGAACTCAGTATCCTCGGGCAGCGGCTTGGCGGAGCTGATCTCCTCTGCCTCGAGGCGCTTGATCTCGTCGAGGATAAAGTACTTGCGCGCCATCTCAACGGTGTACGACATGGCGATGCGCGCCCGGTCGGCTGCGGCGATCTGGTCGCCGTCGGCCTCCTCCTCGGGCGCAGCAGTCACCTCGGGCATGCAGCCCTCGACGATGCGCGTCTGCGCGATGTTCGCCAGGTCGCGCTGCCCGCCGGCGCTCTGCTGCGCGATTTTGCTGAGCTTCTTGGCGCCCATGGGCCGCACCAGCGCGGTCGCCTTGTACATGCAAACCTGGATGCCCAGCACCTCGAAGCTGGCGTGCTGCTGCGACGGGTCGCCAAATGTGAGCGTCGTGTTCATTGCCGTTGGCTTCTTGGGCGCGAGCTGCGGCGCCTTGATCTGCTCGATGACATCGGCCGCCGTGGCAATGCCTGAGCCGGGCACCTCCTGAAGGAAGTTGTGCCAGAACACCTCGTTCTTCGCCTGTTGATCGCGGTCAGCTGGAGCTCCTGCTGCGCACACAACGGACGCACCTTGACTGGGTCCTTGTTCTCCTCAACGAAGCCGTACTCCTCATCGTCAAAGTCGATGCCGCTGCGGCACGCAGTCAGCGCCGCCTTGCCCGAGAGCCTTGCCCGACTCACATGATTTTGAGCTGGATGTTCTCCTCGCGCATCTTCTGCTGGATCATGTCGACGTCCTCGCGCTTGAAGGGCGTGAGGCCGTCGGTGACGAGATAGATGGTGCGCGTCCAGGTGTTCTTCGACGACGTGTTGAGGCCGCCGCGGTCCTTGTCGGTGAGCGTGTTGATCGCGGCGATGAGCGCACTCAGAGCTGAGAGTGAAGATCAGCCGCTGCTGCGGTCTGCCTTGCGCTAAGCACTCACGGTCTGCTGGGTGCGGCTTCTCCTCGGGCTTGGACGCGCGCAAGGCACGCACCAGCTCGCACGTCATGAGCGTCGGCTGCGCCGGCTCGAACAGCTCATCGATGCCCTCGAACGCCTCCGCGATCTTGCCGTCGCGCTGCTCCGAGAGCACATTGCGCGTCCCTGTAAGCAAGCTTGTGAGCCAGGAGGCAGCGCGAAGCTCATCAGCTATGCTCACGCGGCGAGCCGTAGGTCATCAGGTGCACCTTGCCTGTCTTGAGGTTGGCGTGCACCTGTGCAGCCGTACGGGTTCAGAGACAGCTGCCGCTCAGGCAGGCGCCCTGCAGCCAGCCAGCGCCGGCAGCTGCACTCACGTATGTCTGCACACGCCGGCCCACAAAGTCGCACGCCCACTCCAGCTTGCTCGTCTGGCGCTTGCGCGTGCGCCAGGTGGCCGCGCCCTTCTCTCCCTCCTCGCCCTGGTTCAGCTCGCCGTCCATGCCATCAGCCGCAGCCTGGCGCAGGGCCGCATCTTCGGCGCCCTCGTCCTCGCCGTCCTTCAGCTCGAGCTCGACGTCTTCCGTGATCTCGCGCGTCTCGCCCATCGAGGGCGAGACGTCGATCAGGAACGTCGTGATCGTCGACTGGTGGAGGGCGTGAGCAGGGCGCTGCGCCGGGCAGCGGAGCTACGCACGGCAAGCGACATGATGCCTGAGCGCCGCTGCGCTTCGGCTGCGAACGGGCTGCGCTGAGTGGAGAGGAGACAGGCGAGCCGGTGCGCAGCAGGTGGTCGGCAGTGAGAGGAGGTGGGAGTGGGAAGGCAAGGCTGCGCCGCCGGCGCGGCGGCTGCACATGCCCGCGCATGCCGCACGGCAGCGACGCGCCAATTAACACGCTTCGCCGCGTCGCGCGCGCACAAGCCACGCGCAGCCAACACCTTCGCCCCTCCGCTCCGCGTCCAGGATCAGCGCCTCTGACAGCCTCGCTCTAGCAGCAAAAGAGAAGGACAGGTGCATGCGTTGCGCGCTGGTATTACGGGAGACACAGAGAGTCACGGGCCGGGCACACGCTCAAGAACGCTTCTTGGCGGCCGCAGCACCGCCGTTCTGCTGCGAGAACACGATGAGCGCCGCGAGACCGACGACGAGGATGGAGAAGACGGCCAGGTTGGCTGCGAGAGGGGGTGTTAGCAGCTGTACAGCCTACACGGTGGAGTGCAGCCAAAAATTGCCCTCTAGGGCGCCAACCTTTGCCCACCGGCCCCGCGCTTTCGCCCACAGACCCCGCTCTTTCGCCCGCAGGCCCAGGGATGTGAGACGCACCGGTCACGATCCTCAGCAGGTCTCCTGTGACGTTGGTCGCCGTGCCGATCAGGCCGGCGAAGAGGTCGTAGACGCCGTGCTGTTGGAGAGGTCAGCTGCCGCAGACAGAGGAGCAAGGTGGCTCGAGCCTGACTTACCAGGAGGCCGAAGATTGTCGAGAAGCATGCGTTCACGACGGCGAGCGCTGCGTTGAACACGCCGCGGACGAGGCCGAAGGCAGCCTCGAAGATGCCCTGGATCAGGTGGGTAATGCCCTGGACGATGCTGGCCATGATGCGTAGATGAGGGAGGGTTAAGCTTGAAGAGGTGGTGGTGAGGAAGCAAGGAAGGGCTGCGGCGGGATGCTACTTGTAGGCCGGACGGCCAGGGCCCGTGCCGAGCCGGAGCAGCGGTGCGGGGGCAGGCGAGCCGGCTCCGCTCGTGTGACACGCAGGCACCGGGGCCACGCGTCATCGACGCTGCAGCCCGCTCCCGCTGGCGCTCTCAAGCGCGCATAAAGCGGCGCTGCGGCACTTGCGCTGCACCCTGCAGCGGCACCTCGCACGTCCGAGCTTGAGAGAGAGAGGCTACCTGTTTTGGATGCGCAGCCGCAGCGAGGCGGCATGCGGAAGCCCCAGGCGGCACAGCCCCGCACTCGCGCTCGCAGCCCGCGCCGCCGCCGTCATCTTCATGCGTGGAAGCCGCGACGTCACTGCGCAGGCGCCTCTCAGGGTCTGCTGCGCGCCACGCCGCGGGCGCGGCCGCCGCCCATGAGCTCGTCCATACCACACGCAACGGAGAGCGCAGCAGCAGGCGCTCAGAGGCGGCAGTGCTGACTGCCTGAGGCTGCGCCTCGCGGATGGATGTCCGAGGCTGGAGCGCAGACGACGGGCGCGCGCGCAAGGCAGCGGCAAGAGCGACAGGCGCGAAGGCACGCAAGCAGCGCAGGCCCGCTTCTGGGCCTCAAGAGCCATCTCGCCCCTTGGCAAGGACCTAGCAGCACTCAAGGCGGCGCTTTCAGGACGCAAGGATAAGAGCACCAGCTGCGACAGGCCTCTCTCTCAGCCGTGCCGCAGTGGCAGGACGTGCGAGGTCAAGCGAGCTGGGCCTCCGTCCGCACTCAAGGGCCGTTGCCGCAGGCGCGAGTGCTCGCCCGCCGTCTCTCAAAGGTTTCACGCCTCGAATTACCGAACTTCTGGGGCACTTTGGGCCCTGAGTACTCTTCTGGGAGCTGTCGCGGCTGCTCTGCGATGAGTTAAAGGGTGACGGTGCTGCGGCCGGGCGGTGCTGCGCTGGCCGGCCCGTTGCCTCGCAACGCCGGCGCGGCGCGTGTTTCCCGATTTGGGCGCGCCCCTCCCGCCGCGCCTGCCCGATTGGCCAGCGATGGACCCCTGGGCGCAGCACTCGGCCGCACGCCTCGCCCTCTTTGCCGCACTTATCGCTGCGGCTCTCTGCTCTCGACCACCACCTCGCACCCGGCACTCAGTCGCAGCACTCCACCGCACCACACACCGCCTCGCACCGCCATGTGCGACCACGAGGCTCGCGCCGCCCCGCCGACCGCCTCGGGCAGCGGCACGGCGCACCTCGACACCTACACGCCGCCCGCCAGCAGCGCCGCTCCGGCCACAGCCAGCGGCAGCAACACCTTCCCCGGCAACGGCACTGTGCCGTGGGTGACGGTGCTCTCGCACGCCAGCCACGTGCCGTCGCCGCTGTCGCAGGGCGAGCTCGCGCCCAGCTACGCGCACTCGCAGTCGCACGGCAGCGGCAGCCCGCCGGCTGGTGACGCAGCGGCGCATGCATCGCCGCAGCACTCGCCCGACGTCTCGGCGCCGCCGCACAGCGCCAGCTTCGCCTCCTGGTCGACGGCCTTCAACGACGAGAGCCAGCGCAGCAACAGCGCCGACGGCGTCGCGCTGCTGAGCGAGACGGCGCTGGCGTCGTCGCAGGGCGCCGCGACGCACTACGGCAGTCACTCGCAGCAGGCGGCCTCGAGGAACGCAAGTCCCGAACGTGCTGCAGCGACGGCCGGCCGTGGCATGCCCATGCCCGCCGCGTCGTACAGTCAGGCGCCGCCCACTGCCTCGATCAGCCCGGCCATGCTCGTCGGCACGCAGTACGCGCCGCTGCTGCTGCAGAACCAGGAGCTCCAGCAGCAGCAGCACATGCAGCGTCAGCAGCAGCAGTACCACCTGCAACAGCGCATGCAGCAGCAGCAGGCGCAGCAGGCACAGCAGCCGCCGCAGGCGCAGCAGAAGCACGCTCAGTACGGCCAGGCGCGCCCGCAGCCTGCGCAGCAGCAGGAGCCCGAGCAGCAGGAGCAGCAGCCGAACGCCTTCCAGCAGCAGAACGCCTCGTTCAACAGCGCAGCGCCCGTCGGTCTCTCGGCGCAGGACGAGGCGCTCTTCAATCAGCTGCGAGAGTCGCCGCTGCTGGGCCACTACCTGCAGCACACGTTTGGCGACCTGCATCGCCGCATCGAGGCCGCTGGCCGGCACAACGACGACGTGCGCCAGCAGCTGCAGACCGAGGAGCGCGCCGTGACGGCGCAGCGCGTCGAGGTCAACTCGCTCGCCGCCGAGCAGCGCCGCTGGGCCGCGGCCGCCGAGGAGTGGTCGCTGCTGCGCACGCACGAGCTCGACGCGTGGGAGCAGCGTCTGGCGCACCGCTCGCTGCTGCTCATGCAGCGCGAGAACGCCGTCGGCCTGCAGCGCCCCAGCGAGGCCGAGCAGGCGCGCGCCGAGGCGCTGGTGACCAACTCCAGCTTCCTTCAGTCCCACTCCAGCTTCCTGCTGCCCACGTCGTCGAGCAGCGCCGCGGCACCTCCGATCCGCCGCTCTTCGGCACTGCAGGAGCGCGGCCAGAACGGCTCGAGCCAGCCGTCGGTCAACTCGCCGGCGCAGCAGGAGCAGGAGGTCGTCGAGCCGCCGCTCAAGAAGAAGCGCGCCTCGCCCAAGCCCAAGACGCGCGGCACGTCGGCCACGGCGGCGAAGCGCGGCAGCGGCCGTGCGCCGCGCATGACCAAGGCGAAGAAGCTCGCGCAGGCCCAGGCCGACGAGGCCGCCGCAGACGCAGCTGCTGCCGCAGCCGTAGCTGCAGCCACCGGCTCGGTCGCCGTACCAGCCGTCGTCGCAGAGAGCTCGGTGGCGGCACGCACCCGCGCCAACGACAGCCCGCTCTTCTCGCCGCGTCCGTCGACGGGCGAGAAGGAGTTTGCCGGCACGGCCTTCGCCGGCGCTGCCCCGCTCGCTCGTAGCGCCGCGACCAGCGCCAGCCCGCCGGCTGCTGCGTCCGCCTCGGCTCCGCGCTGAGCCGCATTGGCCAAGCAGCGTCCATCCGCATCCTCGACCTCGTCACCTGTGTCTCACACCCTCTCTTCTCGCACCGCATCGCCCCCTCCTCTCGCTTTCCTTCAGCCAGCATCGTCCCTCCTCTCGCTGTCCTTCAGCCAGCATCGTCCCTCCTCTCGCTGTCCTTCAGCCTGCTCCGCTCAGTCACCTCGCTTGTACAGTACCTACGCATGTACCCTCACGCGGGCCCAGATGCCCAGCATGACGCAGCGCTTGTAACGATCCTTTCACGTCCGTGTGCTTTCTGTCCGAGTTGATCGCGCAGCTGGCTGCGACATGCGCGCGAGTGCAAATCTCGCTCGTGGCGGTTCGCTGCGGCTGCTCTTCCCATCGTTAGACCGCCTTCTGACTCACCTCGCGCGGTGCACCAGCCCGCAGGCATCAGCCACGCCCACTGCGCTCGTCTGATGCGTGACTGATCTATTCTCCCCTCGCCGCTCCCGTCTTTCCGCCCTCTCATGCGCTCCTCCGTGCCTCCTTGAGCCGCCTTGCCTCTGCCTCCTTCTGCATGACGCGCCCCACGAAGAGGCCGATGCCGCCGAGGCCGGCGACGAGCAGCAGTGCAGGACCACGCACGGCCCAGACGCGCGCCGGAAAGTAGCTGTGCACGCCCGAGTCGGCGGGGAAGAAGGGCTGCAGTGGAGGCATGAGCCATCGCCGAGCGTGGGCCGGGGCAGGTGAGAGGAGAAGAGCAAGACACGCACCAGGACGAGCGCCCAGACGGAGTAGTAGGAAAAGACGCCGGCGGCAATGAGGAGCAGTGCGCCGCCGACGATGCGGTCCGAGAGCGCCTGCACGGTAGATGAGCGGAGTGCAGGCTACGCGCGGAGAGGGCACGCACCATGCTGAGCCGCGAAGACGAGATGCGATGCGAGTGACGCTACTGTGAGCGGCCGGCGATGAGGCGTGCAGCAGTGGCCGAGGCAGGAGACGGGGCGCACGGACGGTGGAGGAGGGAGAGCGGAGCGAGACCAACAGCGAGCTCGGCCAAGAGCGGCCACCTGCACCGCATCGGCCGGCGGCGCGTCACGTGCGCCCGATTTAGGCGCCGCGCGTTCGCTGCACCGCTGCAGGCGCGGCCAGCCCCTGGCGGCGGCGCGGCAGAGCTGCAGCAGCGCCACACCGCTGTCGCGCCCGCGCGCGGCGGCGCGTGTGTCGATGGACCCTCAGCCTCGAGCCTGCGTCCGCACCGCCATCTCCCCCTCGCTCCGCCGCTCACACTCGTGTCTTGATCTGCTCGCCCGCCACTCTCCTTCATTGTCCGCCCTCTTCGCGCCTTTCCGTCTCGCCGCGTCTGACCCGTCTGCCGCGCCGCACAGCGCATCCCTCGCGCGTCTGCTGCCCCAGCATCGAGCCCGCACACACACCGAGCGCGCGAGCCGGCCAGCGCGCCCGCCAGCCCCGCCATGGGCTTCTCCTTTCTCTCCTACGACGGCATCTGCGACGGCGTGGCGCTCGTCGTGTGCCCGCTGCTCGGCGACTCGGGCCTCGGCATCGAGCCCAAATGCTACTCGCGCAACGTCGAGATCAACAGCACCCTCATCTTCCAGCCCGGTGAGTCGGCGCCGCGGAGGTGCCTGTGCAGGAGCGCCACGCGCGTAAGGAGGGACCTGCACAGTGGTGGTGTGGATGGTGCAGGCCCTCGAGCCTGGTCAAAGCGCACAGCTAGATAGCGCAGACGCGCGGTCAGGTCCGTACGTGGCACGAAGCGGAACGCGGTGGCTATTGACCGCATCGCCGGGCGCTGCGGCTGCGACGCATGCAGTAGCGCTGTCTGAGTGCGCGGCAGGCATGCCTCGGTCGCAAAGCGCGGGCCACAGGGCCGCGAATGTTTGAGGTGCGGCCGACTCCCCGCGCGCGGGCCGCGCTCTAGCCGGCTTTCTGTGCGGTTCAGAGCTTCCGCCATTGTCGAGGACAGACCACGCTGCTCTCGATTCTGTGCTCGTCTCGACGCGCGATGCTAGTAGTTCGTGTGCGATCCGGCAGTGTAATGCTCCGTCGGCGTGACTCCTTCACTCTGGCGGCCTGCACGCCTACGTCGAAGGCACGAATCGAGATGCGCGGCGCACCGGTCGCCTGGCGGTGCTGGCGCTCGATGGCCATCGTCCGCCTTCGTGTCTACACCCCGCACGCCGAGGCTGGAACTTGCACTGACCAGAGCGTCGCTCGCACAGCCACATGTTTCATCCACATTGCCGCGCTCGTCATGACGGCGATCATGGTGTACCACATTCGCAGCAAGTACACAGCTGTCGGTGAGTGCTGCTGCGAGGCGGAACGTGCGGCACGACTGCAATCGCGGCGAGAGAGCCGGCGCGAGGAGCAGTCGAGGACCGCCGACAGGCAGAGGCGCTGCTCCACACTTCGCGCAGCCTGCTGACTGCGTGCACGTCAGGGCGCAAGGAGATCGTACTCTTCTTCTACCTGTACGCCGTCTCTGAGATGCTCGCCATCTTCCTCGACTCGGCCATCATCCCCACCTATTCGCCCGTCTACTCGGTCTTCACGGCCATCTACGTCGGGCTGGGCACGAGCATCTTCTGGTGCCTGCTCATCAACGGCTTCGTCGGCTTCCAGTTCGCCGAGGACGGCACGCCCAAGAGTCTTTGGGTGCGTGGTCCACATGCAGCAGTGCCCCAGCGCCCGGCGACTGACATTGCGGCTTGCAGTTCCTGCGGATATCCTCGTTTGTGCTCTTTGCGCTTGGCTTCCTCGTCGCCTTTGCCACGTTCAAGGGCGCCGCGGGCATGTCGCCCACGAAGACGCAGGGCCTGTGGATCGTGCAGCTGCTCTTCCCCGCGGTGTGCGTCGTCATCTACGTCGTGTCGCAGGTCGTGCTCGTGCTGCGCACGCTCGACGACCGCTGGCCGCTCGGCGACATCACGTTTGGCGTGCTCGCCTTTGTCGCCGCATGCGTGCTCATGTTCGGCTTCTCGACGCAAATCTGCGTTGCCGTCAAGCACTACATCGACGGCACCTTCTTTGGCGTGCTCTGCCTGCTCTTCTCCGTCATGATGATCTACAAGTGTGAGTCGTCGCAGCTCTGAGCGAGCTGCGCGCCTTGCCGCTGACGCTTCCTCGGCAGACTGGGACTCGATCACCAAGGAGGACCTCGAGTTCTCTGTTGGCTCCAAGGCGGCCGTGTGGGACGTCAAGGACCCTCTGCTGGGTCCGGGCGATGTCGACGTCATGGGCCCCGGCTCCATCTCGACGCACGAGAGTGCCTTTGCCGCACCCCCGCCGCTCGGTGGCGGCGGGCGCATGGGCAGCCCCGGCGCGCCCTCGGGGCGGTTGGCGCCCGGCAAGTCGGGCATGGGATACCCGCCGCAACCGAGCAGCTACTAGGCGGCCCCTGCGAGCCCCTCACTCGGCTTTGCGAGCGTCCGCTTCCAGCGTCTGGGACGCCTACGCACGACATCCACATCTCTTCTGCATCCTTCTACGTCCTCGACCCGCCCTCGTCCCGGCTCCGCAGCTAATGTTCTCCCCTTCACATCCCTGTCCATGCGTGCTTCGACTCTGCACCCACATCCGCCTCGATGTCTGACTATCATGAGCTGACCTGAACACACGCTTTGATCTACACCCGTCGCCCGACGGACGGAACATGGGGCTGAGCTGATGGATTCGGATGCCTAGACGGCGTGCAAGAGGGGCGCGAGGCGCTGAGAGAGGTATGAGTGTGCGTCATCGCGGCAGAGTACAGATGGTGGGGTGAGGGTGACATCGGCAAGCTTGTGTGTAGCGTCTGAGCGTGTGAGGTCGTGTGTGTGCGTGGGTGTTGCGTCGTCTGTCATTAGGGTCAGGGCTCGTAAGGGCATCAGGAACGGGAGCAGGGGTGCGCGCAGGCATCGTTTATGGCCAGCGCGTTCTCGAGTCGGCAGTGAGTCGTGTCCGTGTCGTAGCGAAAGATTAGGTGGTCTGAGGCGGAGCGGGCTTGCGTGCGGTGCAGTCGACGGGCGGACCGGCGCGGCCGTGCGCCTCGGCCACGACGGCAGCGTCGAGACCGAAGAGGTCCTTCATGAGGCGCTCGAAGGCGTGCCAGCGCTCGGCGTACTTGGGGTCACAGAGGCGCTCCTGCTCTTCGTGTGCATCGGGCGACGGCGATGCGGCGTCGACGAGGCGGAAGACATCGCGCCCGAGGCGCTGCAGCAGCTCCTCGTCCGAGAGGTCGGCGCGCGGCTGGGACGCCACGAGACGGTGCAGCGCCGTGAGAGCGCCGTCGCCAAGTGTGGTCGAGATGTGCGCCAGCACACTGGACGCCTCGGGCGCAGCGAGCAGTGCCGCCAGTGCCGAACGTCGGTCTTGAGAGGGAGGAATGGCGAAGAGCAGCGTGGAGCGACCGGGCGGAGGAGAAGGCAGACGGCGATTGCGCAGCATCGTCGGCTCTCTACGCACGCGCGGGAGCGCGACAGAAGGAATCGCACGGCTTGCTCCGCTGCCTGCGCCGCTGTTCCACGACGAAGGCCAGCTCTCCGCGATGCTGGGACTGACGACGGGAGTGGCGAAGGCCTTGCGCTCTTGCACCGGCGAGACGCACGCCGAGGACGCCGGAGTCGTGCGTCCACTCGGCGAGGGCGAGAACGGCGTGAGAGGAGCAAAGCCTCCATCAGACATGTCTGAGAAGTGCCGAGACGAGGCGGCGGCGAAGCTGCGCTCCATGGCGTGGCTGGAGAGCGGCGCTGCGTCTTCGTCTTGCTGCGTGCGTGCACGCGAGTCGTACTCGGAGGCGTACAGCTCGCTCTCGCCATCGTCATCGAAGTCGTCGTCGTCTTCCGAGGCAATCGCTTGAGAGCCAGTGCTGAATGCGACGCTCTCGATGCTCGCGCTGCTCGACGCACGCGCATGGCGTCTGCGGCGCGCTTGATACGCACGCTCGTACTCGCGAGAGAAGGCCGCAAAGCCGCCAGGACGGCGGAAGACGCGCGGTGAAGTGATCGACGTAGCAGACGTCGGCGGCATCGGACTTGTGCTGGCCGAGAGAGAGGCACTTTGCGGAGCGCTCGCGGTCGGCGACTTGATCTCGGCCTCGAGCTTGGGCTGGGCACGACGGAGCGACAGGCCGCCTCCGATGGCGAGACTGACGCCGCCAATGCGAGTCGGTGTCTGAGTAGCAAGATCATCAGCGCGCTGCGACAACAGGGAGGACGGCGAGTCGCGACTGACCTGACGAGGCTGCGTCACCAGCGGCTCTAGGTTCGTAGCGGGAGGCATGGGCTGCTCTTGAGCCTGACTCTGCAGATGCTGCGGCTTGTCGACCGGCGCAGACGCCTCAAGCGCAGCGGCGCTGCTGTGGCGACGCTGCATGGCAGTTGCGGCATCCTGCTTGGCCGCCTCGACGACTGCAGCCTGCTCCTCGTCTTGGTGAAGTTTGGCTTGGGTCGAAGCTCCAGCAGCTGGCGAGGGCGTCCTCGAGCTGACCGCGCTACGACTTGACGGCGTGCAGCTGCGCATCTCGAGGCCGAGGCCAGCGCGAAAGGCTGCAAGCGAAGCTTTACCTGCTGCGGCGCCCGCGCTCGGGTGACGCGTGCGGCCGTCGGGCAGGAGACCCAGCCATGCGGGCTTCTCGGCGCCCGTAGCTTCGAGCTGGGCGATGCGCTCCAGCAGCGGCACACCATCGGCATCGGCGCGTGAGGCGAACTCGGAAGCGCTACGGTCGGCACGCGGCGATCCGGGCGGGAGAGTGGCGAGCGGCGCGGCGGTGAGGGCACGCGCAGGAGGATTGAGCTCGCCGAACGAACGAGCGAAGGATAGACGACGACGCTGCGAAGGCGCCACGCCGACGCCGCGAGCGACGGGCACTCCGTACGCGGGCGCCAGTGATTGAGAGCGCGGACGCGCCGTAGAGTTGACTGACCTGCGTGCGGAAGCTCGCATGTCTTCTGCGCCGGGAGCGAGCTGAGGCGAGACAAGCGAGCTGAGACGGCGCACTCGCTTGAACTTTGCGCCGCGCAACTGCTCGACCTGCTCCTCCGACGGCGGCAGCCCACCACGCGTCTCGACGTCGCCGGCGACGAAGCGGACTCCGACGACGGGCGGTGCCGAGCTGAGAGCCGCCTTGATGTCCGCCGGTGAGCCGTCGAGACTGAGGCTTTGACGGCGCGAGCGCGGTGCCGGAAGGGATGAGAGAGTGTGGCCGCCGGGCGTTGTGGGCGGTGACGTGCGCATGAGCGAGGTGGCCGGCGGCTCTTCGTCGATGTCGGGCAGCGAGCCGGAGCATTGAAGGTGCGACTGGCTGGGCGAGCGGCTGTGCGCTGGCATGTGCTTGACGTCTGGTGCGCGGCTCAGCATGGCGGCGGGAGAAAGCGTGGCTTGAGGAGCGTGCCACTGGCGAGGCAAGGTGTGCAGCGCCTCGACGTCGAGCGGCTCGTCGTGGATGTCGGCGTGTGCATCCGATGTGTTCTGCACGACTGGCGAGTGCGAGACCTCGGCAATGTCATCGCCGTCGGACGAGACATCCTCGCCGTCGCTCGTGGCCCAGCTGTCGTAGCGCGCATGCGAAGCCGAGCGGGTCTCGGCTGCGCTCAGACTCGAGACGAGCAGGCTGCCGTCGGCGCCGAGCGCCGCAAAGAGGCGGTCGCACTCGCGTGCGCGGCGCGTGCCGAGCACGGAGCGGATCTTGCGCAGCCAGGCGCGGTCGGTGAAGCGGCCGCGCGGCTCGGCGAGGAGCGGCTCGAGGCGGGCCCACTCGGGCTGCGCGGCCTGCAGCGCAGCAAGCAGCGCCTTGTTGGCGGGATGCTGCAGCAGCTGGCGCACCTCGGCCGGCCGGTCGAGGAAGGGCAGCAGCACCGAGTCGCCGACGGGCGTGATGGCGAGGGCGCTGCCCGACGCGGCGGCGTCGTCCGCGAGCGGCAGCAGCGTGAGCGAGCAGCGGCGCGGACGCGCACCGCCGGCCGTGCGCGGACAGGCGGGCGGAGCGGCGCTGACGAGCGGCGACATGGGCAGCGTGTATGCGCGCGGCTGCGGCGAGAGGGCCATGGCGGGCGGGCGTGTGCGTGTGCGTGTGCGCAGGTGATGGATGGGTGCGAGAGCGGGGGGCCTCGCAGTGCGCAGCCGGTGCCGCCTCGCTTTGTACTCGAGCGCCGGCCAGAGGGTCGAAGTGACGTCTCGAGCATCCAAGGGCAACCCGCGGCCAAGGGCACGCCGGCACGGCGCACGCAGCGCTGCCATGGGGCCCGTCCTCACGGCCCGCTAGCGCTCGGCACCGCCCCCAAGGGCGCGCGCAGGCGGCGCCGGCGTAGCGCGTGTGGCGCACCACAAGGCGCGCCTGCATCCTGCGCATGACGGCCGCGGCACGCGCTGCCGCCGAAATCAAGAGCGTCGCCCCGCACTCTGACTCTGCGTCGCCAAATGCCGTCGAGCTCGGCCGTCCATCCAGCATACAGGCCGCTCATTCAGAGCTCGACATGCTCTGCAGATGCTGGCTACCAGAGGCTTCCACGCAGCTGGCGCTGTCGCGAAGGTCGTCGCTGGCGCGGTCAGGGAGGGTGCCCTTGGCGCGCCGATCTCGACGGCCACGATCGGCTGCGCCAGAGCAAGTCTCGTCCCGCCGTCGCGCCTCGCTCGTCGTTTCTTCGCGCTTCTTCGTGTTCGCTGCATGGCGCTCGCTCGTCTCTTCCTCAGCGGCCGCGCTCCTCGCCCCGGCTTCGACCCTGCGCAGTCGAGGCTGTCAACGTGCTGAAAGGCTGGCTCGCGGCTCCGGCACGTCGAGAGCCGCGGCGAGAGCCCTCTTCTTGATTCATCCGCTAGCGCGCGCACGGCTGGCCGGCCCGGCTGCCGCGTGAAGGTGGAGGGGACAGGCGTGCGAGCAGCGAGAAGGCTCAGCGACCAATGCCCGACCCTCCAGAGTCACTTTGCCGCCCTCGTCCCCTTGCGATCGCCACTGTGCCGGCCTCTCGATAGATTTGACCCTGACGAGGAGCTGAGCCGCTGTGGGACTGCGTGAGCGAGCGGAGGGAGAGTCTCGCGAAGTGAGGTCTGCAAGAAGAAGCAGCAGCTCAGCGTCACCCGGCCGCAGCCGCACCCAACTCAGCGGCGTGCACCAGCGCAGCGTAGACCTCGGCTCCGCACCATGCCGCTTGAGGCGCCGTTGCCTCGGCACACAACAGCCGCTCAGCGTTGCAGGCCGCAGGCCGACCGCAGCGTGTCATGCTGATGCTGCGTCTCTTGCTGCCGTCTGCACCACGGCTCGGCACGCGGCATGAACGCTTGACCCCGCATCTGTCCTGCGCTCTCGGCTCGCTCGAGATTCTAATTTGCGCTCCAGAGCGCAGCACACAGCCTCAGCATGGCGCAGCGGCCCGTTCCCACGCAGCGCGGCGCTCGGGCCTACACTTGGCTCATGCATGACGGGCGCAAGAAGCTGGCAACTCCGCCAGGCACCCTCACAGCGCTTCTGTGCAGCATCGGCATCGGCGACAAGAGAGAACGCATCCTGAGATGACCGAGCGCCCATGGCATGGCTTGCCGCCAGCGCGTAGCGACGTCCAGCGTGCGATGGCCGCATCGCCAGGGCCGGGTGAACTGCCTCCCTATGCGCTGCCCGATCTCAGGTAGCTGCGCCACGGGTGCCAGCTCGCAGGCGCCGTCTGCACACAGCAGAGCTCGGTCTCAGCGACGCACAGACCACGCAAAGGCGATGTCACACATCAACGCTCGACGCGGCAATAGATGGACAATTCACGCCTCGTAGCTCGGCGGCCCGAGCGGCGCAGCAGCGGCAGGGTACGCAGGCGGGCGCTGCTGGGCATGCGCATGGCCCTGCTCGCCTGCGCTCGCGGGCGGCGAGAGCAGCAGCGGAGGAGGCGCTGGGAAGGGCGGGGCCGCATAGCCTGGCGGCGGCTCGGCGTCTTCGCGGGCATGCTGCTGCGCGTGCTCTGGCTGATGCGGCAGCGAAGCGCCAGCATTCGTGGATGATGAAGCAAGCGACGTCTCGACGATGCTGCTGCGCGGCACTACGCGCGACGAGAGCCGTGCGCCGATGGCAGCGTGTGGGGTGTTGAGAGATGGAGGCAGCAAACGCGGAGTCATCGTGTACCTCGCCACCTCGTCGCGCGGCGCATAGCCGCTCAAGTCGGCGTCCAGCGGCGGATGAGAGGCATCGTTGATGGTGTAGCTCGCCTCCGTCTGAGCGCCATCGTGAGCATCGCCGTGCGCTGGAGGCGCAAGTTGCAGTTGCAGGTCATGTCGACTCTCCAACAGCGAGGGTGGCGCGTCATCCTCAGCGTCCTGTGCACCGCCACGTGCGTCGGCAAAGACATGCGGCGGCTGCTCGTCGTGCGAGAAGAGAGGCAGCGCACTGCCAGGCGAGGAAGGCGAGGCGGTGTCCGAGTTGGCCGAGTCGTAGAGCAGCATGGAGACGTCGAGCGTCTCATCGCCGAGATGCCCATCCGAATGCGCACGCGGGGCATTGAGCGACGAGCCGCCCGCTGCTTCGTCCCGATGACGTCGAGCATGCAACGAGCGCCCGACGTCCTCGTACCCGTCGTACTCTTGGTCCGAGCCGAACTCTTCGAACGAGGCGCCGCTCGAGCCACTGCCTCCTGCTCTGGACGCCCCGGCTTCCTCGTCTCTGCGCAGTCGCTCTTTCTCGCTCCGTCTTTCGGAGACCATGTCCTCATCAGCGTCCTCCTCTTCGCCCTCGTGAAGCCCAGCAGCTCCCGGCAGGACATCGACAGTCTTCTCGACCAGCACATCGCGGTCCTCGCCCTGTCCGCCGCGCATGACGACGCGCACGCGCACGACAAAGTCGACGGTATGCAGCAGCGTCTCCTGGCTGACGCTCTCGCAGCCTCCGCCGCCCACACGAGCAGCAACGGGCCCGCCTCGTGCTGCGTCGTGATCTGGATGTGGGTAAGGCATGTTGCTAATGTCGAAGGGCGGATGCAGCGCCAGCCGCAGAAGGATAGGATGCCGCGAGTGGAAGCGACAGAGCTTTCCCGAGTGTGCCAGGAGCGACTCGAAGCGTCCGCTGCTCTCGCCGCTTGTGCCTGCCGACGAGGAGCCGGCGCCGAGCTCTTGCGTCTCCGTATAGCGCGGAGCCTCCTCTCGCGCTTTGCCGTCCGCCGCGCTGGCTGTCGCCACTGTAGCAGAGCTGTGCCCGTCGCGGACAGTGATGACGCGCAGCAAGCTGGCTTCGACCGCCTTGAGGCGCAGGCCCTTCTCTGCCACGAGTGTCTGCTGCGGCGGCGGGATGCGCACGCGCACCTCCATCGGCTCTGCGCGGCGGAAGAGGGTGCGCCGCAGCTGGATGGCCAGCGGTGTCGGCGAGGACACGGCCCACACATGCGGCTCCACAGCGCCGCGGCGCGGGCTGCTGCTGCTCGAGAGCGCCGCCAGCGGGCCGGGCCGCGTGTAGCGTGTCAGATGCACCGGCACGCTGCAGCGCACGTCGCCTGCCGAGGCAGAGTGCAGCGTGGCGCTGAGCGCATACGAGATGCCGCTCGAGGGCAGGTGGATGCAGTGCGGCAGATCAGCGGTGAGCGCAAAGGAGAAGGGCAACGTCGACGGCAGCTGCGCCGAGGCGAGCTGTGCAGAGCTCGAGGGACTGCCGCTGCCTGCGCTGTGCCAGAGCGTCTGGGTGGAGGTGAAGAGCGTGACGCTCTGGCTGGCCGTCGACTCGAGGGCGGTAAAGGTGATGGTGCTGCAGCGCGCGCGCCATGTCAGCGGCAAGGCCCAGGCGCATGGCCTGCCTGACGATCTGTGGCTCACCAGCGCTGCACATTCTGCACGACGTTCTGCGCATCGAGCTTGACGAGCACGTCGCCCTTGACCCACGCCTCGAAGCCGTCGAGGCCCAGGTAGCCGGCCTGGAAGCTGGTGGCGTCGGCGCGCGGCACAATGTCGAAGAAGCCGGCTGCGTCGGGAGCAGCGGCAGCAGCAGGCGCTGCAGCCGGCGCAGCAGAGCCGGCGTCGTGCGCGGGCGGCGCTGCGAGCGATGCCGAGGGCCCGGCGTGCGGGTAATAGCCCGGCGGCGCGGGATCCGCATCAGCGTCGGGCGGCGGCGGCGGCGAGGCGCCTCGCATAGCGACGGCGAGACAGAGTGAGCGGGGGAGAGGTGGTGGTGAGCTGGAGGAGTGCGCAGTCGGTGGGGCCAGCCTCTCACACCTCCACCGCGGACGCCTGCACCGTCGCACCGCGCATGCGCAGCCACATCTCGGCGCAGGCGCGGCGGCGCAGAATCTCACGAGTTGGGTGCCCGGCGCGCCTTGTGCGGAGTCGCGCCACAGCCGTGGCCCTGTCCAGCCAGACGGCCGACCGGCCACACGTGACGCGCGCGGCGGTCTCACGGCAGCCGCCTCACCCTTCGCATCTGCCTCTCTCTGCTCCACTCCCGCCTCCTCCTCCGCCCGGCGCTCTCCACCTCGGCGCTGCACAGCATGGCAGCACGCTCCTCGGCCGCATTCGCAGCCGTCGCCTCGGCGTCGGCGTCTGCCAGCGTCGCGCGCTCCTCGGCTCACGTCGCGCGGCAGGCCGCTGCCGGCTCCCTCGCGACGCAGCACGGGCGCGTGGCTATGCGCTCGTGAGTGGACAGAGCTGCACACCGCCGTGGACAGAGGCTTGCGGCCGGGCCACGGCGCTGCGGCGTCTGCGACGTTGTGGTCTGAGCGCTAGCGCCGCAGTGTCCCCGGCTTGGGCCGCACCTCTGGCGCCCCATGTCGCGGTCTGCTGACCCTGCCCTCGATCGCAGCTTCTCTTCGTCTGCGCGCGCACCTGGCATGATGGACGGCCTCTTCTCGCGCATGCGCACCATTCGTGACGGCGCCTCGCGCCTCGCCACGGGCAACCGGCTGGAGCGCGAGCGTGCGTCGCGGCAGCGCGGCCCGACGGAGCCTGCCACGCGCGCGCCGGCCGCGGAGGTGGACATGGGTGTCGACTCGGAGGGCAATCCGCTGGCCGACGTCAGCGCTGAGCCCAGCGATCTGGCGTTCGAAGCACGGCGGGCTGCGCAGCGCAAGAAGGCCGTGCTGCGCACGCAGCGGAAACGGTGGAGCGTGCCGCGCATGGCCGTGCCGCCGGGCGGAGGCGAGGCCGTGGCAGTGTACGACGAGCACAAGTATTCCACGGCGGCGTTCCGCATCTCGCCGCGCAAGCTCAAGATGCTCGCCGACCAGATCGGCGGCAAGCCCATCGACCATGCCATCCTGCAGATGCAGTTCAGCGGCAAGAAGGCCAGCAAGCGCATCAAGAGCACCCTGGCGCTGGCGCGAGAGCATGCCGTGCAGAAGGGCCTGCGTCCCAATCACCTCGTCGTAGCCGAGGCATGGGTGGGCAAGGGCCGCAGGTACAAGACGTAAGTGTGCTGCCCGTGTCTGTGTGTTCTGTTCCTGCGATGGACCACTGACGCCGCGCGTCGAACACAGCATCGAGCCAAAGGGCCGCGGCAAGACGGGCATCCGCAAGCACCCGACGGCGCGGCTGAGCATCGTGCTGCGCGAGGGCAAGACGTGGGAGGCAAAGGAGCGCAAGGCGCTCGACCTTGCGCGCCGGCGCGTGCGCAGCATCGGCACGGCCGGCGTCGTGCGCGTGGCGCGCCCCGTGGTCAATGCGTGGAAGCGGCCCGGCTGGAACTGGTAGCCTCGTGCAAATGGCAGACACTGCAAGCTGCAGGCATGACCAGGGGCAGAAAGGTGTGGTATTGCGAGGCCAGTGCTGGCGCCGTCGCAAGTGTGGCACGAGGAGGGATTGCTCTACGCTCTAGTCCGAGATGTCGCCGTTCGAGTCTCCGGCCTGCAAAGAGCGCGCCTCAGCATGGCGGCGCAGCAGAGCCCAAGGCAAGCAATTACTCACCACCTCGTGCAGCTCGATGAGTAGCTCGTTGAACTTCTGGCGCGACACGTCCTTGGCCAGGTGCGTCGTGCCCGGACGCAGCGACGCGCCGGGGAAGCCGCCGCTGGTGGCGGCAGTGAGCGCCGGCGCAGCCGAGGTGGGCGTCGTGGGCGCGCCGCCACTGCTGCTGCCGCCGCTGTTGTCGAGGCCGAGCATCAGCGTCAGTGCCGAGCGGTACTCGTCGAACGTGGCCTTCTTGGCCGCTGGCGTGGTGCGGATCGTCGAGAGCATCGCCTGCGCAGAAGGGTGACGTCGTCAGTGCGTGCGTCAGATGAGCATGTCGACGGACGCACGCCGGGCTCCTTCGTGAGCAGCTCCCACAGACGGCGGCTGCGGTCGAAGTTGTTCCAGCGCTCCGTGTCTGCGCCAATCGCCTCGCGGTTCGCCTCGAGCTTCGTGCGGCTCTGCTCGAGCGACGTGAGTGCGCTCGTGTCGGCGATGACAATGTTGCGCAGGTTCTGCTGCAGCGCCAAGATGTTGCGGATCATCTTCGTCACGCCCTGCGCGTTGATCGCGCGCACGCGGCGCACAGCGGCGCACAGCATCGTGTCCATCAGCGAGACGAGGCCGGAGAAGAGGAACCTGTGGTGCAACAGTGTCAGGGCTGCGTGCATGCGCGGAGAATGCGGCGCACTCACCGGTGCTGCTCGGGCGAGACGCTGTCCGCAAACGTGTCGTCGAGCGACGCCAGCTCGGCATTGAGGTCCACGACGTGCGGGTCAGGCTCGAGCACCGCCTCCTCGACGAGGTAGTTGCCCTCGGTGATGGCTAAGTCGAGGTGATGGATCGTGCGCGCCCGCAGCTCGAGCCGCAGCGTCATCAGGATCGTGTTGGCCAGGTGGCCAAAGGTGCGTGGCAGTGCGGCGAAGCGCCTGATCGCAAGCAGATGCATGAGCGGAAGCTGAGGACCGAACAGAGAGGACGACTCACATGGCCATGTCGGCGCCGAGGGGCAGCGGCAGACTGCGGTCCTCCGCCTCTTCCTTGCTGCTCCTCTGTGGGGCCAGCGAGCCGATGATGGAGAGGCGCTGCATCGAGAGAGGAGCATGCATGAGCACTGCAGCCTGCTGGCCGATGTAGCAGAGACTCACCACAGTCGGGGCAGGCGCGACGCCAATCGCCTTCTCGGTAGCGCGCAGCCGCGAGACGTGCACCAAGAACCAGCGCTGCAGAAGCCTGTCAGCTCTCTGTCTGTCACACTGAGCCGGCCACAACCTACCATGCTGTGCTGCAGATTGCCAAGCGCCATGAGGCGCTTGCGCGAAGTGATCATGTCTGCCGCCCGCACCGAGCCGCCCGTCTGGCCCTGCTGAGCGACTCGGTTGCGCGCTGCGTATGCCAGCTCGAAGCGGTTCTCCTGCGCGTGCAGCGTGCGCTTGGCTTCCGACGGCGTTGTGGCAGTCAGGAGCTGCGAGAGCACGGCGCTCAACTCGGGCCGCTGCGCCCACGTTGCGGACAGCATGTGGGGTGGCCCGTCGTGCGGCGCCGGATCGCCATGCGCGTCCAGAGGCACGTCGGCGGCGATCAGATCTGCTCCCGGCTGTCAGCAGCAATCGTCGACACACGACGGACACAACGCTCACCCTGGAAGCGCTCCTGACAGCGCTGGTAGTACTGCACGATCGTCTGGATGATCAAGTGCGAGTACTGCTCGTCGACGCGTTAGCAGCTGCTTCGTGCGCGACGGCTGCACGAGACTCACGCTTTCGCGATGGAAGGGCGTGGTGCGCAGCATCGAGTATAGACTGTCGATGAGCACGATCACGTTTGCGGCGGACTTGACGATCGGGCGCTGCGAGAGAGAGCGCGAGGCAGGATCCTCCTGGAACGCATCGGGGCCTGGGGAGCACAGCAGGTTAGCCTCGTAAATCCACACGCAGCAGATCATCACTCACCTCCAACGGCACTCTGGAAGAGCGACTGCACCTTCTCGTCCAGCTGCGGCAGGAACACGTCCTGCACAAACTCATCAAGGAAGGCGCTGAAGCCCTTGCCCGCCTCGCCTCCAGCAGCGCCGCCAGGAATGACAAACTGCGCCCTTTCGACGAAGGCCAGCGCCGGCTGAAAGAGGACGCTGACGTTGAAGGCATCCGGCTTGACGAGCAGGCGGTAGCCGCCTCCGGCAGCGTGCTCGGCGGTGCGCGAGGCAGAGACGATGACCTGCTGCTGCTGGTACTGCTGCTGCGCCGAGATGCTGCTGCCAGCTGGATCGAGCGCGCTAACCAGCCCTGGCACTGAGGCGCGCAGAGCAGCGGTGAGCGCCTCTTCGTGCCGACGCAGCGGTGCTGCATCGCGCCGGGCGACGGCGACACCACCGGTGCCGCGCCCGGCATTAGGCTCGGCGAGGCGGAAGAGCTTCTTGGAGCGATCGCGTCCGGACTGGCCCGAGCGCAGCACCTCGTTGACCGAGACGACAGCGTTCCGTCGGGCCGACGCGCTCTGACTGTCATCTGTCAGATGGTCGTGCAGCAACGTGCGTACCTCGTTCTGGATCGGCCGCCAAACTGCGACAAGGCTCGAGGGCGACGTCTTACGCAGCGTCTTGGCATCCTTGCTGTCGGCGCGGCTGGCGATCTTACTCGCGACTTCGTGCACTACACGATGTCCCTGCAGGACAGCGTCGAGCTTGGAGAACAGCGTCCAGAAGAGGTCGCGCATCGTCTCGCTATCGCGCACGACTGACGAGCTCTCGATCTCGGACAGACGGAGCACTGTGCTGTGCGGCCGCCCGTTTGATGACATCGTGCCGCTGAATGCACCGCCGACGCTCGACCGGAACGACGAGCGCGTGCTCTCCGCAAAGCTGCGCGCCAGCGCTGAGGACGAGGCGAGCAAGACCGACTCGGGCTGCACCGCTGCGCCTGTAGACGTGCCGCGCAAGGGCCCGTTCCTGTATCATGCAGCGTCAGCCGCGCCCTGCGCGCATGTCGGCGCGGCACTCACCTTGCATCGACCTCCTCGATCGTCGCATCGACAAGCTGGTGCAGCTCGACAGGCAAGCGCTGCTGCACCACATCGAGAGCAAGGCTGAGCTTGCCGAGGCGCGCCAGTGCCTCGAGGAGCATCTCAATGTACAGGAAGCTGTCGGCCTCCGGATTGTGCCCAAAGTCCACGCCGCCGTCGTGGGTCGTACCTCCTGGCGCAGCATGCCCGGCGAGAGAGTCGGTGCTGTGCGAGCCAGGCATGGTACCCGCTCGTTGCGCCAATGCGTCAGAGGACACGCCACCGGTGCCAGAGAGCGAAGGACCCAGGCCCAGGTTGCCGAAGTCGTTGGCGAGGTTCTCGTCATACGCCGGCCGCGCGCTCAGTGCCGTCAGATAGCGCGACAGCTTCAGCGGTCGGTCGTTGGCCGCAGCAGCAGATGCAGCGCCTGGCGCTCGTGACTCGTCCTCAGCGCGAGCGAAAGCGCGGGGCGTCGTCTCAGCAGCTTCGTCTCCCTCTGCGAGCGTTGCTGGCGCATCGTACTCCTGCCCGAACTCGACGCTTGGCAGTGCCTCCTGACCTGGCACGTAGCTCTTCCATCTCGCGTCGCAGAAGAAGCTCTTGAGGTAGAGATGGTTGTGCAGCTCCTCGATGAGAATCTCGAGCATGCCCTGCTCCTGCGTCTTGAGGTACGTGCGCAGGTCGGCCGTCGCGCCCACTTCGCTGATCTCGGGCTTCTCGATCATCTTCAGGCTGCGAGTAAGCAGATGCACCGCCTGCAGGAAGCGCTTCTCCGACATGAGGCTCTCAAGACGGTCGGGCACGCCCTTGAGCTGCTCGATGATGTCGAGCAGCCGCAGCGACTCCTTGACGCCCTGACTGCGCTGCCAGAGCTGCACCAGGTCGGCCCGCTTCTGTCCGAGCGCCTCGCGAGACTCGCGCAGGCGGCGACGTGCGCCCGACACGCTGCTCTGCGCGGCGCCGAGCGATTGCAGGACGCCATTGTGCAGCGTGATGGCCGATGCGAAGGACTCGTAGTGGTCTGTGTGCGCCGCTCGTTAGCCTGGCAGAGAAGTGCGAATTGCAGAGCTGGACGTACCATCAACAGTGCCCTGCAGCGATGACTCGATGTGATGCTTCATCTCCTCGAACTCGCGGCGATTCGAGCCGAGCGAGCTCTCGTCAAGGAGTGAGAGGGCGAGGGAGACGGCGTTGAACTGGCGTATGCCGTGCATGGCCTCAGCTTCATGCCATGCGCTGGCCGGACACGAGGGCGGCACTCACGTCGTCGTCTGCCACGAAGCCCCACTCTGCCTTGACCTTGCGCAGCACCGCTGCACGAGCCGCCTCAGCACTCGCTCAGCCAGCATGATACGCGCTCCGACTCACCGTTGATGCCTCTGAACGCTCTCTCGTCCCTTCGATCGACGTATGACTCGAGCGGCCTGCTCTCCTTGGCACGCGCATCCTCCACCTTGCGCTCAGTCTTGCGCCGCTTGCTCTCCTCCTCGGCCGTTGTGCCTCTCAGTATCCGCTGCGCGCCCTGCTTGCGTCCTGCAGCACTGAGCGCACTCAGCACGCTACCGAGCGCAGCCGGCTCAGCGGGCTTCGAGAGCGTGCCGACGGTCGGCGAGGTGAAGCTGGGGGCCGCCGGCTCGCGTGGTCGCGCTCGCCTTGGGTCTTCGTACGCCTCTGCATCCTCGAACGTGTCCTCCTCGCCGCCTGAGCTAGCGCCGTCGACGCCGTTCATGTTGGCCATCAGGCGTGCACTCGTGGCATGCCGGTCCGTCGCAGCTGGACGCGCGCCGCGCCCGCCCAACAGGTTGCGACCAGCAGCTGGCGGCGCAGCAGGTGCCTCATGGCGGCTAGGCGATGTGGCAGCGCGGGAGCGCGCCGCCGGGAGCGGCGGCGCACCTTGAGGCCGCCGCATGCTGCGTGCAGGCCGTATGGGCCCGCCGTCCTGCGCCTGGGCAAAGGAGGCCACGCTCGCCGCTGATGGCTCGAAGCCGGTGCCGAGATGCGAAGGCGCGCCGTACGCGTTGCTGCCGCCGGCGCCAGCACGGCCCTCGTAGTTGGAGATGGAGTCAGAGGGCGAGAGTGAGACGAAGGAGGGTCCGGCACCGAGATGATGCTGCTGTTGCTGCTGCTGTTGCGAGTGCGGAGCAAGCATGTCGTTGCTGCCCGAGCGCGGCATGCCGTACTGCTCGGCGGGCGGCGGCTGGCGCTGCTGCTGCTGTTGCCCCTGTTGCGGCGCGCCGCGCATGGCGGCAAAGGACGAGACGGAGGCGTTGCTTGCTGTGTGTGCGTGCCCGCCGTGGAAGCCGGACTGATACTGCTGTGCCTGTTGTTGCGGCATAGGAAGGCCGGCAGTGCCGCGAGAGAACGACGAGACGGCTATGGAGCCGTCGACGCCGCCGCCGAGCGAGGCATTCTCGTGCGTGATGCGCGAGCGCAGGTCCGGCACCCGCACCGACTTCTTGCGGGACATGGCGGCCAGCTGGTCCTCAGACGGGTGCTTACGGGTGTCACGAGAGCGCTTCGCTCACCCCTCCACTCGCCAGCACGGCGAAGGGCCACAGCCGAGCCGAGCACCGCCGGCACCCGAGAGCACCTGCAGCAGAGAGCTGCGCGCCCTGACTCAAGCAACTCGAGTGTGCCTGCTAAGCAAGCAGGGCCGGCAGAAGGAGAGGGCGCGAGGTGCCGCGGCGGCGGCTGGTAGTCCGTCAGGCACAGCAGGTGCTAGGGGACGTGCCGCTCGGGAGGAGTGCGCAACAGGGCAGCAGCGCCAGCGCGATCGCGAGGCTGAGCAGCGCGGCCCAGGAGGGTATGATGTGCACGGCTGCCGCAGAGTGCGGTGAGGCGATGAGGTTGAGCCGCGCCTGAAAGCCTCGAGTCGCGCGCTGCCGAGCCGGAGAAGAGTGGTGGAGGAGGCTGAGGTGGTGGAAGGGCAGGGTGTTGGATGCCGCAGCCGGCCGCCGGCTGTCAGCGAGGCACGAGATGCGCTCGGGCCAGGCGCGCCTTCCCCACGCGCCGCGCCGGCCCTGCAGCGCGCGCCGAGTTGGGCAGACGCGCACGAAGGTGCGAGTCGCTCTCGCGCGCCTCTCTCTGGGTCACCTCGCCGCCTCGCCCTTCTTGCTTTCCACTTACACATCCTCAAGGCGCAGAGAGGCGCAAGTCAAGCGTCGCAACCAGCAGGCCGGGCGACATCGGACGCACAGAGCTGCCTCAAAGGACCGCGACGGGCGCGCTGCGTGCTCTAGCCACGCTGTCTTGCTGCGATCCATGGCCAGTCCTCTCGCCTCCTCGTCGCGCCTCCACGACCCCAACTTTCCGCCGGCGCTGCGCATCACCTCGTCGCGCGCTCCACAGCAGGCTGGAGATGCGGCTGATGCAGATGCCGCCGACGACATCTATGCCGACGAGGCAGACATAGCGGCGTACGGCATTGCCGGGCGCATCTGGTCAGTCTGCACGTTCTTGTCTTTCTGCGCATCGTGCCAGCTGACAGTTTTGCTCCCTATAGGGAGGCAGCATATCTTCTGCGCCTCTATCTCCGTCCGTCTCATCCACTCCTTCATTTTTCGCCACCTTGTCCCCTCTTCGACGCTGCGCCACGCCTGGTCGAGCTCGGCGCAGGCGTGGGCTATGCAGGCCTGCATCTTGCTCGTCAGCTGTCATCGCACAACATAGGCGGGCAGCTGGTGCTGACAGACTTGCACAATGTGCTGCCGCTGCTGCAACGCAATGTCGGCCGCGCTGACGTCCCGAGCTCGACGGCCGTCGAGGTCATGCCGCTGCCGTGGGGCGATGCTTCATGCGCCCGGCAAGTGCGCCAACACCTCGAGAGCGGCACGCAAGGCAAAGCGGCGCTCACGCACATCCTCTGCTCCGACCTCGTCTACTTTCCCGAACTGCTTGCGCCGCTGCTTCGCTCGCTGCTGCACCTGACCGACTGTGCGAGCGGCAGTGGGCCGATGGTGGTGATAGCATACAAGGTGGGCGGGCGCCCCTACTCCTCTCTCTCTGCCTCTCCTTCCCACGCCGTCACGGCTCACACCCTATTCTCGCCAGATTCGCTCGCTGGAAAAGGAAGCGCCCTTCTGGCATGCCTTTGGCACGTGGTTCGACTTTGAGCCCGTCTTGTGTCGTCGTCGTTGTAAGGACGGCGAGGAATGGGAGCGCTTCGGCGCAAAGATGTCGCACTTCCGCTCAGCCCACGAGACAAGTGCTGCTCAGTCGAGGCAGACGGAGCCGCAGCGCGAAGGCGAGGAAGCAGCGGAGGAGGAGGAAGACGCGCCAGACCAATACTTCCTCTTCCTTGCCTCGCGCCGTCCCGACACGCAAGGCGCTCTGGCACCGTCGAACGATGCGCAGCTGCTGCAAGGCTGGCGCATCTGGCCGACTGCGAAGCCATCGAGCGGCGCTGCGGATCCGCCATCCGGCGAGCGCGAGGCGGAACAGGAGTCGCGCGAAGCTGCTTCGCGCTGCGAGATGGGCAGCGGCGGCGAACGCTTTGAGGAGCTGCTCTTCTTGGCGCTCAATGGCGGATGAGGGCCTGTAGGCCTGGCAATGCACAGCCGTGCCCGCTTACCTCGCTCTGGACTGGAGTCCGCGATGCCTGGCCTGAGCGCCAGCATCCGTGCAGCTGCTCCACTCGAAACGCCCCCGCTGCTCCTTGCCTTCGTGGCACGTCTAGACGGCGAGCTCGCGAGCGCACAATGGGAGGCATCATGTCAAACTGAGTCATCTTTTGCAGCGTTGCGTGCCTTCACTCGGCGACGCGCAGCCCTATGGGTGTGTGTGGTGTGTGTGTGCAGTGCGTATGTGTGTGTGTGTGTCATGTGACGAGAAGGGGGTGGACACCAGAGCGGGTGGACTTGCTTTGATGCCAGAGGGAGAGTGGAATAGTACAAGAGAGAGGCAACTCACGACGCAAAGAAGAGGTTTCGCAGGACGCACACAACCCTGCGGACTCTCCATCACGCGCGCAAAGCCACCCATGTGCGAGGCAGGGACGGAAGGCGAGACGGGCAATGCATTTAGCCGTGCTTGGCACCACCCTTGGCGCGCAGGCGACGGAGGTAGTGCTCGAGCTCGGCGCCCTCGAGGATGTAGCCGTCGGCGCGGCCGCTCTGGCCCGGGCGGCTGGAGATGGCGGCGTAGAGACGGCCGGCGCCGAACTGCTGCTCGACGAGCGGGTCGATCTTGGCGTCCTTCTGGCGCTCGGCGAGCGTGCGCGTCACGTGGCTCGACTTCTTGACCTCCTCCGTCTCGGCGGCACCGGCGGCGGCGGCACGCTTCTTGCTCGTCACCGGCTTGCCGTAGTGCTTCTCGTACGCCTGGCGGAAGGGCGTGGCGTCGACCTGGATGATGGCGTTCTTCACCAGCGTGTTGGTGCGCACAAGCTCGTTGTTCGACGCGTTGAACACGACGCCGAGAATGCGCGTCTTGGCAGTCAGGTGCTCCGAGCCCCAAGCGAAGTTGCCGCTGTAAGACGACGGGCATCAGTGTCTGAGCATGTGATGCGAGCTGTGTGCGCAGAGAGGGGTGCGTGCCTGCCCTGTGTCGCCGACGTGCAGCAACCCAGCCGCAGAGCAAGATTGCATCTGCTGCTCGCCAGCGGCCGTACGGAGTCGCAAGGCACGCACTCGGCGCCGGAGTGCGCACGCATGCCCGGTGTGCCTGTCGCTAGAGGTCCAGCATCTGCCTGACGGAGCGCGCGCACAGTGCACTCCGGCCGGCCGGCCGGCCTCTAGCAGCGTGCAGATGCGCCGCTACCATCGCTCCCCAACTCGATGCCGCTACACCGTGTTGCCCATGCCCACCCGCCGTCACGCCGATCTGGCTCTGGCCGCCTCGTACCCGCCTGCATGCCCTCTCTCCCGCCATGCTGTCATCCCGCCGTCGTCCTGCTCTCTCTCGCTCTCCCCTTCCTGGCATCCTCTCGCAGCAACTCACCTCTCCAGACGCAGGGCACGGTGCTTGATGTTGCCGCCGCGCACACGCACAGTGTGGATGCGCTTCGGGCCAATGCGCGTGTTGGAGGCCTGGCGAGCCATCTCAAACTGGCGCTTCTCTGCACGACGCAACGAGAGGGGAAGCGGACATGTCAGTGGGGGGCGTTCTCGAAGATGGGACATACTGGACACGGGCTAGACATTGGCCTGCCTTGCGCAGGCGCCGACCATCACCCACTCGCACCGCCTTGCCTGCCCGACCCTGGCTGTCCCCTGCAGGCCCGTCTGCGCACAGGCTTCTGCTGCCGCGACATCGGCGCAAGTGTGGCAGTCATGTGGCGTGCTGCCCGTCATGCCGGGCCCTTGCTCGCCGTGCCATCTGCTTGCATCTTCCTCCCTGCCTCTCTGCCTCGCCTGTGCCGCCGCTCTCCTGCCTACGCACTGCGGTAGTAGGCGCGGCGCGCGCCCGTGGCGGCCCGCTTGTGGCGGCTGTCGCGCGAGATACCCATGATGTGTGGGTGAGTTGAGGGTGCGAGATGGGGACGGGGGTGACTTGAGGTGAGGAGGAGAAGGCGGGCGCCGCGGACGGCAGCGCGAAGCAGCAGCCGCGCCGCACCGCGCGCCAGCCTGCCAGCCACAGCTCACGTGCGCGCGCAGAACCGCTGCGGAGCCGTGTCGCGCGGGCAGGGGGACACGCGTGCGACTCCTCTGCACCCCTTCTGCCCGCCTTCGGCCGCAACGTCGCGCGAATGATCTCGTGCGTCGCGCCAGGAACGCTGCTCCCACGCTCGACCCCTCCGCTCCACTCTCCCGCTGCGCCTTGGCCCCCTCTTGGATGCGCCCGATGCGCGTCTTCTGCGTTCGTGCAGACTGAGCGCCGCTCCGCTCGGCCTGCCTGGCAGCACATACAGAGACGCAGCGAGTGGCGGCGTCGCTTGTTCGAGGCAGCACGTAAGAGCTCGTCTGCCGCGCAAGCTTGCCGCTCTCGCCATCGCGCCTCGAGCTGCGCCCCGCTGCTGCGCCATGCGAGCCGCAAGCCGAGCCTCGAACTCGAGCATCTTCTCGACGCCCTTCGTCTTGGCTCGGCGTGCGATGCCGCTCTGCGCGCAGCAGGCCTCGCCCACGGTCGTCGTCATGCGGCGCCCCGCTGGGTGCTGCGGTGCGAGATCGGCGCCTAGCGCGCATGCCGTTCGCTGTTCCCACGGCGTGTCCGCATGCGTGAGGACCTCATCGGCCGCTGGACCTTGGCCGTCTGCGCGCCGCCGTCTCCACTTTCGCCTCACCTCAGCGGGCTGTCGGCCTTCGTTGCCAGCTGCTCGGCGTGGCCTTCGTCGGAAAGCAGCTCAATATCCCGCACGTGTTCGTGGCTTGCTTCTTGTGACCGCTGCGGTGCGTGTGTCGCAGGGAGCGGCCCATGCGTCAAGGCAGGGCTGCAGCAGGCGTGCAGGAGCGATGTCATGCGCGACGGCGAGAAGGCGGTGCCGACGCGGGCGGCGGGCAGGTGCGGCGTGCGCGAGAGGCTCGAGCCCCGAGGGGCGTGCCTCAATCTCTCCTTTCGACTGCCACAGCCCCACCCTCAAAACCCCATCGGCCTCTCTCTCGCCGGCGTCACGCTCCCATACCCATGCTGCGACATCACTTATAATCCCAGCGCTCCACCCTCCTCTTTCGCCCTCTTCACCTTCTCGCACCTCTCTCTCTCGCCCTCTTCACCTTCTCGCACCTCTCTCTCTCTCTCGCCCTTCCTGGCATCTCTCCGCTTCTCCGCTCTCTCCGCCCCTCTTCGCTCGCCCGCCATGCTCTTCCTGCCTCTGGCCTTCATGTTCCTCGGCACCTTTCTGCTCGGGCAGCTGCCTCTGCTGCTCCCGCTCTCTTCCGCCGCCTCGCGCGTGCTCGAGGTCCTCGGCGCCGGCCTCCTCTGCGGCGCAGCCATGACCGTCGTCATTCCCGAGGGCACGGCGGCGCTCTTTCGCGCGCAGAGCAAGCTGGCCGCCGGCGCCCATGCGCACGCGACGGCGAGCACAGGCGCAGGCGGAGCGGTGAGAGGCGGCATGATGGTGCTGATGAGGCGCCACGAGGAGCACGAGGAGCATGGGCACGCAGAGCCGCGGTGGAACGCCGAGACGCTGCTCGGCGCGACGCTGCTCGCGGGCTTCTTGGTCATGTTTGTGTGAGTGGTGCTGCGAGCTGCGAGAGAGAGAGGAGAGAGGAGAGGCAGCGCTACTTGCGAGAAGGGAGTGCAGGGGAGCGCGGAGGGCGAAAGGTGGAGGGGCAGAGGCGAAGAGGCGAAGGGCCGAAGGTGGAGGGGCCAAGGTGGAGAGAGAAAGAGCGCTGTGAAGGAGCGCGAAGAGCAACGAGCAGTAGTGACGGGGCAAGCGGGCGAGGCTGTCGGAGCGGAAGCAGGAGAATGTCGTGCGCCAGGCTAGCTGCTCTGCAGGAACGCTGCGCTGCTGGCATCTGCGCAACGGCACTGTGCAGCGGCAGGCCAGCCCATGAGGTCTGTGTGGCAGCAGTAGAGTGTCGCGTGCTTCGACGCCCAGTCTGGCTCTCTCTCGTCTGCATCAAGGTAGGCGTGCACATGCACAGACTGCACCCGAGTGGAGGCAGTGGAGGCGAGGACGCTTTGATGGAGAAAGAGTGTTGTGGCTATGAGCACCTCCTTTCGCGTGGTGACAGAAGAGGCCGGATGATCGTCCATGCTTCTTCGCGTGCCAGAGCTTCTGCCACGGATTCTGCTCTTGTCGGTCGCGCCCCCGTCTGCCACTGACGACCGTGCGCAACAACAGCATCGATCAGATCACCTCGCCCACCTCCGGACACGACACGCATGGGCATCACCACGGCGCCGGGCACGCGCATGCTCGCCTCAGTCGTTCGTTCTCCTCGCACGCTCCGCACGGGCACTCGCACTCGCACGTCTCGGGCCACTCGCACAGCGCCACGACCGAGTCGGGCAGCTCGAGCAGCTCGGAGGATCTCGCGGAGACGGGACATGGAAATGGCGGGAGCAGGACAGAGGCACTGCGTCTGGTGCGCAGCGGGAGTGCCTCTGGCTCGGCGTCCAGTCTCGGCGAGCGCTACAAACCCTCCTCCCCTTCCGGCGTGCGCGAAGCCAGCGCCGCAGTGATGGAGACGCGTCGGGAGCCTCAACCTCAAGGCATGAAGGCGGCATTTGCCAGTGTGGCAGGCCTCGTCATCCACGCCGCGGCGGATGGCATTGCGATGGGAGCATCGGCACGCTCGGATGACGAGAGCTTGAAGATTGTCGTGTGGCTGGCCATTATGATACACAAGGCTGTGAGTCGACTGCTCCTATGCGACGGCGGAGCTACGATGCCCTGCTGCTCTGCTCACCTTCATGCCGCAATTGACTTCCCGCACGTCTTGTCTGACAGCCAGCGGCATTCGGTCTCTGCACCCTCCTCATGGCGCAGCACGTCGCGCGCTCCGACATTCGACGAGCCGTGTTCATTTTCGCATTGAGTACTCCACTCGGCGCTCTGCTCAGTACGTCTCTCCGCTTCCCTCCCTCTCTCCTCCCACCTGACGCGCCTACGTCCCGCAACAGCCTACTTTCTCCTCTCCTACGTCTTCTCCGGCAGCGTCAACGAGTCGCAAATAGGCTGTGCGCTCACCTTTTCCGGCGGCACCTTTCTCTTCGTCGCCATGCATGCCGTCGGCGCCACTTCCTCCTCCGACGCCGACGTCGCCACTCCGCCCGCTCCACCTGCTGCCTCCTCCGCCGTCGGCGGCAGCGAGCGCGATGTGGAGAGCCAGCCTCCGAGTGCGGCGGTGCAACATCGACCGAAGTACGTGCTGGGCAAGTCGGGCAGGATTGCAGTGCTGCTCATGGGCAGTATGCTGCCGAGGACACTGCAGAGTCTCGTGGGCCATGGTCATTGAGTCTTCTTCCGAGCGTCGTGCGAGCGAACAGATCTTATGCTTCGTGTCCCACGTGGCTTGTTTCGGCTTTGTGTGCGACACAAGATCTTCTTGACAGAGAGCAGAAGGCAAGCCGTCACGCTCCAGGTCAGCTTTGGCCACTCCCCCGCTTCGACCACACAGATTCGCTCGCTCCTTTGCGCTCGCTCCTTTGTTGGCACTCGCTTGCGCTGCTTGCACAACGCCTCGCTCGTCAGGCCCGGCCCGGTGACAGCAGAACGCATGATAGATCAGATGACATTCAGGCTCTCCCACGCTTGCCTCCCCTTCCTGCCGCTCCTCCTCTGCCTCCACGTCCCCTCGTCTTGCCACCCCTGCTCCCCTCGATCCTCTCCCTCTCCGCCTTGCCAATCTTCAGCGTGCCATTCCTGAACGTGCCGACTCCCATGCCCACGCCCTTCTCTCTCGTTCTCTGTTCCTTCTCCAGCCTTCTCGTGCCCAGGATCAGGTCGCTGCCCACCTCCTTCATCTTCTTCAGGCTCGTATGGTACGTGCCCAGCTCCTTTGCCAGCTCCACGCGCTTGTCCTGGCGCTCCATCTCCTTCTTGCGCATCCCGGCACGCATGGCGGCAGGCATGGCGGCCATGTCTTGAGCCTTGACTTTCGCCTCTCCCCATCCTCTCCCCACCGTTGCGCCTCTCAACTCCTTCTTGCTAGCGCCCAGCTCCGCCAGGCGAGCGGCAGTGTCGCCGTGCGACAGTCCGCGCGTCGAAGAAGACGCGCCAGAGCCAGGAGCGAAGAGCGTAGTGGAGAGGAGATGCGACAGCTCCTTGTCGTTTGCTCGCGCAGCCTTCTCGTCCGCCTCATCCTCGGACGTCACGCCGCTCTTGCGACTTGAGCCGGCGGCCTGAGAGGTATGCACTCGCTGCACCTTCGACGACTGCCATGCCACATGGAGCCAGAGTCAGCCGCCGCCTTGCGCGCCTTCTGCGGCTCGAGCGAGGCAAACGCACCATGAAGTCCCTCGCACTCCCGCGCTGCGCATCGCCGCCGCTCGCCTCATCGCCTGTTCGTCGCCGCCCCGTCTGCTCAAAGACGACCGTGACAGGCTCGCGGGCGCGCTTCTTGCCCGCCGCTTGCGTGCGCACCTCTGGCGCAGCGGATGCGAGCTGCTTGTGCGCAGAGGCGGAAGCGGCAGAGGCAGCAACCGTGCTGCCCGCCGTTGCTCGTGCAGCCGGCGGCTCCCCCTCATGGTCCTCTGCGTCATCGTCGTGGTCGTCGTCCTCGGCAGCGGCGGCGGCGGCGGCTGGAGCCATGCCACAGGCGGCGAGGAAGTCGGCGCCGTGAGCCTGCAGCGCCGCCAGAGCTGCGGCATGCGCATCGCCGGCGCTTGAAGAGGAAGAGCTGGAGGCGCGAGAGCCGGACGAGTCGCTGCGCGAGCGGGAGGGCATGCTGGGCTGGAGGGAGTGGAGAAGCAAGGCGCGCGAGGCAAGGCTGTGCTCCTTTTGGGCAGGCGGCGCGCACGTGACGCGCGCCAGTGCAGCGCCGCCGGCATCTGCCTTCGCTGGCCCTCCCTTGTGCGCTCCTGCTCCGCCTGCGACACACTCTTTCGGTCTCGCAATCTCATGGTGAGGCAGTCGAGCAAGTTCTGCACCTGGCAGGGATCGTGCGACAGTGTCGCTGGGCGCCGCAGCGATGCTCTGCCCGTGCGCGCGGCCTTCGTGCGGCCTGTGCGCATGCAGCTTCTCGCGCTTGCACAAGGCCCTCAAAGTCGACCTGGGCTGCTGAGCATGCGGCGACGAGCTCCGAGGCGGCACGACCAGGGTGGGATGCTCGAATGGCAGATTCCACGGCCTCCAACCACAGCGCTGGGGCGAAGCAGGCGGCGTGGCGAGGCGTCGCAGGGAGGCACTACGCGGGCGCCTCCTTGCGCGTCCTAGCCGCTTTCCTCCATGCCTTGTGCTTGCCCTCTCCTCGCCTCGCCACGCGCACGTTGGTGCCATGCGCCTTCATCTCGGTGCAACGGCCAGGGCAGCGTCGTGTGCTGCGACTGTTCCCGCGCCGCCATCGGGCTGCCGTTGACGGCCGCAGGTGGCACACGAGGAGGTCGCACGCCTGTCTGCCGCCCAGATGCTGCAGCGGGCAGCAGCCTGCGACGCTCTGCCTCTTTCCCTTGGCCTCGCCGCTGCTCAACCTCCGTCGCGCAGCAGGCAGACCGAGCAGAGGCGCTTGACAAGCTCGCTGAGACTGCCATGCTGCTCTGCACCCTTGCGTCGGCTCGCGGCTGCGCTCGGCACCCTGTCTCACAGCTTGGCGCGAGAGCGAGGAGCGCAAGCGAGTCTGAGTCAGCGCGCGCATCTGCGCGAAGCGCTCGAGCGTCGCCGTCTCTGCCGTGCTCTGCACCCTTACGCTGACTCGGCTCAGACTAATGTGGGCCCGACGGCATGTGCCGTGGCGCCGAGTTGAGCTGATGCCGCTCTTGATGAAGCCGTGCTCGCGCGCGGCTGCTCGGAGGCCGGCACCGCTGCACCTCTCGCGGCGCTTTCATCTCACCGCCGTGGAGCCACGCGCGCCTCCCGGAGGTGTTCTTCTGCACCGTCGGAGTTGGCGAGCCGGGCAGCTCTATCCCATGGCCATGGCCGCGTCTCTCAAGGCACCAGCATGCAGCCGCTCAGTGTGCAGGGCTGCGCTGTCGTGCTGCGCTGCGCGCATGGCGGCAGCGGATGCTCGGCCACGGCCACGGCGCGGCCCACGGGCCATGCAGCCTGCGTTCCTGCGTGCGGCGGCTTGCAGCAGCACTCGCTGGGCGCGCAGATGACCAGCGCAAAGGCAGCGCTCCAGAAGGCAGGCCGCAGCGTCGCAGCGGCCAGAGGCGCTACTGCACCGACGCCCGGCCCTGCAGCACACCTGCGCAGCCCCATCCGAGGTGCGCTCTGCCGCTCTGCCGCAGAGGAGGCAGAGGCAGCGGCGGCGCTCCTGAGGCGCGTCGCGTCGAGCACCTTGCCGCCGCATCAGACGCTGATGCGGCTCCTGTGGCTCGCGCCGGCGGCACTTTGCGCGGCGTGCGGCGTGGCTGACGGGGCGGGAGGGGGGCGCAGCAGCGGCACGCCGCCGTTGGGCGCGGCGCGGGCGGCACAGCGGAGCAGCGAGCGCAACACGCGCCACATGCACGCGCGGCATGGCGAGGAACACCTCGCCTCGCTCTCGCGGCCGGCGCACCTCTCGCCTCCGCCGCCATCGTCCATACCCTCTGCCCTATACCACCGCAGGCACCCCTCAGTCGGCCGCACCCAGCTGCGCGCCACCTCTTGTCCACGCAGCGCCCGCACCGCCGCACGCGCCCGCGCCCGCGCGACCGACACGCGCGCGCTCGGATCGCCGCAAGGGCCCAAACACCTCCGGGCGCCCCAGCGCGCGTGAGGCTCGAGGGCCGGCGCATCCGCGCCTCAGCCGCCGCCGCCGTCAAGCTCTCTGCTCTTCACCACTCTCACCTCTCGCCCGCCGCCGCGGATGAGCGCAGCCGTGATGAGCGCTGCTCCCCTCTCTCCCTCGCTCTCCTCCAACGGCTTGCGCGTCGGCGCCGTGCCGCCGCCGCGGCGCGCCGCACCCGCGCTGCCCGGCTCCAAGTCGCGCGACCTGGCGCGCGCCGTCGAGGCGCACGCCTCGGCGGCCGAGGCGGTGCGCGCCTACCGCCCGCCCAGCGCCTGGAGCGAGGCGCCGGGCAACGCCGATGTCGTGTGGGGCGGCGACGGCGACGGCGACGGCGCGGGCTATGCGCATGCCTTTGGCGCCGCGTCGCCCAGCCTGTCGCAGCATGCGCCGCTGCCCAGCCCCGGCCTCAGCTCCGAGTTCGGCGGCGAGGGCGACCGCTTCAGCGACGCCGCCAGCTGGGACGGCAACGAGGCGCCGCTGGCCGAGCGCCTCGACGCGCCGCACGCCGACGACGCCGACGAGGGGCTGGCGGGCGCCGTGGACGGGCAGCGCGACGAAGACGATCCATACGCCGATTCGCGCAGCACGTACGGCCACGCGCGCGGCTCCAGCGTCGCCTCGAGCATGTGGGCGGGCCGCGGCGCGCCCGCCTCGCGCGCCAGCGTCATCTCGACCGCCTCGACGAGCGCAGCGGGCGCGCCCAAGCGCCGAGCAGCGCCGCCCATGCCCGGCATCACGCCGGCCATGGCGCTGCGCGCACAGCAGATGAGCGCCTCTGCTGCTGCGCCTTCCCAGCCGCCGGCGGCACTGCAGCGCCAGGCGCCGGAAGAGCAGAGCCAAAGCATCCTCGATCGCTCGCCGATGAGCATGTACAGTCCCGCCACCGAGGGCGATGCTCAGTGGGGGCGCCGTCCTTCTCACGCATCCAGCAGCGGGCTCGAGGAGTTTGACGCCGCTGCGGAACGATCCGCAGAGCTGCCGCCCGAAGGCGCACTGCCCGCAGAGTTCGAAATGCTCTCGTCCGACGCGGCCGAGGAGCAGGACGCGAGCCGCTCGACGAACGCCACGCATGTGGAAGAGGAGGAGGAGGAGGATGTGTCGCGCGACACGCTCTCGGCTCTCAACAGCGACATGGCGCGCTCCAAGAGTGGCAGTCGAAGAGGCTCGCCGGCTCTCGTCTCGCCGCGCAGCCCCGCGTTCGGCGGCGCCGGCAGCAGCGGCGGGGCAGCACGCGCGCCCTCGGTGCCGCAGCGCAAGACGCGCGGCCGCAAGGACCGCTCGCCGGTGCTGAGCTACGCGGATGGCGAGGAGGAGGAGCAGCGTCTCGTCGCACTGCAGGCTGGGCCCAGCGACTTGCAGCGCATGAGCAGTCTTGGGCCGAAACTCAAGAAGAACTCGCCGGCGCCGTGGGAGTTGGGCGCAGAGGAGGAGGAGGAGATGCCGAGCAGCGGCAGCAAGTACTCGCGCGGCGGAGAGGGACGCTCTAGCTCGAGCTCGAGGCCGAGTCAGAGTGGAGATGCTCCTTCGTCGAGCGGATCAAGAGGCTTTGGATGGCCCAGGCCCAGCACCGACGCTAGCCGCGTGCCGAAGTCGCCAGCCTACCCACCGCCATCGATGCCCTCCAGCGACACGCGCGGCTCGCTCGCTTCCAGTCGAGGAGGAGGCGGCGCCGTGGATCTGGCGAGCGAGGCATCGGAGCATGAACTCGAGGCCACGCGTCGGTCTCGCTCCAAGAGCGTCAGCTCGAGCGCTGCGGGCATGCTCAAAGGCCTCGGTCTTGCAGCCTCGGCGACGCCCGCCGGCAAGCGTGGCAAATTCGCAAAGGCATTTGGCAGGAAAGGAGGCGCTCCTGCTGTGCCTGGTGCTCAGGCACAGGGCGGCATGTCTTCGGCGCCTAGCTGGCACAGCGCGGCAGGCAGCGAGGAGCGAGGCAACAGCCTCAGCCTGCCTGGCTCGACGTCCGACGAGTTTGTCTCGCCGAGCTCGCCACCCATGCGCGCGCACTCGCCACTGGCGCCGCAGAGCTACGCAGCCTCTTCGCAGCAGCAGCCAGGTGGCCTACCCGTCCACCCCCTGGCCTCGACCTCGGCGGGCAGCATGTCGACGGCGACGAGCACTGGCACCATCACGGGCGGCAGCGGCGGACGCGGCAGCACGAGTGCAGAGAGCGGCGGCGGCACCAGTGTGCAGAGCAGCACGCGCTCGTCAGGCCCGAGCATGACGAGCAGCACTGCTGCCACGAGTCCTGCGAGTGCGGCACCTCAACATCTGAGTGCACTCGGCACCGCCGCTGCGCCGAACGGCCCCAACATTGGCGGACTGAGCGCTGCGGCTGCAGGCGCCTCGACGCGCGGCTTGAAGGAGCCGGCCTTCCTGCCTCGCACGCCTAGTCCGGCACCTCGAAGCCCGAATCTGGCTCCGCGCGCGCTGCAGACGCCCGCCCGCAGTCCGAGCGGCAACATTGCCCCTCGCAACGCCGGAGGTGTGGGCTACAAGCGCAGCAGCACGTTCCTGGCTGACGGCCAGCTGGTGCCCCGCGGTCCTTCGCCTGGCACCAGTCCGCTGCCATCGCCGAACATGAGCGCCTCGGGACAGTTCACGTTTCCCAACCCCAATTCGCGCTCCACGTCTGCCTCGGGACACATGTCGCCGGAGAGCTACATGGGCGCGCCTCTTGAGCATCCCAACGCCTCTACTTCGCAGCTCGATCTTCGCACGTCATCCGCCACGCCTACATCTGCACTGCTCGTGCCTCCGCAGCACGGCGCCGATGCTTCGCCGCGCGGCCTCAGTCCATCGCTTATGTCGGGCTCGCCAGGCTCGCTCAACATGTCCCGCGCCGCTTCGTTCGGCTCGATGAATGGCGCCCCACCGATGCCTATGCCGATGCGCAGCTCGTCGACTGGCGGCGGCGGCGGCAGCGAAGGCGAACTGCCGCCGCCCATCATGCCAGGCGCCAGCGGCATGAGCTCGCTGCCGTCTGTCGGCGCACACGAAGGTGTGCCGTACAAGCTCATCTCGCTCCAAGAGGCGCGCGAGCTGCAAGAGCGAGAACGTGCGGCGCGCGCCGTGGCAGAGCCGAATCGCTTTGCCAATGGCCCGCAGCCTTCGAGTGCGTCAGAGGGCCGCGGCATCAAGAACAAGAAGTCGGGCTTCATGCGCATGTTCGGCAAGGAGAAGAACGCAGAGGAAGAGCTCGATTCTCAAGGCATGAGCAGTCGACCGAGCCAGAACAGCCTCGAGGATGGCGCTCGCAGAGAGAGCAAGAGCACGACGAGCGGCTCGGTGCACGGCAATGCAGGCGTGGGCCGCATGCCGTCCTTCATGGTCAACGGCTCGGCTGCGCCTGCCGAAGAGACGACGGCCGCGCCCGCCCTCTCGCTCAGACCCGTCAGCTCGATGTTCCTAGGCTTTGGCGCCGAGATGCTGGACCCTGCGGCGCTGGGTATCACTGCCGACGAGAGCGACAAGGCGGCACCACCGCCGACGTCGACGCTCGGTGGACTTGCGATACCCGAGGAAGGAGGCAATCGTCTGCTTCCGCTGCCCAGCTCTCCGGCGCTCACGAATCGCTCGGGCGACTCACACTCGAGCGGCGGCGGCTCGGCACTCGGCGCTGCGCCTGCTGGCTACAGCAACGGCAGCAGTGGCAACGGCATGTCGCCGCGCAAGGCTCCTCCTGCCGGCCTGGCTCTGTCTTCCTCTGCGCTTCGGCAGCCGAACAACAGCGCACCTCCTCGTACGTCAAGCAGCGTGCGCAGCAGCGAGCTGGGCTCTCCCAGCTACGCCAGTGTCTCGCACGACATCGACGCTGCCCTGACGTCGCTGGGTGCCCCAGGCAGCAAGCGTAGCGCAGAGGAGTTCGTCAGTCCGATGACGTCGCCCATGACGCCTGCCTTTGCGTCTTCCGACGCCGGCATGTCGAGTCTGGGCCACGCCAGCACGCATGGGCAGCAGCATTCCATTCCTGCATCCAGTCGCTCGCTCGCAGTCACTGCACACTCGCGGCTCGGCAATGCCTCGTCTTCATCGTCGGCGGCGGCGCGTCCACACTCGAGCGCAAGCACGTATTCGGAGTCTGGCTCCTCTGCCTTGGCCCTCTCGCACTTCCCTCCGACGCCAGCGACCGAGTCGACGGCGACGCTCTCGCCCTCGGTCGGCGCAGGCGGCAACTCTGCCGCTGCAGTCGTGCGCACGCGCGCGCTGGAGATCGAGGCGGCCATCGCGGAGCTTGCGGCCGAATTGACGGCGCTGCGCACGGCTGCGGGTGCGGCGTCGGGAAGCAACGACTCGCTGCTTGCGCCCGCCAGTCCGATGATTCCCAGCTCGCCCATCCCGCCATGCGAGTCGTGTGGATGCAATTGCGCGGAACAGAAGAGGGCTCAGGCGCTCAACGAAGCGGCAGTGCTCAAGAGTGTCAGGTGAGTGCCGATGCGTGCGTGTGCGGCCGAGTTGCGCGCGAAAGCTGATCATCTCTCTCCATTCCCAGCATCCTCAATCGCTCCCGCGCCATCAAGCCCTCGCAGCACGCCGACGCCGGCAAGTTTGGAGGCTACACCAATCGCTGAGGGCACCGCCGCTGCCTCGTCCAGCCCGTCTCCTCTCGCTCTTCGCTCTCTCTCTCTCTCCCGTTGCTCCTTCTCTCGTGCTCCCTCTCGGCCACGCTCGCCGCCCGGATGCAGGCGAGCTTTTTTCTTCTGCCAGCCCTCCTCGCATCTCTTATGCCCCTGCCTGCTCCCGTCTCGCTCCCTCGCCTCTTCTCCGGTCGGCTTCGCTCTCCGCACCCCTCTCTATACGTATGCCCCTCGTCCGCGTTACCCGTGCGTCTGCCCGCACCTTCTCCCAGTCTTTCTCGTGACGCGAAACATCTGCAACGCATCCTTCTACTCTCCGCCTCTGTCTCAGCCTCCTCTCTCTTGCTTGCCAGATGAAGGACGGTCTAGATTGGCGCGAGGCCAAAGATGGCTCTGAAGCGCTCAAAGAGCATCAAGCTCACGACGCTGTGGCATCCCAGTCTGAGCCAGCACATGGCGAAGCCCTTGTAGAACGCGCGGGGCCCCTCGTTCTTGAGCAGCTCGGCGACGCACTGCCCCGCGCTGGCATACCTGCGCACGCCCGACGCCGACGTGTCGTTCATCAGGCGCACCTTGATCACGTCTACCGGCTGCGATGTGGCCGAGGCTATGAAGCCAGCGACCATGCTGCTGGAAAAGTGCAGGCCAAGCCCTTCTCTTGCGCCACTGCGTTTCAAGCGCGTCTTGACTTCGTCGTAGCATCCCACCTGTTATTTGCGTCAAGCGAGACGGAACGAGGAGGCAAGGCAGGATTTGTGTGTGAGCTGGGCTGGCGGAGCGGGGGGAGAGAGAGGCGATGCCACTCGAGTCCCCTCTCAGCTGTTGACTCGAGCAGTGCGCGACACTGGCCGGTTCGAGGTGTCCATGCCTCCAAGTTGCGCACCTTCTCCTTACAACAATCTCCAATCGCTCACCGCCCGTTCTCGAGCGCGCAAGAGAGAGCGAAGACGCACCTGGCTACTCGTGAGAATACTGGCGCGCAACACAGTCGGTCCTACGCCTCTCCACAAGGCCTTTATCCCTGCTGTTCCTCCGCCGCCGGAGCGGTATACGCCGATGAAGGCGGCGAGGGTATTTGGGCTGTTGCGAGGGCACGTGAGAGTCAGCAGTGGAAGAGGCTAGGCGGGACATGCGAGAGGCACGGCCTTGCCTTGTGCGCTCTCGGTCAGCGTCGGCACAAGGCTCAACTCCCGCCTCTGCCCTGGCACACAGTTCTTGCTCGTGCAAACGCACACCCCGGCTCGCGCAGCTACGTACTAAGGTGGTCTTCCCTCGGGCCGCACAGCCTGCATCTTGACCTTGACGAGATCCGCCGGACTGGCAATCAGCGCGCCGACGGCGCCCGAGGTGATGCCCGCTGCGAGCTTCTGCAGCAGGGGAAAGTCTGCGAGGAGCGGCGCATACCATGTCTAGCGCCAGAGCTGGGGCGTCAGTCGCGGCGGAGGCCAAGCGAGAGAGGGGCAGGGCAAGGAGGAGGCGGAGTGCGACGCGACGTGCTGCTGCTGTGCTCGTCGCCCTTGCGTCGCAGTCTCCTGCGCACTGCCCTGCCCGAGCCTGCCGGCCCCTCCCTGTCCCGCTTCTCCCGTCTCACAAGCCCCGCGAACGGCAACGCACCTTGACGACATCGTACCCGCCCATGCGAATCGTGCCGTAGCTCGCCTCGCGCACGACGCTCGCGGTGACGCCGTTGCCGAAGCTGCGCACGCCCTCGCCGCGATACATGCCCGCGACGACGCTGGCGAGGCGCGGAATCTCGCGCGACGCCGAGAGCTGCTGGCGCACCTTGATGATGTCGAAGGGATTGGTGACGACGGCCGAGGTGCAGGCGCCGAGCAGCGCGGCGAGGTAGGTGAGGGGCTGCGACTGCCGCGTGCCGACGGCGGCGGCGGCGGGCGCGGGCGCGGGCGCGGGCGACAGCGCCGGCGCGGGAGGCAGCGCGGACGACGACATGGCGGCGGTGCAGGTGGGAGGAGAAGGAGAGGCCGCTGAGTGTGGGGAAGCAGCAGCGCGAGCGGCCCCGGCAACGCGTCGGTCGCCGAGCCGCCTGCTCCGAGCGGCTGTGGCTTGGCGTGGGCGCGACGTCGAATACAACAATGCGGCGTCGCAGACTACAGAATCGCGTCTTGGGGTTGTAATCGCTGCGTCGTGCGACGGTGAGCCTTGGCGCTGCGGCGCGCTTGCCTCCCCTCCACATCCCTTTCCCCTCCTCGCCCTCTTCTCTGCGTGCTGGGCGCCATGCGTCGCCTTCTCCTGCTCCTCGCAGCCGCAGCTGCAGCAATCACCCACGCTCAGTCGCTCCCTCGCATCCTCCTCTTCACCGCCACCGCCCCGGGCGCCTATCGGCACTCCTCCATCGACACTGCCGTCTCCACTATCCAGACGCTCTGCGAGGGCAGGTGGGAGGCTATCGTGTCGGATGACGCCGCGGTGATGGGCCAGCTGCAGGGGTACAGCGTCGTGGTGGGAGTGATGAATACGTGCGTTTCTGCCTCGCCGCGCTCTCGCTGCTGCGTGCGCTCACGCCCGATGCGCTTCAGCGACGTCGATCCGCCGGCCGTCGGGCCGCTGCTCACGGCCTCCCAGGCCGCCTCGCTCGCCGACTACATCGAGCGCGGCGGCAGCTTTCTGGGCATCCACAGTGCCGCCAACTGCAACTACGGCGTGCCCTGGTACGGCCGCCTCGTCGGCGCCTTCTTCGACTATCATGCGCCCGTGCAGAACGTCACGGTGCGCGCGCTGACGAGGGAGCACGAAAGTACGAGGCAGTGGGAGGGAGAGGTGGGCATCTATGAGGAGGTGAGTCGCCGCAGCGAAGACCACTGCATTTAAGCTGATGAACAATGGTGAAAGATGTATCACTTCCGCACCGACCCTCGTTCTCTTCCTTCCTCGGCCACCGTGCTCCTCACGCCCGCTTCCTCCTACTCCGACCCCGGCGTCAACGCACTTGGCTTCCGCAACGGCTCCGAAGGCACGCCGCAGCCGCTAGCGTGGTATCGCGAAGGCTCGCTGCTCGATGTGCCCGCGCAAGGCACGCTGGGAGGCGGACTGGATGATTATCAAGGAGGCCCGAGCCCGAGAGGTGGGAGCGGAAGGAGCTTTTATACCAGCTTGGGACACGATGAGGGCACTTGGCAGGTGCGCACAGTCCCCTGTCTCCCGATCTCCTCTTGCCTCCTAGCACGAAAGCTGACGAAGCACTGCGAGCCCAGATGCCCGTCTTTCAATCGCACATCGCAGGCGCGATCGAATGGCTACTTGCTTCTGCGTGCGTCTTTTCTCTCCTTTTCCCCACACTTTCCCGCACTGACGCTCTTGCGCTGCCTAGGTCGCTCAACTCTTCCACTTCTGCTTCGTCTTCTTCCACTCAACCGCGAGGCACGACGAGCGGCAGCGGCGGCGGCGGTGGAAGCAGTACAGCAGCTGCACCGGCGTCGACTACCACAGGCGCCTCCTCGAGCGCGGGCACGCTCATGCGCGCGACGGACGCAAGGGTCCTCTTCATCGCGGCGCTGGTAGCGGCGTGGCACGCATGTGATTCATAGCCTCTTATGCAACACTTGTCACGCGCGATGAGGTGCGTGTGGACACCGTGGATTAGAAGGAGATGATGAGGCACAAGGGGGTGTGGGAGGGTTTGATGGAAGGATAAAGGGGAATGTGTTCGTTCCTTTGTTGTTGCGAAGCGTAGAGCGGCCGATGGAGCGCTGCTCGAAGTGGCCGAGGAGCCGTGACCGTGGGCGCAAGGCCTGGCAGACGCGAGACGTGTGTGTGTGTGTGCGTGTGCGTGTGCGTGTGCGTGTGCGTGTGCGTGTGCGTGTGCGTGTGTGTGAGAGAGGGTGGGGCGATGCATCGATGCAGCCTTACAGCGTAGATCCATGGCAGCTAGCGAAGAACGCTGCATTTGCTGCATCACCCTTCGGAAGCTGCCCTGGATCTACGACATAAGGATGCATCGATGCATGCAGACGATGCCGAAGGCTTGACGCCAAGCAGTCGGTGCGATGCCATCGACCGGCGATGAGACGCCGAAGAAGGAAGAAAGGCAATGGACGAAGACGAGGTGATGCTCGTCGGGGAGTCTTCGGCGAGAAGGGGCGCCGAGTCTGAATGGCTTTGAAGCGGCGCTCGAGGAATGGACACGTCGGTGTCGTGCCAAGCATCGATCAAGGCTAGATCGTGCCGATCGCACAGACGCTAGAGGGGCGCACTGCAGTGACACTGCAACGTGCCTCGCCAGGATCTGTCTGGTTGGCACCAAATGAAGCCTTGAGCGATGCAAGTAGCCGATGTCGAGCCGGGTTGGCGTGGAGGGAGCGGAGAGAAGAGGCGAGGCAAGGCGCGAGACGCGTGGACGGGCGACGAGCGAGGCTTCTCGAAGGGCGAGTCTTGCGGCAAGAGGCCTGCGTGTGTGCCTCGTATGGTGCACTGGTCGAGACTTGATGAAAGCAGGCAGGAGAGCGCTAGCGATGTGCACCGCAGTGACACTGCAACGTACATCGCCAGCGCTCACTTCACCGAATTCACCGAGGCTTTATTAAGCCTCGACCGATCAATCCGACTGGCGCCGAGGAAGCGGCACTACGAGCAGCCGGCCGAGGAGCGTACGGCTGCGGACTCGTCGTCGTCGGCCTTGCAGTCATGAACTCCCGACGATGTAGTGCCTACACATCGGCCGGCCCAGCTCTACCAGCGAGTCAGCCCGGTAACATCCACACGGCAGCGGCAGTGTGGTGTTGCCGGGCTGTGCGTCTTGGAACGCGAGGAGACACGACTGTACATCTTTGGAGCGGATGACGTGGCTTGCACCGCCGCTCGCCGAATGAGAGCTGAGGAGAGAATGGCCCGGCACGCGAGCTTGCTCTTGCCGATCTTGGAGCCGGAACGATGATGGAAGAGTACAGGTGAAAGCCAGGGCTGCGGTACCAGGACAGGCTAGCAACACCGACATAGCAGTGGCCATGTGGTGCTGCTCAGGCTGTCCAGGTGGCAGCAGGACAGGCATTCGCCATTCTCCTACACATCGTCCGAGCCGCAGACGTTCCGCGCGGTCGATCTCGGGTGCGAAGTTGGCGACGAACGACGCCGTCATGTCCGCCTGCTGACAGAAAGGAAGTCAGCGAGGAAGACAGTGTAGGCTGCTGGATGCGCACCATGATGAGAGCTCGATCGCACTTGCCGACGCGGTGGCCTTGCCGTTCGCAAGCGAGGGACTGGAGTGGTAGAGATAAAGTCAGCGATACGCGACGAGAGACGTGGACGATTGACACTCACACGAAGAAAAGAGAGAGGACCAGAGAAGAGAGGCGAAGAGGCGATGAGCTAGCCTCGACGGCATGCCGTCGCGCTTGACAGCTGTGCCCGGCCGTCTCAACGTCTGTGCGCTCCCTACGGCAACGAATCTCCCCTCATGCTTGTCGGAGACAGCAAGGATGAAGCGAGATGAGACGCAAAGCAGTCGCGCAGACGCAAGCGAGCTGCGGCTGTGCCTTCGGCATGGCGTTGCCAGCCACGGCAGCGGCGACTCGACGTTTTCAGCGTCTGCGTGAAGCGCTTGAAGACGTGTAAGATCTCTGCGCATGCTTGCCAGGCATGGCAAGCAGAGCCGAGATCTTACACGCTCGAAGAACTCGCGCAGACGAGAACGAGGAGAGACAATGGGCGAGCCGTGGCATGTCGTTGCCCGCCACGGCAACGACAGATCCAGCGCTCTCGACTTCTGAGTCCTTCCGCACCCGAAGCACAGCCTCAGCCATCCCCGCCATGCTGACAGGATGAACCGAAGATGTCACTCGGAGTAGAGAAGGTGCAGGCGTGAAGAGATGGATGAGGAGCGAAAGAGGGCCGGGGCACGCGCGTGAGCGCCGCCTTGTCCTCGCGTGCCGCCGCGCCGCGCCCGTCTGCTGGCGCTTTGTGCTCGGATCGCTCCGCTCCACAGCCGTGTCGCGGGCTGATGAGGAGGCCCGAGCTCCCGCTGACGTGGCACGGCAGCCACCGCTGCGCTCCTGAACATTCGCCGGCGTGCATGTTTGGGCTGAGGAGGTCAGCCGAAATTGAGCCCTGAGCGTGCGACGCTCTTGCTTGGAAGCGCCTGCATGCTGCTCCGCCGTCACTTTGCTGGGTGCTGTGTACGCCGCACTCAGACTGAGAGCAGAGCTGCAGCAAGGTCAAGCACACAAAGGAGAGACTGTGAGTCGAGCCTTGCCCTGGGCACACGCTCCTCGCTTGCTGCCACAGTGAGAAGTGAGCAGGTGAAGGCGGCGAGAGCGGTTTCTGAGCGCAGCAGCAAGAGTTGCTCCACGCGCTGCCCTCCGACTGTGGTGAGAAGGCAGCGGCGGAGTCCAGCGTACCCCACGGGGCCCCGCACTCTCGGCTTGCGCTGCGCCGGCGCCTCGGATGCCGCGCTCGAGATTGCTGCTGCTGTGAGGCGGAGGCGATCTAAGCCCAGCCGCGCGGCAGCGACGGCCGCGGCACCCCATCTTCCTTTGCGACAAATCAAGGCTCGCTCCTCGACGGCGCTCCAAGCCGCTGCGTGCTGCCGCTGCGGAGCCGTCAGAGCCGAGATGCACGCAGCACGGCGGCGCGTCCCTCGCCGCGTCCGCCGTGGCAAGCACGCGAAGCACGCTAGCAACGCTAGCGTCCTTCCCCGCGTTATGCTCACACCCGGAGCTCGCTTTGCCGGCGCCCGCTTGGCGCTCGTGCCGCAAGCGAAGAGCAGGGCAGGAGTGGAGCAGGATGCACAGGCCAAGCGAGGCGCTGCACCCGGCACCGAGGCGATGCGGCGAGCTGGCGAGGCGAGTATATAGGCAGCTCCGGCTCGCTGCACTCCCGTCTGTCCGCACCTGTTCCACTCCGGCTGCTCCTCTCTCGCAGCACGCAACACCACAAAGACACACTCCTCCCTCGCACAAGTGACCACGATGTCCGACTGGCAAGAAGTCGACATGAAGCACCTCGACACGCCCGAGGGCTACGCGGGCAACCTGACGACCGAGCACGAGGCCAAGCTGCGCGAGATGTGGGCCGCCTTCTTCGACTGCTGCGACCGCGCCTCGGGCACGGCGACCAAGGGCGTCGGCGTGGCCGGGGAGCTCGACAATGCCGAGGTCAGCAAGGACGTGACGAAGAGTGGCATTCCGCAGGACGATGCGGCAAAGGAGGACGCAAAGAAGGCAATGGAGGAGGCGGGCATGCGGTGAGTGGTGCACTCACGCAGGCATGGCCTGCGAGCGCTCTGCTCACTTCCTGGCCGCAGCGACCTGCTCGCTACATACGGCTCCGATGCGCTCAAGGACACTTTCTGGCGCTTCTGTAAGGGCGACAATCCCGACACGACCCTCGTGAGTTGCGCACTCTCCACACATGCTTCCTCTTTCTCATGCTCACTCCGCCTCGCAGCTGCGCTTCCTCCGCGCTCGCAAGGTGCGTTCCTCTTTCGCACGCTTTGTATCTGTCGCTCACGCCCTTGTGCTCGCAGTGGGAAGTCCCGCGCGCCATGGCCATGCTCGCGACATGTCTCAAGTGGCGTCTCGATTCCGGCGTCGAAGAGCTGGCCGAGAAGGGCGACGAAGGCAACAGCAAGGACATTCCAAAGTGGTACGAGCAGAACAGTGCCGCCAAGATCTACCTGCGCGGCTGCAACGCCCTGGAGCAGCCCGTCTGCTACGTGCATCTCAAAAAACACTTCACCAACGGCCAGCCGAGTGAGTCTTGAGCAAGCACTTTTTGCGACCGACGAGGTAGCAGGGCTGATCGGAGCGCGACGCAACGCAGCGGCGACGATGCAGAAGTACATCATTGCGCAGATGGAGACGTGGCGCCTCTTCATGGTGCCGCCGCAGGACAAGGTCACCATCGTGTTCGACCTTGCCGGCTTTGGACTGCGCAACATGGACTTTGGCAGTCTCTTCTGTAAGTCTCGCATCAGAGCGCCTTGCTTTCGCGTGCTCACACAGTCTGGACACGCTGGACAGACGTCGTCAAGTGTCTCGAGGCATACTATCCCGAGTCGCTCGGCACTATGTTCATTCATCGCGGCCCCTGGATGTGAGGCGGTCGCGCAAAACGTCTGTGCTTGGGGCTGCCGCGCTGATCCACCTTCGCGCAGCTTCTTCCAAGCCTGGAAGGTCGTCAAGGGTCTCCTCGATCCCGTCGTGCGCAGCAAGGTTGCCATCACGCAGAAGCTCGAGGAAGTGACGCCCAATGTTCCAGCCGACGTGCGTGTTGCCCATGTGCCAGCGTCTGCTCTCGCACTTCCGCTTTGCTGACACTCTTCCCCTTCAGCGCCTCGTCGAGCCCATCGGCGGCGACGTCGTCAATCTCTTCGAGTGGATCGCCCCTGAAGCCGGCGAGAACGACAAGCTGCTCGACACCGCCACTCGGGAGCGTCTGATGGGCATCCACAGCAAGCTGGCGGCCGAGTACGAGCGCATCACGCGCCAGTGGACCTCTGCACGCGGCTCGGCGCAGGATGCAGAGCTGACCGAACAGCGGCGCATCCTCGTCAAGAAGCTTCGCGTCAGTCAGTTTGGCCTCGAGCCGTACACTCGCGGCGTCACAATTCATCATCGCAACGGCACGCTCGTCGCTGGCAACCCGGGCATCGTGCGCTGGGAGGTACGTTGCCCCCTTCCTCTGCCTTGTGGCCAGGCAACAGCAGCTTACACTGTCTGGCACGCACTTCACAGTACGTGCTCAAGAACGGCGAGCACATCCGTCAAATCGTGGGCCGCACAGCGGCGCAAAAGTCCCTCTGGCGCGAGCTTTCGGAGATCTCGCAGGGCTCCAGTGTCGACGAGGCCGAGGCCAAGACGGCACGGTTGATTGAGAGCGGCGAGTGGGGACCGTGGGATACGTGCGACGATCTGGGAGAGGAGGTTATTACTCGAGCACAGTCGTACGCCAGGCAGCCAAGCGCTGCCGCCTTGCCTCCGACATCGAACGGCGTCCAACCTGAGGCAGCCCCGGCAGCGGCGCCGCAGCCCGTCGCTCAACCCAACGGCGACTCGCACGCACATGCAGAGGCGCCCATCGTCTCTGGCCAGCCTGCCGCTGAGCCGGACGCCGCTGCGGCTGCACCTGCGCCGGCGGCCAAGCCGCTCACCAACGGTCATCCTGCGTCCGCACCCACGCAAGCGCCCGCAACGGCTCAGACGAGGACCTCAGCGCCCGCCAAGAAGAGCTCCGCGCCAGCTCCCGTCTCGGACTACTCCTCCGAGAAGGCTGGAGGCGGTGGAGGCGGTCTGTTTGGCTCCATCAAGCGTCTTTCTCGTCGCGCTTGACCTGTATCATCTCTCCCCTCGCTGCTCTGCCCCGTCGCTTCTCCGATACCTGTCTCCTACTCTATTCCAGACGAATGCTACGTATGCCATTCCTCGCGTGACTGCTGCGTTCTGTGGTGACTCTTTGATCGCGCTCAGCCGCGCACGGCAGCGGCGATCTGCTTTGCGGCATCTGCGAGGTCGGTGGCGATGTAGTCGGGTGTGCCGTAGATGCCCGAGGCGCCGTGGAACTCCTCGTTGGTGACCCAGACGACCTTGAAGCTGTGCGAATCGATCATCAGCCACAGTGCGCCGCGAAAGAGCAGGAGACTCAGACGCACCCGGCCTTCTGTGCCGCAAACGTGTCCTACGCGCGGAGCCTGGGTCAGCCGCCACAACGACAGACCTCTGTCGCAACACTCACCCAGCTGTGTGTGGCGACGAAGAACTTCTGAATGTCCTTCTCTCCTCGCTCGATGCGCTCCAGCACCGCCTGGTAGACGCGTGGATCGGGCTTTGCGATCTGCACCTCATCGCAGCTGAATACGCCTACGCCCTTCAGTGCCTCCTTGCCCGACACGCCGTGGTCTCTGACGCTGCCCTTGCCCAGCGCGCCCTCGAAGAGTGCCGTCGAGAGCTCGCGACTGCCATTCGAGGCGCCCCACGCCTCGATGCCCTCTGCTTCGTACGTCGCAAATGCCTGCTGCATCGTTGGCCGCGGAGTGAGACGCTTGAGGGAGCCCATCATGCGCTGAACGACCTCTTCGAAGCCCGAAGCCTCGACCGACGTGGCGGGCTGGCGCCCTGCGCCACGCTTGGCGGAGGCGAGATCGCTGCTGCTGCTTTCGGGCGCCAGGCCGGCCTGCAAGAGCACTCGCGGCAGCGTCGAGGCAAAGACCGTGCCGATGGGCTGGTAGGCGCCGTGCATGCTGATGAAGCCAAAGTCGCGCTGTGCGGCATGGTACCAGTCCTGTGCGTGTCACGAGCCGTGAGCATGCAGCAGTTGCAGCGCCAGCAAACACGGCAAACACACGCACCATGACGACGAGCTCGGCGAAGATGTGGGGCGCAGCGGCGAGCTGGGCGCTGAAGATGCTCTGCAGCTCCTTGATGGGCTCGTCGAGGGAGAAGAGGGTGCCGAGCACGTCGTGCACGACGACGGCGCGCGGAGCCATGGCTGCAGGTGTGTGTGCGAGGGTGAGCGGAAGGAGTGGGTAAGAGGCAAGGAGTGCAGCGTGGTGTGAAGCGTGGGTTGAGCGCCTGAAGCCTCGGCGAGCCGGCAATGGCGGTCGGGCCGGTCACCGAGCCCGCAGTGCGGGGTAAGGATGCGTCACGTGCTGGCATGCGTGGGAGCAGCACGACGGCCTCGCCTCGCTCCTCGGCATGCGGCGCCTGCCTCTGCCGCGGCACAACGGCTCGTCCGCGGCATGAATGCTTGCCGCAGCTTGCATCTTGATCGCTGCCGCCGGCAGGGGTGTGACGTGAGACGGCGACGGCATGGCAGGACAGCGGCGGTGAGGCGAGGACGCAGACGGCAGGCCGCAGCGCCCGCGGTGCCGGCGCGGCATGCATGGCGGGCAGCGCGAGCTCGGGTGCGCCTGCGTCCGCGGATGATGCGCGGCGGCCTCGGACCGGCGCCCGCGGATGCGCTCGCTTTTGCGCTGCTGCGCTCGCCGTCTGGCCTCACTCGACGTTGGCGAGGCCACGCAGAGACGCTGCGCTGACGCAGGTGCTGAGCTAGATGCGCCCTCCGCGGCATCGGTGCCTGCGTCCCAGGGGCATGCTGACATGAGAGATCCGCGGTGGCTTCGCGGCGCCACGTTGCGCAAATCGCGATTGCACGCGGTGCGCTTCCTTCGCAGGCGTGCCGAGCCGCCGGCAACACATGCATGGCTGCGGCATTGCGCAGCTCGACTGCGCACCCCGACGTCGAGCTCGACGCTATAAGAGTCCTCTGCTGCTCCGTGCACCGACCGCTCTCCCCACCAACACCCAAGCCGCAAGCACACCATGCGCGTCCTCATCAGCGGCGCCGGCATTGCCGGCCCCACGCTCGCCTGGCACCTGGCCAAGGCCGGCATGCAGGTGACCGTCGTCGAGAAGCGCACGCGCTCGCAGGCGCAGACGGGGCAGAACATCGACGTCAACGGCACGGCGCTGCGTGTGCTCAAGGAGATGGGCCTCTTCGCCGAGCTGCGCCGCCTCAACACCACCGAGCGCGGCACGCACTTTGTCGACCGGCACGGCACGCCGTACGCCGCCTTTCCCGTCGAGGGCATCAGCATGACGAGCGAGCACGAGATTCTGCGCGGCGACCTGGCGCAGATCCTCATGGACAGCACCATGCAGCACGAGCGCATCGAGTATCTCTTCGAGACGGCCGTGCAGGACGTGCTCGCCAACGACGAGCAGGCCGTCGAGGTGCAGCTGAGCAACGGCGACACGCGCCGCGTCGAGCTGCTCGTCGCCGCCGACGGCCAGTGGTCTCGCACGCGGCGCGCCGTCTTTCCCGCAGACGCCGTGTCGACGAACGACAAGGGCGCCTTCTTCGCTTACTGGACCGCGCCGCGCAGCGCCAGCGACGACGAGTGGTGGCGCATCTTCACGGCGCTGCCCAACCGCGTCGCCATGGTGCGCCCTGACCCCTACGGCACTCTCCGCGTCTGTCTCTCCTTCTTCCCGCGCACCGACGCGCAGCGCGCAGAGTGGCAGACGGCCTCTCGTGCTGGACCCGAGGCGCAGCAAGAGCTGGTGCGCCGCCAATTCGCAGATGCAGGCTGGGAGGTGCCGCGGCTGCTCGACACCATCAAGGATGCGCCCGACTTCTACATGCAGAAGTGCGAACAGATCAAGCTGCGGCACTGGAGCGTCGGCCGCGTCGTGGCGCTCGGCGACGCCGCCTATGCGCCGACGCCGCTCACTGGCATGGGTGCGCCGCTGAGCATCCTCGGCGCTCGTGTGCTCGCTGGCGAGCTCAGCAAGCTGGCGCCCGACGAGCACCCGGCGCGCGCCCTCGAGGCCTACGAGCAGGTCTACCGCCCCTTCGTCGAGGAGACGCAGGCGCTCCCTTCTTTCGTCCCCGGCATCGTGCACCCGCAGTCGGCCTGGCGTCTCTGGCTGCTGCAGACGGCTCTCAGCATCGGCGCTCGCATCGTCAGTCTCTCGTTTGTCAAGAGCCGCGTCAACCGCGATCCCGAGGTCGAGGACTTCAAGCTGCCCGAGTACGACGCCTTCCCGCGCGTCGCCGACGCTTCGCCGGTCAAGGCCTGACGGCGCAGCAGACGACCCGATGCCCACTTCACGACACGCGCCCCGAGCTATCCATCATACCACCTCTCTCGCATCGCCTCGTCATACCGCTTCTCAGCTTCTGTCGGGGCGCAGCTCGCGCTACCCTGCTACGAGGGCCGTCATCTGTAGAAATCTGATTCTTCACTGTGCCGCAGAAGGGAGTCGATCGTGGAGGCTGGCAGTACGGTGCGAGACGAGGGAAGACGAGGATCAGAAAGACTTGCTGAGGAGTCGGGAGAGTGATGCCGAGGAAGGGAGCCTGACGTGGATGATGCCGCACGAGATCGGCAGGGCGCTAGATGAGCGCATTGACGGCGTCGATGTCATCGAGGTACGCGCTGATGGTGCAGTGTCGATATCCGCCCGGAAAGCCACGCTCGCGCAAGTCGAGGTACCTTCAGCGCAGCGTCAGGAGTTGAACAACAAGAAGCTGAGCATCTGCTCTCACCTGTCAAGTCGATTGTTCTCCAGCTGCTCGGCGTACATCTGATCCACGCCCGCCTCGCGCAGCATCTTCGTCACCGACCACCAGCCGCGCTCGAAGCGTTCGCGCGGAGCTGTGCTGGCAGACTCGTCAGCGTCGAGCGGTGCGAGAAGGTAGTGTTGTACACACTGCGGCTGCGGTATGCGATGCGTGGTGCTCGTGCTACTGCTGGTCCGCCGTTGACTTGCCAAAGCGGAGTCGGGCCCTCGATGCCCTCTGCGAGCGCGACTGCGGACATCTCGGAGACGAGCTCTTGCCACGAGAGATCGCTAGAAGCACGGCTGTGCTCGGGCGCTCGGTTGCGATGCGAGCTTGAGGTGGCGATTGCGGTCTGATGCGCAGCAGACGTGGTATGCGAGCGACTTGGGCCCGCGAGAAGGCTCTGCAGGCATGCGGCCTCAGACGTGTCGTCGAAGTCCGTCGTGTGGACGCTGCCGCCCGACTCGTGGGTGTTGCCGCGAGCATGGTAGTGCGAGAAGGAGGCGAAGTGCGCATGGTGACGCGCAGCTTCGCCATCGGAGCGCCAGACGACGTGCTCTGCCTTGCTAGATGCTGCATGCTGCTCTGCGCCGTCGGAGGCGCCGTCATGCTGCGCGCCGGCGCTGGCGAGCTCCTCGACGGCGAACTCGAGCTCCTCGCCAGGCTCGAGAGTGAAGACCTGGACCGAGCGAATGGAGCTTTCCGATGCTCGCGCTCCGTCGCTGCGGGCGGGCTCAATCGCCGGCGCGAGAGCACGCTGCGTCGCGCTGCTGCTCTCGGCGAGATCGGGAGAGGGCTGCTCGGCGCGAGCGACGACGCGCACGGTGAGCTTGATGGTGCGCTGCGGCATGGTTGCAGACCAGAGGCGTGTATCAGAGAGCCGGATGACGATGGTGGTGGTGAGAGGAGAGCTGCGACAAGGCTCGGGGCAGGCCTCGTCTTGCTGCATCGGGCAAGGCAGAGCGCGTCACCCGGGCCGCGCTGCTGCGGGACGCCACCACGTCACCCGAAACAGGCTGCTCGCCCAGCTCCCTGCCTTCTGACTTGGCTGGCCGGCGCACTGCGGCACAAGACGAACATCTCTGCTCGTCTTGATCGCTCTCTAAAGGTGCCACCACTCTCACACCCTATCTCATCCGGCGCTGCTCCGGACGCCGTTGAGTCGCCGTCCCGTGATTGACGGCGGCGGCCCCTGAGTACCTCGCGCGCATCATCCCGCTGATGCGCGCCGCTCGGAAGACTATCCCGCTCTCTTGCCTCCTCATCATCATCCGCAAGAGTAGCCACGATCGGCGCACAGGTCAACGAGTAAAGCTAGCACCTGCCATGATCCAAGCGTCGGTTTGGGGTGCGCCGGCCTTCGCGCGCGCAGTCATGTCTCTTCCGTCACATCTTTGTCGCTCACCTTCGCAATTCTCCTACGGATCTGTAGTTGACAGCTCACTGCGCTTTGTGAAGGAACTCTCAATCAATTGGAAGCACCGAATCGAGCTTCAGGGTGCAGCAACGCAGCTGCGAGCAGGCAGTGATGGACGAGGCCGAAAGCAGCGTGTCCGCGCACGTGCACGCGCACCGCGCCGCCTCTCGCACCGCCATACTTAAGTGCCCGTGCCTGCCTCGCTGCTTCGCTTCTCACCACCACCTCCCGTCATCTCGCCACTGCCGCCTCACTGCATCAATTCGTCTTCATCTCACTGTGCGTATCTTGGCTGTGGCATTACTGGCTGCAGTGCTGACGCGCGCTCGACACGCATACAGCCCACCCGAGGCAGGCCTCGCCTCCTCGCCGTCGTCGTCCAGCTCATCCCCGAGCTCTTCGCCATCGACGAGGCAAGACCAGCCACAGCTCTCTTCAAGCACAGCTCGAGCTCATCGACGGCCCTTGGTGAGTCCGCGTGCTGAAGCTTCTGGCGCAGACAGCCACGCTGACACGTCCCGCCTTGCAGCGACCGGCTCGCGCGCGCAACTCGCCCTTCTACACTTCGTCTAGCCTCAGGCACTCAGGTGAGCCGAGGTCTACATCAGTGGCAGAGAAGTCCCAATGCTCACCTTGCTCCTCGCAGTCATCATGGTGTCCGAGGGCTACGCCAACTTCCTGTGCGTCGCGGCCCGCACGCTCGACTTCCTGGACCTCTTCGACGTCGACCTCGAGAAGATGACGGCCGTCTTCAAGGGCGACCCTGCGCGTGTCTACTTCCCCGCCGACGTCCTCAAGGATGCGGCGAGCTACGAGCAGGGCTACGAGCGCCTCATGGCCGCTCTTCCCGTGCTCGCTGCTGGATGGCAGCGCGAGGGCGACGACGTGGCTTCCGGCTGGAGGGAGGACGAGGGCCTCTCTGACCTGGTGCTTCTGGAGATGAGCAAGGGCATGAGTGGGTTCTTCCACTTCTACATCTGAGCGGCACACGTCTGACAGCTTTGCTCGTCCAGACCAGGTAGCTTCGGAGGGCTGCGTCTACTGCGCGAGCGCCAGAAAGGGCAGCACGGAAGTCCGCTTCCTCGGAGCGACGCACATTTCGTTCGCGCTCCTCAGCCACGACGTACAGGCCGGCAACAACAACAATCCGGCGACTGCTCTGCTCCGCCTTCAGCCCTATGGCTACAAAGTTTACCTCTTCCCGGTCGCGTGGGCCATGAACACGCCCGACAACAAGGAGGAGGTGCGCTCGGCGATCCTGCACTACCTCAACGTCCTGTGCCTCAGCACGATCAACGGACTCAACATGCGCGTCATGGAGCGCACTCCGGTGCCGCACCCGGACGGTCCGATCACGCGCGACGTCATCCAGAAGGTGAGTGGCTCGAGCACTGAGCCTCACAGAGCATCGCTGACCAAGCTGCGGGCCACAGGTCATGGACTACGCCTCGACGGCGGGTGGAGCTAGCAACCTCAACTGCGACAAGCTGCGCGAGGGCTTCAACATGACTGAGAAGTGGCGCTCTACGCGCGAGAGCACGCCTCCGTGGACATGCCCTACTGACGACGAGCTGCGCGACATCGTCGCGGGCCGCAAGTATGCCTCGTGGACGGCGGGCCACACCTCGCCCTTCGGCGGCGGTCTGGCGGCTCTGATGACGCCGGCAGCTACGCGCCGCAGCGGCGTCATGCCCAAGGGCGGCATCAAGGGCGACTTCTGAGCTCATCAGCGGCCGCGTCGAGCCTCGACTTCGCACACACGCTTCACGATCCTGACTTCTCCTCTGCATCTGTCACCTCTACTCTGTCTCACACGTCGCCCATCGCGCGCTCCATACACCTCTGTAGTGGGCGCCACACACGATCAGCCCCGTCTTCTCGCGCAATGAAGCTCTTGATTCACTCTTGACGGCGGGTCCTATGATGGGTAGAAGTACAGATGGATGGGGTAGCACGCGGGCCGGGGGAATCAACTAGAGCTCGAGACGGGACAGAGACGAAGGGAATGTGAAGCGCCGACTGCCGGTGAAGGCGCGTGCGCGATCGAGGGGAAGAGGTGACGGGCGATGGGAAGAGGGGGGCGGCGCGCGCAAAGGAGAGGTGGTCCCGAGGGGTCGTAAGAGTCGAAGACAGGTCTGGTTGGAGGCGCATGCGACCCCTGACGCTGTTCAGTGCGGCGCACACGGCTGCCGTGCTTGAGCGACGGCCATCACATGATGTCGCGCAAGCTCGTCGTCAAGATGATGTCCGTGACGCTCGCCTGCAATTCAATCTCATCAGCCCGCGCTCTTTCCCTTCGCAGCACGCGGCCGCAACGCACCATGACAATCTTGAGCAGGCCCGTATCTGTAGCGTTTGTAAAGGAGGGGTAGATCTCCTTGGTCTGCGAGCGGTTGAGGCGGCAGAAGCGGTGCTTGAAGTAGTTGCGCGCGGCGTTGAAGTCCTGGTCGTCGCCGTCATAGTCGGGAAAGTACGATTTGACGCTCGAGTACATGATCTTGGTGCGGAAGATGTCGACCTTGTTGAGGAAGAGAATCTGCGGCGCGGCGAGGCATCAGTGCTGAGCAGCGAGAGAGCCTGTCAAGGCAGCGCACCATGGACGTCCGCGCAAACCACTGCGGGCCGAGCTGTCAGCACGTGTCGCCTCCGATTGGCCACACACGCACCTTTGAGTTGAAGATGGAGTCGCACAGCATCAGCGACTCTTGCATCTGGTTGCTGTCGCGGTCCTCGACGAGGCAGGCATCGTAGCCCGACAGCGCCACGAGGAACAGCACAGCCGTGACGCCCTCGAAGCAGTGCACCCACTTCTTGCGCTCCGAGCGCTGGCGTGAAGAAGCACGTCAGTGCTGCTGTCGCTCGTTCCCTCGCGTGCACTGCGCTCACCTGTCCTCCGACATCGAGGATTCTGCGCAGGCGACGTGAGCATCTAGGAACGGCAGGCAGCACGCTAGAGACTGCGCGACTCACCTGTACATGCGGTCATCGATCGGGAACGTGGTCTCAATGATGCCCGTCGTCTTGTTGCGACACCGCAGGATGTCAGAGTCCGTCGGCACGTAGCGCGGGTCGAAGAAGCGGTCCAGGTCGGCAAAGAAGCTGCGCAGCGCTCATGAGCCTCACGCCTAGCAAGGCCGCGCTCTGGAGCAGCCACTCACTAGGTCAGACTGCAGCGAGAGCGCAGAGCCACAGAGTGTCAGCGCGGCCAGCCGAGCGCCTCCGGGCCTATCTCATCCCGCATGCCTCCAGCGGCGACTCACTTTTCCGGCACGGCAGCCTCGTTGCCTCTCCGATGCGCCGCCTGCACGCCGGCGTCGTTCCAGAGCAGGCGCAGCGGCTCAAAGTAGTTTGCCGGGAACGGCTCCTCCTCGGCGATGTCTGGATATGCGATGAAGAGCGAGAGAAACGTCTGTTTCGATGCGTCGTCGTCCACTCGCTCTCAGCACTGCGATGCTTAACGACCGCTGCCACAATGCACAACTCACGGCGTACTCGGGATGCTCAAAGTGCCCGCCCCACTCCTCGATGGCGTCCAGCAGCAGCTTCATGCCCTGCACCAGGTTCACAAAGACGAGGCGCCGGTAGTGCTCGCGCTCGGCGGCGGTGAATGGGATGTGATGAATGAGGCGCATGGACTGGGGGCAGCGCGGATAAACTGAGCATGTGGCATCGCGGTGCAACTTTTGAGCTGCTGCTCCACTCACCTTGAGAATGGTCGACTTGCCGCTCTCGCCCGCACCTGACAGCAGCATGCCTTGAGCGCTGCGCATCCCCTGCGGCGGGGCCCAGCGCGACTCACCGAGCAGCAGCAGCTTCACCTCCTTGACCATGCGCTTCTCGTCGTCGCGCAGCAGCCGGTCGAGCTGGCGCGACTTGAGCGACTCGGGCGAGCCGTCGTTGCCCGCGCTGTTGGAGAGGCAGTTGCCCATCGGTGCGCGGCAGCAGAGGTGCGAGGCTTCGGGGTGAGATGCTGAGGAGGGACTCGGAGAGAGGTGCGCGGAGTGCGCAGGCGAGGAGGCGGGCGTGAGGAGAGGGCGAGAGGGATCAGGCAGGCTTGGAGGGCTTGCGTGTGAGAGGAAGGTGTCTTGCGAGGGCGGCGGGCGGTCGGTGGTGGGGTCGTCGGCGGTGGTGGTGGTGCAGAGGAGAGAGGGTCAGCAGCTCGTCAGGTCCGAGAGTGCTGCTGTATCCGATGCAGCGGCTGAGCAGCCATCAGCGCTCGGCAGCGAAGAGCCGCGCCGATGCGCCAGAGGGCGCAGCGCAGCCACAGGAGCAGATGCGAGGCTGCAGCAGCGTCCCTCGGCAGCTCTCAGATGCAGCGTCAGCACAGGCGCCGCACAAGCGGTCATCAGCTGGTGCTGCTCGGATCCGAGGGCGCGCGAGGGATGGATCATGCGCAAGCAGCAGGCACGCAACGGCAGCAAGCGGGCAGCAGGCAGGAGAGGAGCGGCGAGCGTCATCGAGGCCGCGGCCGGGCGGCTGTCATGCACGCCTTGCTGCCACAGCGAGGGCGAGAGATGCGCCCGGTCGTAGAGCAGCAGCCGTGCCCTCTGCCGCGCCTTGCTCAGCTGCGCCCTCGACGCCTCAAGCAACACAAAGACGCTCGCGCTCGAGCGAGCGGCGCGTGAACGCAGCCAAACGGGCCGGGCGCCGCGGGCAAGCACAAGGGTGCAGCGCCAGTTCCGACGCAGGCGCTGCGCCCGGACCAGCAACGGCCGCGGCGGCCCGCCTCTCCTCCCGTGTGCCGCTCGCCCTTCGCGACACCTCATCTTTGCCCGCTTCCCTCCTTCTCTCGACTCCGCCACAGCCGCCTGTGGATTTCCTTCGGCGCTCACACGTGCTGGACGTGCATCCGGCGGGATGCCTGCTGCTGCGGCCTTGTTCTCCATCAGCAGCGCAGCAGAGCGCAGCTCTTGCACGCCCCCTCTCTCGCCGCGCGGGCCTTCGCTCTTGTGCTTGTTTTGGCCTGCTGCTCCGCCCGATTAGCGCCGTTCCGCCGCCGGCCAATTTAGACGCCTCGTGGCGGGCCGCGATGCTCTTTCGCCGCACAGGCCGCCGCGTGCGTGCCTTCCCTCGCCAAGCAGCGCCGGCCGGCCAGGCACACATCGCTCGGCCTCGGTGAGGCGCTCGTCATCAGAGGGGCTTGCCGTGCAGAGAGGAGAGAGCGCTGGTCAGGACGGTTCGAAAAGCGAGCAAGCCGGAAGGAGCGCGGCTCCCACCACCTTGTGCGCCTCATCAACGAGGACAAGGGCGCGTGTCACGCTTCCATCATGCGCATGACTTGGCTTCATTTTCAAAGCCGTGCCGGCGCGGCGGTAGGATCGTGACGAGGGTGACATGGGAACGGAGACAGAGTCGGGGCGTAAAGGCTACAGGTGCAGATGCACAGGGCGAGGGTATAGACGCCGAGGGGGAGGGAAGTCAGGTGCCGGGTCCCGCAGCGTCAAGCGAGGCCGCTCGCGGCTCCGACATGCCATGCGCTCGCCGACGGCCAGCGTGACGCTTGCTAGTCGCCGCTACGCCGACACCACCGAGAGCGGAGGAAGGTGCGTGACGAGCGGAGCATGGGGATGAGCTGATGCCGAGCCAGCGCCGACGGCAGTCGCGGCCGCGGCAGATGGAGCGCTCTGCTGGCAGTCATGCGCGGCGTAGGACGCCTGCTGCTCGACGTCGAGCTCGAGCTCGAGCGCAGCTGCTGTGGGACGTGAACCGTCCTCGCCGTCGCGACGCTGGCGCGAAGCAGTCAGTGGCGACTGAGGTGCCTTGTCGCAAGGGTGCGTGGCAGCGTCGGGAGCTGCGAAGGCCCAGAGATGAGCTTGAGGACAACGGCGTTGAGAAGCGAGACTCACTGCCGGCCTCGCATTCCCAGAGCGTCACACCGTTGGCTGGTCCTTCCTCGAGAACGACGCCCGATGCTTCGCTCTCTGAGATGAGCAGTGCAGGTTCGGGGGGCGCAAAGTCGGTGCGGCACAGCGGGCAGACGGAGCGCTTGAGCAGCCAGCGATCGATGCACTCGGCGTGAACTGTGAGAATGCGCTCAGCGACGAGCGACCGTTCGCTCACAACAGCAAGACCCACACTTGTGCTTCGCAGGACAAGGCAGGACGCGCAACTGGCAAGGAAAATTGAGCAAGGGCAGCTGGACGGCGAGAGCGCTGGTCACTCACCTCATCATCAAGCACAAACGCCTCGACGCAGATCGAGCACTGCTGGTGCGACCATGCGCGAGCGCGCGGGACATGGCGAAGGGAGATGGGGCGTGACCGCATCGGCGGCTCAGCTCGAGATGAGAGCGCATGTACGGCAGCGTTGGCCTCGATGTCGTCGGCTCGCGTATACTCGGGCTCCGAGCTAGCGCCCTGCGCCGCGGGCGACGATGAGCATCGCACGAGTGCGAGATTGCCGGCAGCATAGTCATCCAGCGGCGTCGTTCCGCTGCTATTGCGGCCGCTCTCGAGATCGACGCCGGAAGCCATGCTGGGGTCCCACTTGATGACGGGGAACGCATCTAGTGACGTGTCAGCCGTGGTCGAGAGCTAGCCGCACTCTTCACTCACCAATCTCATCCTGCTTCAGTCCCTGCGACCGCCCACGACGGCTCATACCAGCGCCGCTGCCGTGCGCACGGGGAGCAGCCACAGCATGACGAGCGGAGCGCCAGAGGACGTAGAGCTGCACGCCGATGACGACCATGACGGCGACGGTGACGCAGACGGCCACGATGATGGTGGCGAACGAGCCCTCGCTCTGCTTCTTGGGAGCGGTGCTGGCTGCTGGCATGCCCACGAGAGGAGGCGTGATAGGCTCGAAGCTAGGTAGAGCTTCCATGGCGGCGAGCGAGGGGTGAAGAGGCAGAGCTTGGGGTGCGGAAGCGAGGTGCGGACGAGCGGCGAGGACAGCACCGGAGCTGGCATTTTATGGCTCTGCCGACGCTCGCAGCGTGACACCTCGCCTGCGCTCTGCATCTTGGTGCATGTCGCAGCTTCGAACGCAGACGAGCGAGATGGTAGCACCTCGGCAGCGAGCAGGGCGGCGGGTTGCGGCTGCGCAGTCGAGATGCGTGCGGGCATGAAAGCACGGGCCCGAGATGCTCTCTGCTTGCCGCCGCTCTCGGCTGCGCTCCCACGCTCTGCGGCCGTGAGCATCTCGCTACGTCCTCGGCTGCGTTGCAACGTCGCTTTGCAGTAAGAGCCGAGCTGTGGCTGCGGCATGCTGTGCTCGTCGGCTTCGGTGCCCCTTGTGCACGAACGCGCTCATGCGTCGGCGGCAGGCGCTCTCCTTGCTCGGAGCCGAGCTGCTGTACCGCTTCTGTGGACAGACGAGAGAGCGCCAGACGCTCGTCGGCCACGCTTTCAAACCGGCACTGCTGTCGCTGCGCCCGCAGGCGCGAGGCACAATCTTCGTCTTGCTGCGGCACAGGGACGACAGGGGGCCGATGAGGGCCTGGGCACCGCGCGCGCCACGCCGCCACACGCTGGGAGCAGGGCAGCGAGGACGTCGTCGTCGTTCGACTTTCGCTACGGCCGCAGCTGCGCAACCGAGCCGCGACGGAGCGAGAGGGCTCGAGCGAACGCACGCCCACGTTGCTGTTGCTCGGCTGCGGCAACGAGGTGTCTTGAGCCCGCAGCGTGAGGTGGCGAGCGCGTTGCTGGCAACACGTGACATGGCCAAGTATTCTACCGGCCGAAGCCGGCCGCCGCGTGGCGCCCGCCCCAAAAGGCGAGCTGTGCAGCACATGAGCGGTGTGCTGCACGAGCTGCACATGCGTTGGCGCGAGAGCTGCGGAGGGCGGGCTGTGCGGAGAGAGAGCGGCATGAGCGCTGGAGGCTTCGACTGCGGGGAAGGGCACCCGGGCAGTGTGCGAGCGCAGTGACGTCGCGCGCAGGCCAGCAGCGACGCCGCGCCGCAACGGCCCCAGCAGGCTCCACGGCAGCAGCGGCCGAGGCCGGACGGTTGGCCCGCGGCGCCACGGCGCGCAGATCCGACATGCGCCGCTGCGAGGCTCTGCTGCTTTGGTGCAGGCGAGGCAACACCGCGAGACCGCCGCAGAGGAGGGGAGAGACGCGAGAGCGCGAGAGAGATGCTGCCGCACCGCAGGGGCTCACCCGCGCCCAGAACGAGGGCGTCGACGCCTCGTGGTGCTCTGTGCCCCTGTGCTGTACCCCTCTCATTTGATGGCGCTCTGTTTGGGTGCGGAGGAGGCGAGTGCATGAGCGCAGCGCCAGCACCAGCGATCAGGGCACTCCGGCGGCAGACCGCATGCGCAGATGCAGAGATGGCGCGCCTGCAGCCGGCGGAGCGGGCCGGCGAGCGGTGCAGCAGCTGTGCTGCGCAGGTGCGGAGAGAGGAGCGCGTCCGCGGCGAGGCAGGCACTTGGCCCCTTCCCCGCAAAAGTCGCTGCTCGCTTTGCCCGCGCCGCGCCGCGCCGCGCCCCAGCAACGGCTGCTGGATGCAGCCAGCGCCGGCGCCGCGTCGCCCACCACGCCTCGCTCTGCTGCTGCGCTGCGCTGCGTGCTGTGTCTCGGCCGCCTCTCTCTCTGCCAAGCGCTGCCAGCCAGTCTCCTCTCCTCCCTCCATCTCTCTTCCTCCTCCATCACAGCCACTCGCCCATCCACGTCTTCCTGCGCTGCTGCTGCGCACCGTCTTCGTCGCCGTCTCTGCTCGCACACGCCGCACACCCCACATCTCGCACCTGCAGTGCCACTTGCCGCTGCTGCTTCATCATCCACCGCGTCGCCTGACTTTCTGTGGCCACGATGCGCATCGACGAGGATGACCTGGCCTGGGACCTGCCCAGCATGGCGCCCGCGGCGTCGCCGTACAGCGCCGGCGCCGGCGGCGTGACGTCGCACAGCGTGCACCCCGGCGCGCTCTCGTCGATCCGTGAGGACGCGTCTGCCCTCTCCTCGCACAACTCCTCGCTGCGCCACTCGCACATGGCCGCGCGCCCCTCGGCCTACCCGGCCTACCCCATGGGTGCCTTCTCTGCGCCCTCGGCCTTCCTCGCCGGCGGCTTTGGCGCCGACTTGCGCCACGGCAACACGCGCTCGTCGCCCGAGGACGAGACGAGCCCGGGCACCGACGGCCTCGATGGCGCCGACGCCGATGGCATTGACATGGACGAGGGCATGGACAATGGCGCAGAGGAGGGCGCCGAGGAGGTGCAGCGCCTCAAGCCGCACAAGTGCGACACGTGCGGCGCCTGCTTTGCTCGGTGAGTGGCATGTCGTGCGCCACTGCTGCGCGCCCCAGTCATGCGTCGACCGACGCTCATCCCGCGTTCCACCCGCAGCAAAGTCCACCTGCAACGGCACGCCCTGCGCCACGTCACCTCAAAGCCATACAGCTGCGAGCTCTGCGGCAAGGTGCGCACTGATCGTCGAGCGTGGTGCTACTTGCGTCTCACGCCGTGCTTGTCTCTCTGCAGTGCTTCTCTCGCCAAGACTCGCTCGTCCGTCACAACCGCCTGCTGCACGAGAAGGACGGCCGCGGCCGCGTCGGCAGCAACGGCAAGCCGCTGCCGCCAGCCTCGTTCCGCAACCGGTCACCGAAAGGTGAGTCTGCCGTGACGACCACTGCGAGCATGGGCTGACCGTACAACAGCCTGCCTGCGGTGCTCGCAGCTCAAGACGCGCTGTGACGGCAACGAGCCATGTGCACGCTGCGTGTCGCACAACCTCGGCGGTCCAGGCGAGTGCACCTACCGTCCCGGAGCCGACCGCCGCAGCCGTAGCTCGTCGTCGCGCGGCGTCAGTGCGCCGCGTCCCGAGCGGCGCCAGAGCATGCTGGACGGCGTCGAGAGCGACGACGAGGGTGCAGAAGAGAAGCCTGCTCGTGGCCGTCCGCTTTCGCGCTTCGATGCCGGCAGTGCTTCGAGCAACGGCAGCGCCAGCAACGCCTCGGTCGGCGAGCGTGGCACGAGCATCTACAGTGCCAGCTACGACGATGGACGCGTGCTCGCTGCGGCGCCTCTCAGCCCTGCGTCGTGGCAGTCGGCGTCGAGCATTGGCGCGCACTTCTCTAGCATGCACCTGCAGCAGTCTGGCTCGCAGCAGTCGCACAACGGTGCACCGGGCCTGCTACACCAGCGCTCGCACTCGCAGCAGGCCATGCCGACGGACATGAGCGGCCACCACCACCACGATGCCAATCACGCGTTCATCCAGGCACAACACACCAACCAAGCCGCCTTCCTTGGCCTTTCGCTGCCGCAGCAGCTCGACATCGGTGGCACAAACGGCTTCGGCGCCAACACCGCCAGCAACAACTTCTTCCTGCAGCAGCATCAACAGCAACAGCAGCCGCAGCCGCAGCCGCAGCAGCAGCAGCAGCAGACGGCGCCGCAGCAACAGTCGACGCAGCCGACGCAGCAGCAACAGCAGTCACCATACCCCGCTTCGTTTGCGCAAGCCGTTCCGCCAGCACAGCAGACGAGCGACTTCTTCGGCGTTGCACCCAGCACGGCGCCGTTGCATCTGAGCTTCTCGGCGCCGGCGCACACGGCCGTCGGCTTCTCAGTGCCGCCAGCCAACGGGCATACCGACCTGGGCCACTCGAATGGCACCAGCGGCGGCGACGATGCCTTTGCGACGAACCTGCATCTCGAGTTTGACTGGTCCGACTACTTGCCTGGCTTCCCTCTGGCGGGCACGCAGCAGAACAACGGCCCCACGGTGTCGCGGCCACGTGTCGACGGCCTCGGCTTCCAGCCTTCGACGGCGCCAAGCGGCCCGATGAAGAACAATCCCTTCGGCGGGAGCATGTTCCTGGCGCCCGCGGCGCGCGGCATGGATCTGGGCGACCTCGAAGCAGCCATGAACGCCGACTCGCCGCTCGCTTCGCACGACGTGAACAGCCACTCCACCACGGCCGCGGCGTTCGGCCAGCAGAATGTCTCGGAATCGCTGGCGAGCCTCGCACACCAACTTGGCTCGGCAGACGGTCACTACTGGGACACGACGTCGTTCACCACGCGGTGAAGACGTGTTCCTCACCGTCGCTCATCATCCCTACCCTCGCGTGCTCGCAAAGCCCGCTGCCACAATGTCCTACCCTCTACTCTACCCTTTCGCTCCTCACTTGCTCTTTCTTGCCTCTCTTACGTCGTCGCCGTTCATCGCGGGCCGCATCATCTTCACTGCCGGCCCCTCCCGCCGACCCAGCGTCGATTTTCCGATGCTGTCCCACCGCGCGCCCCCACCCTCCCGTCTGCCGCAATCTCTGCCCCTGTAATACTACCGCTCCTACCTCAATCGAACTGTCTCTGAACATGCCTCTCCTCGCTGTCTCTCCGTCTCGCATCGTCTGCCTCACATTCAAGCGAGCTGCACTGCATTTGTATTGCAAGCCGAGACGCCTGACGGCTCACTTCTCGGGCGCCGCAGCCGACAATAGTGTGTGCAGCGCCGAGACTACGTCCTGCACATCCTCTTGCGGCAGGTGTTCCTTGACGACGGCCGGGATGCGCGTCTCAGCGTTGCTGCGCCGCATGTCGCGCTTCTCGATCGTGCGCCCCGCCTTCTTGTCGGCATCGGCCAAGGCCAGACGCAGCAGACGCAGCAGCTCGGCCACCTCGTCTGCCAGAGGGAAGACGCCAATGCGACGCACTCGGCTGCTGCACGCCGTGAGCGCAGCGGCGAGCAGGTACCAGTCGTGGCGTCCGTCGACGGGCTTCAAGGCCGCACACTGCAGCATGCGGTCGATGAGGACGACCTGGTGCGTAGCACGTTCGATGTGATAGACGCTGCGCCTGTCCGACTGCTGCGAGAAGTTTGGCTCGCTCTGCTCTGCAGCCGCAGCCTCAATCTCCTCCTCGCTTGCGCGTGTCGCGGCAACCTTCAGTTGCCCAACAGCTTGCAGTTGCGCGAGCCACTCGGGCGACCGCTGCGGCGCGCCAGGCAGGGCGGCGCTGGCGGCCAGCTGCGCCGGCTCGCCTTCCAGCAACTTGCGCAGCAGCCCGCTCTGAATGGCGCGAAGCCAATTTGGGTGGTAGAGCTCGCTCTCGTCGCCATTGAGAATGCGACTCAGCACGACTTCGGGGCACCGGCGCTTCAGCGCTTGCAGAGCTGAAGAGAGCAGTCGGGGTCAGTGCTGACGCATCGCTGCGCGCCAGTGGCGCCGCGCTGGCGGGTGCCTGCGACTCACCGAGGGCGTTGTACTTCTCCTGCGGCAGAGGCTGGAGGCGCAGAGCGCGGCACTCTGCCCAGAGCTCAAAGAGCAGCGCAAAGTCCTCGCCCGAGCGCGCCACGTGCAGCGCCTTGCCGAAGGGAGCAAGGGACGGCGGCGAGGCGCCGCGCTCGCTCCACTGCGCCATGGCGGTGCGGAACTCCTGCACGTGCTTGGCGAATGCCTCGGCGTGCGAGAGCTTCTCGGTGATGCTGAAGGCGCCCGAAGAGGGCTGCGATGCGGCAGGGGCCTGCTCTGCAGCTGCGTCTGCACTGCTGACGCCGCCAAAGAGATCGTCGAGCTCCTCCTCCATCTCCTCCTCCTCCTGCGGCTGCCGCGACCGTCTTGACCCGCCTGCCTTCTCTGCGAGCGCACGACGATGCGAGTCAGCCTCGGCGCCGGCGCTCGCTCGCCGCAGCAGCAACTCACTGGCCAGCGGAGCGCTGGGGCGCATGGCCGTGTGCAGCGGCGCGACATGCGGCGGCAGGCGCGAGCCGGACGGGGCAGCAGCGGCCTGCGGCTGCGCTGCGGCATGTGCGGCCACACCGCTGCGCGCGGCGCCGCGGAGCAGCAGCTGGCGGCGGGCGAGGGTGCGCAGCATGGTTGGGAGTTGACGGCGAGAAGGAGCGAGGCGGAAGCGGAGAGCGCGCGGCGAGAAGGAGGCAAGTGCCAGAGCGGCGGAGCGTGGGAGCAGCATCCTCGAGGCGTCACGTGGCCGGCACGTCCAACGCGCCGTGCATCGCCGACCAACACACGCCGACAGCGCAAATTGCCTGGCGCCCACTGCGGCGGCTCGGCATGTGCGGCCGCAGCACAGAGGTCGCTGAGCTGCTGGCTCGAGTGTGCAGGCTTGTCTGACCAGCCTGCTCCGCCTCCACTGTGCCCGGCAGGCGCAGAAGCGTGCGCACCGCCCGCTGGCCGTCGGGTGGAGGTTAGAAGTTGGGCAGCAGCAGCGAGCGCCGCCGTGCGAGAACGGCGCGGCGCGTGGCGCGACGCGCGCGAAGCTCGGCCGGGCGCTGCGTTGGGCGCAGGCGCAGGCGCAGGCCACGCCTGGCAGCGCGGCCAGCGGCGCGGCAGGCCAGCAGCGGCAGGCCGGCCGCCGCGCCAGGCGCCGCGTGTGATGATGCCACAGCCGCAGCCCTCGCCCTGCCTTCCTCTCCACCCCGTCCCTCCACCGCCCGTCACTGCCTCTGCCTCCTACTCTCGTCCACCTCTCGCGTCCGTGGCCTCGTCAGCTCCTCTTGCCCACCGGCCTGCCGTCGCCGCCCGCGCTCTGCCGCGTCTCGCAAGCCGTCCGTCGCCGACGCGCGCCTGAGCAGCCCCTCGACCCGCTGTCACTGCACCGCGTCCCGCACTCGAGATGGCGCCCGCTCCCGTGAGTAGTCGCCTCGCTGCGCATCGTGGCTGCAGTGCTCGCCGCTGCTCGTCGTCGCGCGCGTGCGCGATGGCACCTCGTCGTCGCCGCGGCGCGCGCGTCGCGTGCTGCTCCTGCCCGCGCGCCGCCGCCGCGCCAGGGTCTCGCGGACAGGCGCCGCCGTGCTGCCCGTCGCCGGTGCACAGAGGCATCCGCCGCGAGCCGTGCTGGATGCTCGCCACGACATTTTCGGCCGTGTGCACCATGCTCACGCCGCCTCCTCTCTGCAGCAGCCGGCCGCCCGTCGCGTCCCTGCGGCGCGCACCACGCGCTCCACCACCGCCGGCGGCCGCGCCACGCGCGCCAACACGGCCGGTGCCGCCGCCGCTGGATCGTCGTCCGTCGCCGAGGGCAAGCAGGCCGTGCTCGACGGCAAGGCGGCCGCGTCGAGCACCGGCGACGAGGCCACGACGCGCGGCGGCGCAGGCGTGCTCGGCACGCGCAAGCGGCCGGCACTTGGTGACCTGACCAACGCAAAGGCCTCGAGAGCCAATGTCGCCGGTCCGAGCGGCGCATCGGGTCTCGAGAAGCGCGCGGCGACTACGAGCGGCACGACACTCAAGGAGGCCGGCACGAGCCGAGTTCGTGCGGCACCGGCAGCAGCATCGACCACAGCAACGACCAAGGTCCGCGCCGCCACGTCTGCCTCTGCCAGCTCTCGCACCGCAGCAGGCGTCCGTGCCGGCACCGTCAAGCGTGAGCCCATCGACGACACGCGCGTCACGAAACGCCCGCGCGTCGACGTGGCTGCGGCGGCGCACCAGGCGCACCTGCTGGCTCAGCAGGCCAGCGTGCCCGTCGGCCACGCCCAGGCAAAAGACGAGGGATGGGAGGACCTCGACGCCGAAGATGCAGACGACCCGCTCATGGTCGCCGAGTACGTCAACGAGATCTTCGTGTACATGAAGCAGCTCGAGGTGAGTGGATGCAGAGGCGGTGGTGCACCGTAGTGTCGCGTCGGGCGTGCGTCGTGTCGGATGCAGCATCGTCCGTGAGCATCGTCGCCAACACGGTCGATCATCCTCGCCGTGGTTGCTTTGCCCGCCGTCGCCGTCGAGCGCATCGCGTCGGGTCGCGTCGCTTCGTCGTCACCATCGCTGACCACGTCTCGCGCAGGCCGACTACATGCCAAGCCCCGACTACATGGCGTCGCAGCGCGAGGTCGACTGGCAGATGCGCGGCGTGCTCGTCGACTGGCTGATCGACATCCACGGCAAATTCCGTCTCCTGCCCGAGACTCTCTTCCTGACGCTCAACATCGTCGACCGCTTCCTCTCGCGCCGCATCATCAGCCTGGCCAAGCTGCAGCTCGTCGGCCTCACCGCCATGTTCGTGGCGGCCAAGTACGAGGAGGTGCTGTGCCCCAGCATCGGCAACTTCATCTACATTGCCGAGGGCGGCTACACCGACGAGGAGATCCTGCGTGCCGAGCGCTACATGCTCAAGATCCTCAACTTCAACCTCAGCTACGCCAACCCGATGAATTTCCTGCGCCGCATCTCCAAGGCGGACAACTACGACATCCAGACGCGCACCGTGGCGAAGTACTTGTGCGTATGCGTGGAGAGCGCACCTGCGTGCTGCAGCGTCGCTGACCGTGCCTATGCAGCATGGAGATCTCGCTCGTCGACCACCGCCTGCTGGACCACTCGCCGTCGCTGATCGCCGCCGCCTCTGCGTGGCTGGCGCGCAAGTGTCTCGAGCGTGGCGAGTGGAACGCCACGCTGGTGCACTACTCTTCGTACTCGCAGGCCGAGCTCCTCGGCACCGCCGAGCTCATGCTCGACTACTGCCTGCGCCCCTGCGTCCACACGGCCTTCTTCAAGAAGTACAGCAGCAAGAAGTTTATGCGTGCGAGCACGTACGTGTCGAACTGGGCGCGCACCAAGTACCCCACGGAGGCCGACGAGGCGCAGCCGCTCTGCAGCGCCAATCCCGACGGCGACGATGATGTCTGCATCATCGACCTCTACGCCGACGAGGGCGTGGAGCGCCCCGCCGGCGGCAGCCAGTGGGGCGCGCAGAGTCGAGGCAACACGGCAAGCGTGGCCAGCCGCGCAAACACGCCGCTCCTCGACTGCAGCCGTGACTTTGACCAGGAGGCGGAGCTCGACGACGACGAGTGAGGCGCACGGTCACGCCAACGCTTTGGAGCTCATCGCCGTCGCCGTCGTCGGCTGCGAATCATCCCACCCTTTGTCCTCGGCATGCATCCCTCATCTTCCGCGCGCCCGACTGCGCCACTCGCGACGCAAGCGCAAACATCCTCTCTCTCCCCCCCGGTCTCACTTCAGCGCACCCGTCACATCTACACATCTCCTCCCTCCACTCACGTCTCTCGCATACATCCCTTTCTCGTCACTTCGCAGAGCACTGCTCCCTTGAGCCACGCTCTCGCTCTTCGTCTTCCCATCTTTTGCTCCCTTTTTCCTTTCGTCCCCTTCTCGCGCTCGTCTCCCAGCCATCCTCACCCCCCCCCCTGCGAAACCCTCTGCTCTACAGCTCTAACGACCCCCCATATGCGCGCACGCTACCACGCCATGCGATGTACCTCCCACGCACCACCCAGCTGACCGCCGCAATCACATCGTCTCCCGCGAAACAAAGAGGCGGCCTGGCCGAGTCGAGTCTCAGTCTCTGGCTCGTGCGGTGAAGCATGTGCGTCCATTGCGGTAGCAGGCAGAGCAGAGCCGCATTTTCTCAGCCTCCTGCCGCACGCTCTCGCTCCTTCGCGCGCGCCATGTTTCCCGTAGTAGACGCAGCATGGCGCTGCGCCGCCGCACAATCGAAGGCGTGTTTCCCCTCCTGCACGCCCTCAAGCCCCCTTTGTGCACTCTCTTGCTCTCCGGCCCCGCAGCCTCTTATTGCCCCTTGCGCTGCTTCTCCGCCACCTTGATCTGCGTGCGCTTGTCGCCCCACAGACCCTTGCCGAGCGCGCGACGACGCTGGCGCATCATGTGCGTGTACATCACGTACAGGCCTGTGTTTGCGCGAGGAGGAAGAGAGAAGCAGGCAGGGTCAGCATGAGCTCCCGTGCAAGTGTATCCGCACAGCAAATAGACCCTTGCCAACGCCCTCTCGTCCAAGCAGCAGCATCCACTCACCGGGCCACCAGGCGACGTAAAGCGCGAGGAAGACGTAGTCGACGGGACCCCACACTGCTCCCTTCTGCCAGAACCAGTTCTTGGGCAGCGTCGAAAACATGAGCTGCGCCTCTGAGCCAGCGCCGAGCGGGTAGAGGATGTAGAAGAGCGTGTAGCTGTGCGCGCAAGGTTCAGACTGAGCAGAGCAGAGAGGGGGGCATGGGAGTGCGCGACTCACCGGGCCCAAAGCAATCCCTCGCCCTCACTGCCCATCAGGCCTCCGGCGTAGAAGGGGTAGCGCACACACTCGGTGATGCTCCATGCGAGAATCATGCTGGCGTAGAAGGGGCTCGAGGCGGCGGCATCGAAGCGCTCCGAGACGCCCCAGACGAGGAGGAGGCGCGAGAAGACCTGGATCGTCGTCGTGGGCACGGGACTGCGCACGAGGCCCGTGGCGGCGTGGAGGATCTCGAGCACGGCGAGCGACTGGGTAAAGGCGACGAGGCCGCCGACGTGGGCGTGCAGCGTGCTGCTGCGCTGCAGCAGCACACGCAGCGGCGCCGGCAGCCTGGCGGCCAGGCGCGGCGTGTAGACGGCGCCGCGTAGGGGCCGCAGCCGCTCGAGGACGCGCTCGGCGAAGCGGGTGGGCGCGGCGGCCGTCTGCGGGCCCAGAAGCAGGTGCTTGAGCGTGACGCTGAGGACGAGGGCCCAGAGGAAGAAGGAGACGAGGTTGTAGGCGATGAGCCAGAGCCGCGCCGCCGGCGACGGGCCGGTAGGCGCGGCGCGCTTCTTGGAGGCCGTCGAGGGCGCCATGGATGCTGAGGTGGGAGGAGGTGGTGGGGCGGAAGCGCAGGCGAAGGCCAGCGGCGCACGGAGCAGCAGCACGTCGCACCGTCGCCGAGCCGGCACTCGGGCGCCGTGGGGCGCACGTGACGCGCGGCGCGCGAGCGATTGCCCCGCACCGATGAGCTGCTTCCCCCGCGCCTACTCCACCTCGCCTCGCCCCCGCATCGCATCCGCCTCCGCTGTCGCACGAAGCGGATGAAGCAGAGCTGCAGCGCCAAGCATGCGGCAAGAGTCGGTGTGCGGCAGGCAGAGGTGCGCGGCCGAGACGCAAATGCGGAGCCGGCCGCGGCGGTGGGCGCGCGGAGCCGCTGAGCGGCAGCGGCGGCGGACGCGACGCGTCGTTGTCGTCATCCAACGGCTCGCGCGGCGGCGCGCGGGGCGATCTCATGGTGCAGCGCATCAGGCAGCCGTTGGGCCCGCAGAGCCGGTACGCTTGCTTGCTCAGCGGACGTCGAGCACATGTCAGGTACATCAACACTGCCCGTGCGCGGTGAGGCGCGCCTCAGCATCCGTGCGCTAGGCACAAATGCCTCCCTCCGCCCGCAGCAGCCTGCACGCAACGGCCAAGCTGTCCCCCGCTTCCGGACCGGAGGCGCGGGTGCAGCTGCGGCTCGCGTCTTGCGCGAAGACCTCATAAGTCCTGCTCTTGCCAGCCTGGCCCACCCTCTCCGCAGCCAGTGTTTCTCTCTCTCTCTCCTTCTCGTCTTCTCCCCTTCTCTTCTCTTCGCCTCTTCGCCTCTTGCGTCTTCTCAGCATCTTCGCATCCCTCTTAGCCTTGCATTCGACTCGCCCACTCTTTCTACGCTCTGCTGCCTATCCAACTATCCACCCACACTCCTTCAACGCCCAAGCCGTCGCTCCAAGGCCCCTCGTCGTCGACGCGTCAGCAGCCCCCTCGCCGCTCCAGCATGGCGCCCAGCGACTTTGTTGCGGCCCACGTGCCCGTCGCTCCTGCACCAGCGGTGACTGCCGCTCACTCGAGCAGCGCCTCGTCGCAGTGGCAAGTCGACGCACTCAACAGTGCACTGAGCGTGCCCTTGGCCGTCCGCCGCGCCGCCGCCGCAGCCAAGCATCTCGTCGCCTCCGAGGTCTCCGTCGTCGCCGGCGCGGCCGAAGAGTCACTGCGCTGCGTCCAGAGCGCCGCCATGGCTGCTGTGCTCGACGCGAGCCAGCTGACGCTGCCCGCCCCTGCCTTTCTTCAAGCTTCACGTCCGGCGCCCGAGCCTCCGATTCGCCGCAGCAGCATGCCGCAAGCGACGAGGCTGCGCATCACTCTGACGGCCTACGATGACTCCGCTGTGCCACTCTCTACCATCGCTATTCCTCTCACGTCTCTTCCGCGTCAATCCTGGCCCGAGAAAGTTGAGCATCGTCAAGCCATGCCTGCCTCTTGCGGTCCGCACGCAAGTTTCGGCTGGGACGGTCGCCCGATCGCCGATCGTCGCTGTCTCTTTCCTGCGCCCATCGACAGTCGCGGCAGAGGCATGGACGGCGGTCGATGCTGGAGTCGTCGTGGACTCGGCTACGAAGTCGTTCGAGCCACGCCGATGCGCTTTGCAGACTCGCGCGGACGCAGCACGACTCGAACGACGCAGCAAGATGAGGCGAGCAGAGGCGCTCCTCTGCAACGCTGCAATGCCTCGACGAGTTCCTTCGAGCCCATGCCCAACCCGCACGAGGCCAAGCCCATCGCCATCGCGGTGCCTTCAGTCGTCGTCACTGCACCTTCCGAGAGCGTCGTGCCTTATTCGCCTCGCACGCACGCCCGTCGCTCGCTGCGCACCTCTCGCCTGTCAGCCGCAGTGGGCAGCAACAGCAGCAACGCCAGCTTCCTGCCGGCCGGCACGGTGGCTTGTGTGGAGATGTGTCCAAGCGCAGGCACACAGCCTCGCATGAAGCTCTCCATCCGCTCCACGTCGCCCACGCCTGCCGTGCAGGCCGAAGTGGCGCGTGTGGCGGCCGTGTTTGATGCGACGCCCTCGCCGACGCTGTCGCAGCTACCTGCTGTCTTCTCCTCAGACGAGGAGGACAGCAGCCTGGATGCCTCTTCTGAGCACGATGCAGACGACGACGACAGCGAGTCGGAACTGCCCTACACGCGCCAACGCATGCTCTCTACCTCCTCGGACGCAACAGCCTCCTCGTCGGCCTCCTCATCGGAGGACTCTGAGCTGGAGACCGAGTCCGACGACACGGACCTCTCCTCCGAGTACGACTCCTCGGACGACGACGAGGGGCGTCCGCACAAGACGCTCAAGATCAGCAGTGGCGGCGAGAAGAATCGCAAACGCAAGGGCTACGGCTCTTCGTCTCCGCCTTACTCTGCGCTCCGTCGTCTTGCCGCCGCCGCAGCCGCCGGGCGCAGAGGCGCCGTGTGCAGTCTGCCCGAGGCGCTCGACCAGGCGTGGCAAGCGCCGCTGCTGATGCCGCTCGCGCCGTCCGAGAAGCGCGCACGCACGCCCTTCGCCCTCGGAGACGAGAGCGACGCCGACTCGTCCGCTGACGCAGAGGGCGAGACGGACGAAGAGACGCAGCCGCCGGGCGCCTTCTTCTTCCATGCTCGCCGCAATGCTCTGCGCATCGCCTGATTCGACCTCCACTTGTATCATCACGCCTCGCTCCCTTCTGTACTCTATCCTCTGTAGCACCACGCTCCTCCCTCTGTAGCACCACGCTCCTCCCTCTGTAGCACCACGCTCCTTCCTCTGTAGCACCACGCTCCTCCCTCTGTAGCACCACTTGTTCGCAAATGTAGCATTGCTCTGTAGCACGTCTAGGCCAGGCACGAGGTGAAGCCCTGCAGGCTCTCGATGACGACTTGCTGCTGTTGTGCGCTCGTGTCTGGGCTCCACGTAGTCGGCGCAAAGCCCGAGATGGAGTTTGAGCAGCCGTGCTTCTTGTCGAGCACGTTGCGCTCCACGGGCAGCTTGCAGCCACTGGCAGCTGATGTATCGCCACACGTGCAGGCATCGGGACTGCGCTGCACGTTGCCGAGCAGACGCGAGACGATCCAGCGTGAGTTGGAGGCTGTGCAGCCGCGCTGCGGCGCAGAGGGAAAGTTGACGTTCAGGCCGGTGCCGCGAGGAAGGGGGGGCGAGCTCTTGAGCAATTGCCCAAGCAGCTGTACGGCTTGAGCCGCGTAGATGTTCGCCTGACGTGCATCACATCAGCCGGCACTGCAGTGTGTCTCTCGGTTCCACACTCACCTGGTCCTCGGGTCCGCCGAGCTCGGTGTACGGCCGCACAGTGGCGTTCTGTGCGCTGAGCGCAATGCCGGGCACGCCCTGGGCCACGGCATACTTTGCTGCGCCGTACTGCAGGGGCATGCGATCAGCGACACGTGAATGGCAACGCGCTTTGTTTGACTCACGGTGCCCGAGACGAGGTAGGCGAGGCCGAGATTGCTACCTATCGGCCGTGCGAGAATGTGAGCAAGTGTTGTGCTGCAGCCGTGTGCGAAGCACCTACCCTGGTTCGGGCCAGTCAGCACCACGTCGGGCGGTCCACCAAAGTATCGCGGCGCCAGCACGTCGAGGCCGTACTTGATCGACGAGGCGGGTGTGCTGTTGATGTACCTGCGTCGCTCACACACGATGAGCGCGGGTGCGACCGCTGCGCTTCGTGCCGCACGCACCAAATGTGGTCGTCTGCCGCGTCGTGGCCCTCGGCAGGCGCGCCCTTTGGCACGAGGCCGAACTCGCCCTCGCGCTCCAGCGGCGTGGGGTCCTTCATCGTCTGGTGAGCGCACCAAGTCAGCCGGTATTCGGTGCGCCCCGCAGAAGCGACGCACGCCATCCGTGCCAGACTGCTGCTGCACCGGCGCAGCGATGAGGGCCTCGTGCCCAGCCGCGCGCACGGCGGCGTACAGCGCTCTGATGTCTGTGAGGTGTGAGCGCAGTAGAGCAGCGCACCACGGCAGACGCACTGGCTGTGCCGAAGCCGTCATCGTTGCCGATGAGCACGCGTGCGCCGCGAGTGAAGGGCAGCAGCGCAAGGCTGAGGCCCGTGAGGGCAAGAGAGACCCGCATGGCGAGGTTTGTGCGGCGGTGCGTGATTAGAGCCGTGCGTGAGCGCTCAAGCGTGCGTTTGAGGCCGTAGCTGAGGCTGGGTCGCGAATGGGCTCGCGGCGGCTGCGCTTGAGGTCGTAGTCGAGAGGCAAGGCTCAGGGGCCGCGAGGCGCGCCAGCGGCGCACGGTGCGCAGCCAGCGCGAGGCGTTCCCACGCCCGCCGAGCGCACGTTGCGCAGCGCCATCCAACCTCGCTCGCTTTGCGCTCGTCAGCTTGCACAGACACAAGAGCAGCACAGCACACGCAGAACAATAACCGGTGCATCAGGTGATATTCAGAGCGAGGCAAGAGAGGTAGTGTGCGGCGGAGGTTGGTGGGGCGTACGCAACCCGTCTCCGTATCTGGTCCTCCCTCGCATCCCTTCCTCGCACCAGATGAGACTCGCGCTGACGAAGAGGGGCAGAGGCGGAAGGGTCGCACTGTTCGCCTGGCGTAACAGACATTCCTCCCGTCCTCGGACAAACAAGGGTCCGATGCCGCAGTCGGCGACATCCTGACGACTTGTTTGTGAGGATGGCAAGGCATGCCTCTCACGCGAGATGAGAAGTGCGATCTTCTGCAGCTCAACCTCGCTGGGACGAGAATGACGCCGTCGAAAGAAGCATGAAGAAGACTGAGCAGACGAGGGTCAGCAGATGTGCTGGACTGGACAGGCACCGCCAGCTGCACTCACGCGAACGTAGGGCGAAGAAGCACACGGCCACCGCCGAGAGGCCGAGCGCGTGAAGACGCGAGCGCAAGCTGCGGAAGTAGAACACCCCCGCGGAGGGGTAGCGGACGACGACGCGTCGTCCTCTACCCCTTCGCAAGCGCCTTCTACTTGCACACTCTACGCACGACCTTCCACGCGACGTGCGCCTCGAGTGCGCTCGGAGCTGTCGATGTAGAGTAGAGTCGTCGAGCGGCTTGCGGTCGAGACCGGCGAGGTAGACGACGAGCAGCAGACGACCTTGACAAGCATCTGCTTGCCGGCCATGACGATCTGTTCGTCCCTTCTCGCAGCGACGGCTGCAGCTGCAAGATACCAGACAAACTCCGCGCTGAGCAAGATCAGATCTACCGCAGCACTCAAGCAGGACAGTCGACGTTACCCTGCTGTAGTACTGCGCTGATCTTGTCTTGACCTGCGCGTCATTCGTCGAGATCTTGCGCCACTGCACCGGCGATGAAGCGTAGATGTGCACGTCGTCATCGAAGGCGACCGAGTGGCTGGCCTTAGCTCAACGGCGGGAGCGCCAGACGCGTGACGCCCCCGCGGCGTAGCTCGAGGAGGACAGAGACCCGGTTGCCGTCATGAGCGACGCTGGCCTGAGGAGCGCGACGATGAGGTCGAAGAACGGATCATTGCGCAGCATCTCCCGAGCGAGCCCCCTCTGCATCTATCGGGACCTGCGAACGACGGCGAAGCTGCCGCCGCTGGACTCGATGGATGAAGAGAGGATGTGCTCGGCGGAGGTCGCGAGTGATCGCGCTTCTTGACGATGCCGTAAACGATGAGGCAAAGCTCCTTGCGAAGACCGAGAGCGACGAGACCGGCGAGTGGCTGCCGGTCAGAGCTGATGCCGTCGAGCCGGGTGACGATCGCGGCGCGCATGACTCCACGTGAGCTTCGACTTCACATACAGTGTGTCTCTGCCAGTGCACTCCAATGCACTGCTCGGGAGAGCAGCACATTGCAGAGCACGGACAAAGAAGAGGCTGCATGTCAGAGCGAAGCAAGCGAGGAGTCATGCGCGACACCGTCGGCTGTGACGCAGCTGCTCTGTGGTGATGATCCGAAGAGCCGGCGATGAGAGGCGGATGCGAGACGCTGGCGATGAAGGGACGACGATGCGCTGACGAAGGTGCTGTCGACTGTGCGGCTGCACTGAGATGACTCGGGTGGCTGCGATAGTGGCGCGAAGCGTTGGTGTGTGCAGCAACGCTCCGCCGCTGCTTTCGCAACACCCTCAATCTTTCAGCGCAGCGGCGCATTCGAGACTGGCGGTGATGATGCGCGGAGAAGCCGTGCTGGTGATGCGAGGCGAGTCGGCGATGCTTCACTGCGGGTATGAAGTCAGCTGCGATGCCGAGCGATGTGCGATGCGGTATGGGCCGTACTCACCAGACTGCGACGGCCCGAGCTGCGTCGCGACCCGAGCGCGCTGTCGACGACGCGAAGTGGAGAAGGAGTGAGGCTTGGGGGGAAGGAGTAGAAGATGCTTGAGGTCGAAGGATGAAGGGGAGGTGTGCGATGCGTGGGCGGCATTGCGAAAGAGGCCCGGCGAGGAAGCGCAGGCGAGCAGCCGCAGAAGTGAAAGTGAGGGGCAATGGCGGGGGTGGCGGCTGAGATGGGTGTGATGAAGCGTGCAGTAGAAGCAGAAGCAAGAAGTGCGATGAGAGAGGTCCGAAGAGGGCAAGCGAGAGAGCGAGGCGCGAAGAAAGAGAGTGGTGGTGAGGAAGCAAGGACGGCGGCGAAGCGGGCGCGCTGAGGAGCCCTTCGGCCGCTCGCAGCGCAGCCATCTATGCCTGCGCCGTCTGCACCTGGGCGCTGTGCTGCTCCAGGTGCAGGCGAACGCCGCACCGGCGTCTCGATCGCTCTGCTGCGGCTGTGCCTCAACATGCTGCAGCTGTGTTGGGGCAGGCAGGCAACGAGCGGTGCAAGGCCGAGGCCCGACTCTCAAAGCGGGAACACGAGCGATACGGCGCAGCAGAGCACGCCGCATGATGGGCAGCTGCGCCCTGCGCCTGATGACGATGACGCGCTCTAGGGGCTCGCGCCGCCATCGCCAATGAACGAGCTTGCCGCAGCAGCGGCACGTGAGGAGGAGGAGGCCGGGGGACAAGGCATCTTGCTGCATGGCTCGAGCAGTGGCTGTGTGCTGCCTCTCGAGCTGAACGGTGTCGCTGCGAGCGGCTCACGAGGCTGCGGCTGGTGCAAGGCGCGTGCATGTGCTCTTGCGAAGGTGCGCGGCAAAGGCCGATGTCGCTTCTGAACTGCATGCTGGCGGCCCCGCCGTGCAGCATCGCAGCGCACACACACGGCGGCAAGCACAAGCAAGCATGCTGCACGCTCGACTGGGCGTCGGAGGAGCGTTGCATCAGCAACGCATTCCGGCGCTCGCACAAGACGGCAGCACCACACCGACCGAAGCCTTGTGGGCACGCAGAAGGCCGCAGGCGCTCGTAAGGCGTGGCAACGCCGGCGAGGTGGCAATGCCTTTGGCGCGCTGCCCCACGACCGTCTGTCTCTCGCCTGTCCATCGTCGTCTGCACACCTGACGCCTTGACGAAAAGGGTACATTTCGCAGCAGCAAGCACCGGGGGGGGGAATGCAGTGGACGGAAAGCGTTCGAGCAGGCGAACTGCGCCGCGCGCCGATGGGCCACACGCGCCGCGCTGGCACGTCTCGCACGTTCTAGCTCGAGTTTGCGCTGACTGCAAGGCGCTTGAGATGATCGATGAACACTGAGGAGGAGGCGGCGCATCAGCTCGAGCTCTGCGCTCGTCGCACGCCCTTCGCTGCGCACCCTGCAGCGAGACGTCGTCCGTCATGGCGATGGCGCCCGTCGCGGCGCCGTAGGTGTTGGCGGTCATGTGCGTCGTGCTGGGGTTGACCTTGGAGAGGAGGAAGCGTGCCTGGCTGCCGTTCTGGTCGCAGACAATGTAGCGCGGCACGGGGAAGCGGTCGACGAGCAGGTCCTGCGCGTCCGTCTTTGGCGCCTCGAGGACCTCCTTGAAGTTCTCGTAGCCCTCCTGCTCGTGGTAGCCGGCCTTGCGCCACTCGGCCATCGTCGAGCCGTGGAAGATGAGAATGTGGAAGAACGTGTCGAGCAGCAGCACGACGTCGGGCCGGATCGAGACCGAGTCGAGCAGCACGGGCTGAGGCGGCGTGTCGAACGTGTAGGACATGAGCGTCGGCTGAATCATGATGAGACTGTTGTTGACGTCCTCCGAGTTGAGGATGTGCCTGCAGCGGGGAAAGGGTGGGCGTCGGCCTCTGCACAGCGCTGCGGCACGTCCTGCCTCGGCATGCCAGCCTCTGCTGCACCGCTGTCCATGCACCACTCTTGCGTTGCGCCGCCGAGCGCTCAAGCAATGCTTAGCGTCGCAGCCGCGCCCACGTCCTGCATCTCTTTCGCGCACCCAGCCTCCCCTGCAGCGCCCTGACACGTGCGGACCTCGCCGCGTCGCTTGCCTGCTGCCCAGCATCGCCTTGCCGCCCGGCATGCCGCCGCTTCAGCAGCCGCTCCGGCGGCGCTGTCATCGCTCGACACTTTGAGCGCCTGCTTGCGCTTGCCACGCTCTCGCCCGCACTGCGCTCGCCTGCCCCCCGCATTCTCGCTGTGGCCGCAATTGTGGCCCAAGACGACGCACCTGTAGAAGGCCGTCTCGTCGGGCGAGTTGTTGAACACCTGCAGGAACTGGCTGCGGCGCAGGTGGAACATGAACTGCGGGTATATGCTGAAGCCCTCTGCGAGGCGGAAGCTCGTCGGGTCGTCCTTGCGGTAGTCTGCAAACTTCTGGCAGAGGCGAATGAGCATGCGGTCGAGCCAGCGCAGCACGTCGGGCGAGTCGTCGATCTCGGCCTTGAAGACGGCAATGCGTGCCATGAGCACGGCGGCGGCCTCTTGGTCGAACGAGGCCGAGATCTGCGCCGAGCCTCCCTCGGCAAAGTTGCGCGCAATCGTCGTGACGCGCAGCCGGTACTGGCCCGAGGCGTGCTGGTAGTGCGTGACGAACTGGATGAGGCCGCGCGAGCCGGGCTGCAGAGGCTGCCCGGCAGGCGTCACGACCTCAAAGTACACGCCGAGTGCCGTGCGAGGGTCGATGGAGCAAATCTTCCACGCAGACGTGCCGCCCAGACCAATCTCCGTCTCGCCGACCGAGCCGCTCTTCTTGTTGGCCGACGTGGCGTGCCCGATGAGGCCGCTGACCTTGAGCTCCTTGGTGCACTGTGGGGCAACGGAAGCGTCAGCACATGCAGCGCATTCGCGCGGCAACGCCGAGTGGGCCTGTCGTATGCCAAGCTTGGGCCCTCCTTGTGCCGGCGGCCTGTCAACCCACCTGCACGTCGAGCGTCGCATTGAAGCCCATGTTGAGGTCGCCCTTCTCGTCCTTCTCAAAGATCTTGCCAAACGACTGCTTGAAGATGCCCATCTGGAAGCTGTCGGCGAGGATCATGTGGCCGTTTGTCCAGTTGGCGAGGCTCTTCATCTCCAGCAGGCCGACCTGGTCGAGGCAGCCGGCAAAGACATCGATCGAGTGGCCGTTGTTGGCCGCACGCTTGGCCATGGCCTCGTAGAACTTGACGGCGCGCTTGAAGAAGCGCACATTGTCCTTGTCGATGTCGTGGTGCGAGCGGATGCGCTCGCGCAGCTCCGTCGAGACGACGTTTCCGGGACCCTCGGTGGCGGGCCCGCCGCAGAAGAGCATGACGCGCGCGCCCGTGTTGGGGAACGTCGTCTCGAGAATGCCCATGGCGACGGAGAGGGCCGTGCCGGTGCAGCGCTGCGCGCGCTTGTCGTTGGCCACGGGCCACGGGTCCTTTTGCAGTTGCTCGAGGATCGACGTCAGCTGGAACTCGCACTGCGACACGGGCAGCAGGAAGCGGGACGCGCCCTGCTGCCCCGCCGCGCGCTGAGGCTGCTGCTGAGGGTTCGACGGCCCGCCAGGCGCCATGGGACGCGCGCCGGGCGTGAGCGCCAGCATCTGGGAGAAGACAGGGGGGGCGAGAGTCAGCCAGTGTCGCGCCGGCCATGTCAACGCACGCCGCCCCACTCACGTCCTGGATGGCCTTGGGCGCGTACTCCTTGGTGCCGCGGAAGACGTACGACTTGGGGCAGGCGTCGTAGCCGAGCTCGTGCACTTGCGCCTGAGGGGCAAAGCAGGGGCGAGCGTCAGCGGCTGGCCGGCTGCAGCGAGCAGCGCATGGCAGAGCAGTGGGCAACGCGCGGCAGGCGTGAAAGCAGTGGCCCCCTCGGCCAAGGCACGAAGCAGTGCCCTTCGGCAGACGTGAGCAGCAGGCCGCGCGGCAGTCGCCGCCGGTGCGCGCGCCGTCGCTGTGACGCGGCCGCTCCTCGCGCTTCTCTCTCTGCCGAGCCGCCTGGCGCCAGGGCACGCCTCTGCACTGCCTCTGCTGCACTCACCATCGTGCCGTACGTAATGAGGCCCACGAGGGCGTTCTGCGGCAGCAGGCTGAGGCTCAGCACGAGGCTCTCGCGCAGCGCCTTGAGGTCGTCCTCCTCCAGACACGTGTCGACGACGTAGAGAAAGACGGGCGGGATCTGCGCGGGCCGCTGCAGCGTGTACTCGATCGTCGTGTACTTGGGCAGCAGCTCGGCAGGCAGGTTCGTCGACGAAATGTCGCGGTAGTGAGGCGGGAAGGCATTGCGCGACAGACAGAAGGGACAGATCCAGAGCTTGCCGCGCACGTCGATCTGACTGCAGGCGGGCGAAAGGGGTCAGAAGGACGCAGGTGATGGTCGCGTGTGCCGCGGAGATGAAGGAGCACGCCCTCCCTTGCGCTGGCCCCCTCTGAGGTCGCAGGTGACGGCCGCACGTGCCGCCAGCCCGCCTGATGCCCGCGACCAGTGCGCAGAACGAGCAGCGCCTCCGCCCTTGCGCTGGCCCCTCGCTGCCGTCGTCAGCCCACCTGATGCGCCCCCTCGCCATCCTCACCCAGTGCGCCGCTTGCGTCTTTGCCCTGCATGCCCACGCCCTCTCTCTCGCGCGCATGCGCATGCCGACTCACCAGTACGGGTTGAGCACGGCCCTGCAGGGCGCCTTGCACGTCACGGGCTCGTAGAGCACGGGCGGCAGGTCGTCGCGCTCCTTGAGCGGCGTGTAGAGGGCGGCGATGGGCACGACGGTGCGCGTCGCCTCGAGCTTCGTCGCCGGCCACACGTTCCAGCTGAGGCGCACGCCGTCGCGGTCCTCGACGTCGTCGACGTTCATGGCGGGCAAGGTGCGCGGGGGTGGGGTGGATGGATGGATGGCAAGGCGAGAAGCTTGTGTCTGGCGCGCGGCGATGGCCGTGCGCCGCCGCCGTGCCTGGGCGCAAGGGGCACGCGGCGCGCGCTCTCACGCTGCGCCACGTGTCACGGCCGGCGCGGCGCGGCGCGCGCGTGTTGGTGCTGCCTACAGAAGTGCGGGTAATGCACATAGCGATGCGATTACAAGCTGCCCTCGCCTGCCAGCTGGCTCACGGCGCAGGCGGCCCGTGCTCGCGGCGGCGGGCTTCTGCTTGCCGCTGCGCGCCCTCCCGCCCGCCTCGCTGCCCACCTCCACCACCCCGCGTCTCACACGTCTCCACTCGCCTTGCAGCCATGAACGGCGCCCGCACCCCGCCCGCCTCGCTCTCGCCCGAGCGCCAGCGCAGCGCCGAGCGCGACGCCTCGCCCCTCCGCAGCAGCGGCAGCGGCAGCGGCGGCGGCGGCGGCGGCGCGGACGTGCTCGTCGCGCAAGGCGAGGCACTCGTACAGCCCATGCCGCTGCCTCACTCGCCCACGCCCACGCCGCCACTCACCGCCTCGCGCCCGCCGTCCGACATTTCCCTCGCCAGCGACAGCGCCGCGCAGCACGGCGGCGGCGGGCGGCGCCGCGCCTCGCTCACGGCGCGCAACCTCGGGCGCATCCCCGATGCCGACGAGGTGGCGCCGGGCATCCGCCTGCCGGGCAGTCACGACGAAGATGCGCGCCGCAGAGATACGCGCGAGATGGCGCGCCACGACGACGAGGAGCAGCGCGGCAGGAGCGACGGCACGCCGCTGGGAAGCGAGGCGGGCGCCGACGAGGGCGTCGTGGGTCACTATGGAGAGGGTGGTGCGCCCGTTGGTGAGTGCTTGGCTCACGTTGAGGCTGCAGAGGCAATGCTTCAGACGGAGAGCGAGACGAGATGCGCCCTGTTCGAGGGGGGCAGTGCAAGCTCGCGAGAGTGCGAGTGCGAGAGGCTCGCAGGAACGACGCTTTCAAGCCTGCGCGGCTGAGTCGAGTAGTGCCCCCGCCAGTCGGGCGAGGGTTGAAGCGAGGGAGCGAGGGGGGTCATGGCCCTACAAGTCGCCATCGCTGCCTCCTCGTAGAACTTGTAGAGCGAAGCTCTGGCGCCGCGAGTCCGGTGTGCGCCTGCTTGTGACGCTTGGTAGCCGCGCTCCTTTTCCGCGTCCCCCCACTGACGCTCTCCCATCTTGCAGCCGGTGTGCCACCCGAGCTCGATCCGCGCACTTCAAAGTATCGACCTCCCTCGCCCGGCGCCGCCTCCGTCTTCTCCGTCGCCGTGCAGCCTCCGCGCTCGCCCAAAGTCTTTCCCGCCGATCCCACGCCCGACTCGCATCTCGCCTCGCTCGAGTACTCCGATCTCTCCTCGCCGGCACCTGATCTCTCCAGCATGGGCATGGGAGCTAGCATGGGAGGAGGAGGCAGTATTACGCCGGGTGTGGGCGAACTGAGTAGGAGAGGCAGCGCGACGGGAGTCAGTCTGAGTGGAGCGACTACCGGTAGCTCTTCGAGACCGCCTTCGCCTGGCATTGCTCTTCCTCGCGGATCTTCTCCTCCGGGCACTCCCAGTCTGCTCGCTTCGCCGGCCGTGCATGCTCTCGGCTCTTCTTCGAGCCTCGTCGGAGGAGGCGCAGGCGGCGGCGCATCCCACGGCGGCCGAGCACGTTCAACGCTAGCAGCCGTAGTGTCTCAAGCACCAAGTGAATACGGCTCCGTCTCCTCCGAAGGGCACGGCGACAACTACCACCTGTCCTCTCGCGCCGCCTCTTCCGGCGGCGGAGGATTCGCACGCGGCGACGAAGCAAGCATCGAGGCGCTGCGCATGCGCGAGCGCGAAGTGGCAGGAGGCGAAGCTGGTGTTGGCGGTCTAGGAGGGTCACGTCCTCTCTTCGCTCCCGGACTCGTCGCTTTGCGTTCGGGCGAAAGCCGACGCGCTGCAAGCACGGCAGCTACAGTGGGCACCTCGAGTCCTACGCCTTCTCTCGGCGGCGTTTCGGAACTGCCGGACGCGGCGGACAAGGCGGAAAGCAGGCGAGGCAGTTCGGGCAGTGGCGTGACGTTGGCGAGTCTGAGACCGCCGAGCAGAGGAAGTGAGATGGGCCTGGGAGACGGGGAACGCGGCATGAAGAGAGGAGCACTGCTGGTCATCGAGGGACTGGATAGAGCGGGCAAGACAACGCAGGTAGAAAGATTGGTGCAGGAGCTGGACGCCAGACTGGTCAAGTTCCCCGGTGAGTTGAACGCAAAGCAAGCGCTCAGCGAAGTGCCAAGTGGGCGCAGCGATGCACTGGCCAACTCTTGCCCCGAAGTATGCTCGACTGACGATTGGAGCCTGCCTCGCTTCTAGATCGCACCACGCCCATCGGTCGCATGCTCGATTCGTACCTGCAGCAAAAGTCGGAGCTCGATGATCGAGCCGTGCATCTGCTGTTCAGTGCCAATCGCTGGGAACTGGCGTGAGTAGTTGTGACACGCGCTGTTTCCTGCCTTTGGGCAAACCTGCGCACCCCACTGAACTCTTACTTCGCATCGCTCGTCTCGACCATGGCCCTGCTTCTCTCTCTTTCGTCCCGGCAGACCGAGCATCAAGGCCGACCTCGAGGCGGGACAGACTGTCGTGTGCGATCGCTATGCATTCTCTGGCATCGCGTACAGCGTCGCCAAGGTGAGTTGTGCCCTGCCCACCGCCTCCTCTTGCCTCTTTTGCTCACCTCCTTCCACTTTCGCCCAAAAGGGTCTGCCATTCGACTGGTGTCTCTCCTCCGACGCCTCACTGCCGGCGCCCGACTTGACGCTCTTCCTCACGCTTTCTCCCTCCGTCGCGGCCCAGCGCGGCGGCTACGGCGACGAGCGCTACGAGGAGCCGGGCATGCAGACGCGCGTGCGTGCGGCATTCGAGGAGATCGAGGCCAGAGTGAGGGATTGGCGCTCCATCGATGCCGAACGCACCGAAGAGGAGGTGTGGAGAGACGTGAGCGAGGCGGCCGAGGCGGCCGTGAGACATGCCCATGGACCCGTGCGCCCACTGTTCTCGTGATCCCTCTCTCTCCCGATGCAAGAGCCCCAACGCGGAGCATGGCGCAACACACATGGGCCGACGACCCGGACCCCCCCCCCCCACCGGCGCCTTCTCTGCGAGATCTTCGCGCCCCTCTCTCTCCGTCTCATCTCCACTCTGTCGGGTGCGACGTAAGCATCTCGCGCCGCCCTTGCCCACCACATATGGCCCTTCTCCCCATTCTCTCCTCACACCGCATCCCATCTTGGACCTTGACTTCCCCTCATCGAAGAAGCGTAATGGTGACACCTCTCTCTCGTGACGCACGACGGCTTAGGGAGCGCAGAGCATGGGGAGCAGCGATTGGCAAGGGAGGACACGAGCACGACGACACGACGCGAGCCAATCAGTCGACCGTGCAAGGCCGTTGGGAGGGGGGGGGGGGGGGGCAACATGGACGAGCGGCCGAGAGGCAAGGCCTGCGGCAGCATGGCCTGCACGTCCGCCATGGGGTCGCTAAGTCCCCACCTCCACCAGCAGCGACATTCAGGATGTCCCATCCACGCGCGCGGCCAAGAGCGAGAAGGGGAGAGAGCATGGGGGGAAGAAAGGCATACGCATTGCGGCTTTTTCCACGTCAAAGCAGCATGAAGAGTGTGTGTGAAGAGACGTCCGTCGTCAGTCCGCCTTTCTACACGCGCGGCTTGGAGCTGGCGCCCTTTGCCTGCTGGCGCGAAATCTTGGGGCCTGCGCCGGCGTGGGCGACGGCACCCTGGGTAGTCGGGTAACGACGTGAGCAAATGCGACTGCAAAGAGGGGCCAGCAGGGGGGCGTCGCCACGCAGAGCAACTCACCTTGGACTTCTGCGTCTTGCGCTCCTCTGCGCGCTTCTTCTTCTCCTCCTTGCTCTTTGCGAGCGCCGAGGCCTGGGCGGCGGCGCGCACCTCGGGCTTCTGGTTGCGCCGCGCGGCAATGGCGTCGAGCGAGGCGCCGACGACGCCGCGCTGGTGCTTGACGGTGCGGCGCGAGCGCTTCTTGGCCACCTCCTCGGTGATGCCCTTCTTGTGCATGCGGCGGTACACGACCGTCCAGGCAATCTTGCGCGGGTTCTTGCGCTGCAGGAACAGCGACGCCGACTTGGACGAGGCGAAGCGGAAGACCTAAGGGCAAAGATGGCCGCCATCTCGTGTGAGCCCGCCGCGCTTCCATGTACATACCCCGCTTGAGACATGCTTCTCCCCATACTCTTGTCCCGGCCCACGTCTGGCCTCGCTCCAGCGCAGCTCTGCCCTTCCTGTGTGACCCCCCCCCCCGCCGCATCGCTGCACTCGATCTCTCCGCCCATGCTGCCCGCGCCTCATCTGCCCCCCGAGCCATCTCCTCTCTCCTCTTCTCTCGTCATGCCAACGGCTCACCTTGCTGTCGCCGCGCACGTAGAGCTTGCCCCGGCCGGGGTAGATCTTGCGCTGGGAGAAGGCACACGTCTCGACCTTCATTGTGGTTCTGTTTGCAAACGACACGGGGGCGAGAGAGAGGTGGGGAGGTCAGCTTCGGGGCTGAGAGGAGAGATGGGCGTACCGAGAAGGAAGCAAGGAAGGCGCCGCGCGTGCCCGCTCGCTCGCACCACGCCCGCGCCCGCGCCCGAAGTCAGCAGCGCTGCGCCGAAGCGAACGCGCGCCTTGGCAGTGCCAGCCGGGCGACGCGGGCAAAGGGGGCGGCGGCATGCATGGGGGGGGGGGCGCTGTCAGAGCATCTCCTTGCAGGGCTGCTGCTCTGGTTGCAGGCGCCGGCCGCAGCAGTTGCTTCGCAGCCGCCCGCCGACGTCCCCCCCCCCCTCCCCCGACCGCCCCGGTCTGGCTGCCCCCCAGCTGTGCGTGCCCGGTCTGGCCTCGCCCGCGTGCCCCCCCTCTGCTGCGTGCACGCCGGCCCGTGTTCGCTGGCGGGGCGTGCATCGCGATGCCTGGCAATGGACCGTAGCAGCCATCGCTGCGCTGCATCGGCCGCCCGGTGGTGGCCGAGCATGGAGGGCGGGGGGCAGCGTAGCGCCGGGCAGCTGTGCTTTCTGCGAGCGCGCGCGCAGAGGAGCAGCAGCATGGGCCGCTCCGCGTCGCGGGCCACGAGCAACGCCCGCGACAGCGCGCCCGTCGCTATGCGATGATGGTGCGAGATGCACTACAAGTGCGAGGCGTGGCGGCGAGAAGGGCATACGAACCTTGAGGGGAGGGGCAGTGGGTGGGAGGAGAGGCGGCCGCGGGTGCGGCACGGCGCTGAGCGTAGGCCGCCGAGCGTGCTGCTGCCCGCCCGCAGCGCTGCCTCCCTGTCCGCCGAGCGCGGCGCCGTCTCTCTGGCGCGCCAGCCAGTTGCGGCGCGCTGCGAGACGATGCAGGCAGCCGCGCGTGCGACTCCGGCGAGATGATGCCGCAGCTGCGCGGGCAAGGCGACGCGCCTGGCGCATGGGAACAGCGGCCGGACGCGCGGCACGCGCCACGTGGCGCTGCGCCGCGAAGCTCGCGCTGCCCACCTCGCTGCGCTCAGCGCCGGCGGCAACGCAAGGTGCGGGCAGCTGCTGCCCCCCTCCTGCCCTCTCCTCACTCTCGTCATCCCCCTCCCGCCCCGCTTTCGTCATGGTGAATATTGCCGCGCCTCGCCCGCTCTCCATCCCTTCGACAAGAGATGCAGCAGCGTCCCCGCCTCTCTCTGCACGCCGCGTCCTGCGTCCGAGCCCACCGCCCAGCCGCGCGGCCTCGGCAAAGGTGGCCCCTTCGGGCTCTGGCTGCCCCTTGGCCGGGGCTACCAGCATGCACCTCGCGGGCGGGCGGGCGGCATGGCGGGAATCATGCTGCATGTCGCTTCTCTCTGTGCTTAGCCGTCCCACGAGGCCAATGCTCGTCGTCTGGTCGAGTCGGCTCCGCGGGTCGCGCTGCGGCGAGCTCTGCCTCGCCCCTGCCGCCTCCGGCTTGCGCCAGCGTGGCTCGCTCTCGTGCACCAGGCGCAGCCGCACGCCTGGGGGAAGCGGGTGCCGAGGCATCACGGCCGGCGATGGGGAGGATGCGGGCAGGCTACCCCCTTCTGTCCCGACTTGTTCGCCGCGCGAGGCGAGGGCGCACGAATTCGCAGGGCTAGGCCATTGCGTGCTGCTGGGCGCAGGAAGAGCAGATCGGTTGCCCGCGAGGGAAGGCATGTATGCGCGCTTCCATCATTGCGTCGCGCCTCTTTTGCCCCCGGGCGCCTGGCGCACTTCGCGGCGCTGCGGCAGCAGACAGATGGCAGGGGCAGGGGGAATCTGCGCGGCAGAGAGGTGCGCTCGCGACTGCCGCTGGGCTCAGAAGTGCAGCTGTTTCGCAGCTTGCGCAGCAATTGGCCGAAGTAGCAGTGCCGTTTCGCACGCAGATATGGCGCGTGGTCAGCTTCGGCGCACACAATGCTCCCGGCGCGCCAGGCGTTGGAGGGGGGGGGGGGGCTACTCGCTTCGCCCCCCTGCGCTTCGCTGTGGCTCTGCGTGGCTCGGGTTGCCCATCTTGCGCGATACAAGAGCTAGTTCGCTGACGAATGCCCCCCCGCTCTCTCTCTGCAGCCCAAGCAGATCACCGACATCAAGGCCTTCCTCGAGGTGGCTCGCCGCAAGGATGCCAAGTGTGCGTGTAATCCCCCCCCCCCCGCCTCCCCCTGCCCTCTCCTTGGATGCCCCGGCCGTGGCTGACGCCCCCTTTCCTGTTGGTTGTTCGTCACATCAGCGGCCCGCGTGAAGAAGACGCTCAAGGCCGGCTCGCTGCAGACCAAGTTCAAGGTGCGCTGCTCGCGCTACCTCTACACGCTCGTCGTCGACGATGCCGACAAGGCCGACAAGCTGCGGCAGAGCCTGCCGCCGGGTGAGTTTTGTTTTCCCCTCCTCCTTTGGACATGGCGCCCATTCATGGGGAGAGGTGGAGAGGCAGAAGGGAAAGAGGGGAGTGGGCAGTGCCGCGAGAGGCAGGCGAAGGCGTTGGCCCGATGACAAGCCGGACAGGCCCTCGTGTAGGGACAGAAGCGCTACACTGAGCATGCGCCAGGCGTGGAGGCAGCAGGCGAGACGGGGCCCGGCCTTCATGGCTGCATCGCATCCTGAATATGCTGGTCTGGTGCCGCAGGCGCGATGGCGTCTTGTCTTTCCCTCGCGTTTTTTTTTTCTGTTGGGACGCCCCTCACTAACCTCTCTTGTCTCCCGCCAGGACTGAACGTGCAGGACGTCGGTCTCAAGGGCAAGAGCGCCGCTCGCAAGTAGATCTTGAGCTGGGGGGGCGGCGGCGGCAATGAGCATCTCTTCTCATGATTCGCTCTGCTCTGCTCTGCTCTCTCTCTCTTCCTCTCTCCTCTCTTGATCCCTCCTGCTTCCGCATCCTACGTCTCGTTCACGTCACTCGTCGGCCACATCGACAAAACTCACTTTACACTCGCCCACATCACTTCCTCACCTTTTCGGGCGCCCCATGCGCCTACTACTCTCTCTGCCCGCTCCTCGCGCTCGGACGAGGAGGAGCGTTGTATGATCATCCTCCGAGACTAAAAAGCCATCATCTTGCATCTCACTGCGGGTCCTCAGCAAGGGGCATGAGCGAGCGCTGCCCCCCCCCCCCCCTCGCCCTCATCCTCTCGTTCTCTCTCAGGCCTCATCGTCGCTTGAGTGGGGTCTGCTGTAGCGTCTGCCTCGGCTTTCACAGCGTGCGAAACAGCGCTCGCAGTCAGCCAACCTGCAGCGGCAAATGGCGCTCTAGGTTTGCTCTCGAATGATTTAAGCATTGGTGAAGCGTGCCGATGGCGAAGCACAGGTACATAGAACCCTCCTCGGAGGCGAGGAGAGGGCGCGAGAGAAAGGGGCATAGCATGCAGCAGCAAGGCCAGAGGCATGTGAGAGAGCATCTCGCGAAGCGGGCAATCGCAGTGTGGCAACACAGATCCCGACTACCTTTACTGCGAGCAATCGCCATTCTGCAGCCTGCCCATGCGTCGGCCAAAGTACGGGCCGT